TGAAATTTAAATAACAAATTTAAGTTTCAAATTTTCTAAATATTTCAAATATCGGGACAAAAAATAGCGAATACAGAAAGAGAACGAATAATTTAGAAAATAATACTTATTATCTTAACTATTTCTAATAATATACAGAAGGAAATTATGGACTTTCTAGCAAGACAAGTTCGTTACTATCCGCATACGGTTAAGTATGTAAACAAATGTCCCCCCAATTGGCTCAGCTGAGTTAATCCTATTTTTTTGTTGGCAATCAAAAGACAAATTATTTATTTTTGTGGGTGGGTCAAAATATTTCAATTCGTTTCAGGACATGCATACTGAACGTATTTGACTCTCTTAATATATATATTTAGGTCCATAAAATTCAAAAGATTTATGTTTTTCATTGTTTTTATCTGGTGTTATAGTTCACGAATTTAATTGATTTCTAACTTATCATTAATCCGGTTCACACTCGATCCGGGTCTTTTATCATATCGATCCATATATTACAAATTTTATAATAAACTTAGTTTTTGAAATCAACCCCGCACGTACGTGCGGGTCCATCCCTAGTATTATACTAAATTAGATGTTAAGGGATGAAGGCAAATCATCCAGACTCAAGTTGACTTCCATATTTTTTATTTAAACTCATGAAATGGTAGGTGATTGTTCTTCTTATTCGATCGTTTTTAAAAACAAAAACTTAATCGTTAAAAACTCAACTAAATTTCAAAAGATTTTTTCCGAAACTTTACAACCGCAAAAATTTATCAAATTTTATTTCTCAGGTTAATATATATATATATATATATAAGTTTTTCTTAATATTTTTATTTTGTTTTATCGACGTGTAAAACAAATTATGTAGCTTACCTGATCATGTTCAAGTTGCGGTCTCTTTTTTTATTTTCGGTAAACAATCATAATCCCCTACAGATGACTAGAAAACATTTATAATATTAAAATCATTTAATAATAAACTCTCAATAATTCACTTTACTGAGAAAATAAAATAACATCATTACATATATATTTTATCGACCTTTACCAACCAAACATGTATGTATCTCCTCCCTCTCTCATGAGCTATGGCCGGAGGAGAAGAAGAAGAAGCAACTCCGTCATTACCGGACTACGAACCTTTACCTTCATCATCAAGTCACGATCCAAACGACACCGTTCTGATCTCATCATCCTCATCACATCCTTCTTCTACTACCTCACGACGCCGTTTCATCATCTCTATACTATTTCTCATATCTTTCGCCTCGATCTTCATCTACGTCTTCTGGCCGTCCGATCCACGCATCAAAATCGTACGTGTCAAGATTTCCCACGTGCACGTTCACCGCCGTCCGGTTCCGTCTATCGACATGACGGTGCTCGTTACGCTTAAGGTATCCAATGCTGACGTGTACTCTTTTGACTTCACGGATCTTGACGTCGCGGTTGACTACAGAGGGAAAACGTTGGGTCACGTGAGCTCCGATGGCGGGCACGTGACTGCTTTTGGTTCTTCTTACCTCGACGCGGAAGCGGAGCTTGACGGCGTCGACGTGTTCCCTGACGTCGTTCACCTGATTCACGATTTGGCTAAAGGCTCCGTTGAGTTTGACACCGTTACGGAGACTAACGGAAAACTTGGAGTTATGTTCTTCCGTTTCCCTTTAAAGGTAAGGAACTTGGAATTGTTAAATTACGCAATTATTATTTTTACTTTCTCATCATTTCGATAATTTTACTTTATACAACTCTTATTAATCTTATGCGATTTCATATTTGACTAATTGGATTTTAAATCTGTTTTCGATTATATTTTGATGGAAACAGGCAAAAGTGGCATGTGGGATTCTAGTAAATACAGTTAATCAGACAATTTCTCGTCAAAGTTGTAGCCCTGTCTAATTCAAGAGACATCAAAATCATTATGATATTCTTTTTGTCTTCGTTATCTTTTTTTCTTTAATGTAATTTTGTAGTGCTAATAGAGATTTAGAGTCAACTGATGTTAGAAATATTATATCCTTATGTGTGAAACTTGTTGGTTTTCAAATTAATCAAAGTTTATGTTTGCAAATCAATATTTTGTTTTTGGGTATATGTTTTTTTTTCCAAACAGAGAAAATATAATTATATGCGGTCAAAAAATAAAAAATAGAATTATACATATACAGTAGTGTTGTTTTTTAAACGTGATTTGGCTTTTTTTTTTTTGTTTTTTTGTCTGTTATCTCTTTACATATTCTGTTCATTTTTTTTTGGGTTAGCTCAAAGCTTTTCTATCTTCAAATGAATGATATTACTATTATTATTTCAAAAATGGATCAATACATCTTATCAAAATCATCAATTTGATTATTTTTAATATTGTTCTTTGATTTTGTTATGGGATATTTTTGCTCTTTTTTTCAGTTATCTTTATTAGTTATGTTAAAAACTTGTGTTATGGCAAAAACAAATTGCAAATAATTATTTGTTAGTCGTATACAATTTTATATAAAAAATGGAACAATACATGTTATAGAGCTTATCTTTGAATATAGTTCTGTTACAAACTTTTTAATGTTTGATTTCATTTCCCTGATATTAATAAAAACTCCATGATCATGACTTAATTTCAAATCTTCCAACTACGGGTGATTAACCCAATCCTTGTCAACATTTTGTTTTATTGATACTGTTGAAATTACAAAGTATATGTCAACATTTTTCCATCATCGTCAATCAAATATAAATACAACATAATATTTGAAACTCGTTTATTCTTTTTCCTATTGTTATATTGGTATGATAACAGCTCTCGCACATTGAAATTGATTTTTGTGATGTCTTCTTTATTGAAATCAAAACAACATCAAAGAATTTCAGTTAAACAAAAATTCATGGAATATGTTTTAGGACCTGAAAAATTAAATATTTAAAATATCATACATTATACGAACATAAAAATAGAATAGTTAGAATAAAAAAAGAAAAATTCTAAATAAAGAAATCAACTATTGCAAGATTATGAACATTAGAGAAAACAAGATGATATTTTATTGTAGTACAAAATACAAGAGTTGTTATTTAGTATCGTAATATATTTTATGAAAGGTATTAACATTTACAAAAAAATTATGATAATTTTGTAAAAAAACCTAATATATTAAGTATACTTTTGTTGTTTGTTAAGAAAAAAAAAAGTGAAGTATACTTTTGTCCTCATGGCTTCTACATTACAATTTTCTTTTACTTTTATTTTTATTTTGGGCATTTTTGCTTCACAGTTAAAGAGTATCAAAATTTGGAGCAAGAGAGAGAGAGTCGCGCCGTTGTGGTGGGCAGGGCCAATGGGAGATGATCCTAAATGGCTCATTCTAATATCGGATTTTTTTAATGTAATTTATAATGCAGGTAGAGATTAGAGTCAACAAATATCCAATTGATTACATTCATAAGCGTTAATCAGAGAGTAACATGAGTTTATGCTTGGTTTCGCCTAAAACAATGTTTTAGTAAAAATAGCAAATATATGTTTCTTCATGACTTTCTACAATTCAGCCAATGCTAAAAGTAACAATCAAAACCACAATAAGTTCCAAAGTTGGATTATTTAAGAGTCATGATGAATTGACCACACTGAACATTAGACAACATTCGTTGGCAAAATGCATCACCTGAAGACTTTAAAAGAGTGGTTAGTGCAAGTGAATCCTCCATCAATCATCAGATTGTCTCCGCTTATGTACCGCGATTCATCGCTCGCCAAAAACAGAACAGCGTTCGCTACGTCATCAACCGTCAGGTCCACCCCTTTTAGATTCGCGTTTGTAGCCGCAAAATTCCTGAAACCAACAAATGCATCTTCTGTTCTTTCTTCCTCTGGCAAATGCGCCATTGCAAGTTTGGTTAAAACCGCATAAGGCGAAACACAGTTCACACGTATCCCGTGCTGTCCAAGCTCGGCTGCAACACTCCTTGTCAAGCCTAGAACAGCGTGCTTGGAACCGACATAAGCATGTGGACCAACACCTCCCATAACACCTCCCACACTACATAAGGAAACTATAGACCCTTTCTTCTCCGGGATCATTACCCGAGCTGCATGTTTCATCCCGAGAAAAGCTCCTTTCACGTTAACATCAAAGATCATCTCAAATTCAGTCAAACTACAGTTACGGATATCAGGGCATGGTGCTCCGCATAAGCCCGCATTATTAATAAATATGTCAAGCTTTCCAAATTGCTTGACTGCAAAATCAACCGCATTGCTAATGTCCCCTTCTACTCTAACATCGCCATGGATGAAAGAAGCCGTCTCCTTCCCAGGCTCACCACTAAGCAGAGTTTTACATACCTCATGTCCAAGATCATCTTGCAAATCAACAATGCAGACTTTTGCACCGTGCTTGTGGAACAGACGAGCAATGCTCTCTCCTATCCCAGTGGCTCCTCCAGTGATCAACGCCACTTTACCTAATAGCCTGTCAAAGCAAAATCGCAAGACACATCAATCGCAAGTAAGTCATTAAATCGAAACATAGTATCATAATAGCTTGTTGATATTCAAAACCAATGTACTATAAGATTGATGATGCTAAATCAAAATTAAGACAACCGAAAGGAAAAGCCACACAAAAGAAAAAAGACAACTTTATTCATAAATTGACAGGACAACCACAAAACTACAATGAGAAAAGAATGAACAGACCACAAAACCAGTTTCCAAAAAAACAAACGTGCAAAAGAGGTAAGATGAGTCAAATGGGACACAAAATTACAGATCTGAAGTTGAGAGACTGATTGTAAAGAATGCTTTACAGAGCCAATGTGTGTATAAGGGGACTGGTAAAACTGATCCAAACATCGTTGATCATCATCATCATAAATAGTAAAGAGATTGAAACCAAGAAATGGAGATTAGAGATCATTAACATTTCAAGATTGAAGTTGAGACAGACATAATCAAATGAATAGATCTCAAATCTGTCGTGAGCAGAGCAAAGACACTAAACGAATTTGGTTCATTGTTAACTAAAAAAATTAATCCCACAGCAAAAAAGTTCATCACTTTACAATGACCCAAGAAGGAACAAACTATAGTAAACGAAATCGAAGCAAAACAAAAACGGAGTTTGATCGAAGAATATAAAAGAAGACCACAGAGAGTATAAAGCTTATACCTTTGAGTAGGTAGCGAAGCAGAGGATTCAGTGTTCGTTGACATGATAGCTTTCTAACTCCTCAGATTCTTATCCTTCTCTTCGATTTTGGCCAAGGAACTCTAATTTAACGCCTCACTACTCAAAGTACTAAGAGATACGAACCTCAGGAAGCATGCAAGTATAATCTCAATCGACAAAGATATGAAAACGTAAACTCTTCAGATTGTAGAATCAGATATCTTCGTAGCCGTTAGTTCCGATTCATTCCACTCTTCTTTCTATGGTTTTTCTTGATCGGGAGTTTGCGTTTTCTTCTCGGCAACTTTGCCTTTCTTCTTTGTCTCTTTGCCTTTTCCTCTAAAGCCTCTAAAAGGGAACCAGTTCTGTCTGCTTCACCAACCATGGTAGACTATATGGGCCTCTAAATTTTAAGTCCATTAAAAGTTTAACGGATCAATATATAGCCCTTTTCAAGATTACTTTAATTTTTTTTTTTTTTTTTTCAACAAGATTATTTAATTTGGGATCTTTAATTACATAATCTCCACCAAAAAATACCATAAGATTTAAGAAATACCAATTGAAAATTTTACCAAAACCAAATAAAATCTGATTGAACAATCTTAACCGGATTTAACCGATTGTAAAGATTTATTTTACATTAGAGGTTTTTAGAACCAAAACCAAATAAAAAATCAGATTGAACAATCTTAACCGGGTTTAACCAGTTGTAGAGATTTATTATACATTAAGGGGGTGTTATTGGATGGAGGTTTTTAATTACCATAGGATAATGATGGATTTAAAAGTTCAATAGATTTCTAATGCATATATCGTGGATTTAGGAAGTGTTAGTAGTGGATTTGTGAAGATTTATTTTTCTAAAAGATGTGGACTTTTTTGTATTATTATATATTAGTGTTTGTAAAATTTTCTTGTTTTTAGAATCATCTATGTTTTACATAAATAATAATTAAAACTTTTTTAAAATAAATGATTATCAAGTTTTAAATTACTGTTAGGATTGTGGTGGTTCTCCAAAACAGTTATAATTTTCTGAGATAAAGAACAATAAAAAAAAGAGACAAATTTATTTTTAATATTTATTTAAATGAAATACTCCAAAATACAGATGAAAATGGTTGGATTTGTTTTACTCACGATCTCGCTTAAAAAATCCAACCAAATCCATTGTAACTAAAATGTACCAAAATCAAATCTATATTGAATAACGGAGGATTTTAATGCATTTCAAAATACATCAAACAAAATACATCAAACAAATGCTTGATTGAATAACGGGGTACTTTTAAAATACATTAAAATCCTCTAAAATACAGTATCCAATAACCCCACCTAATACAAGTTTTAAAGAAAAAAAACACTTACCTTGTTGGTACTAGACTACTATAGTGGGAAACTTTTTTTATAAAATTGATTCCACCAAAAAAAACATTGTGTACACTAAAATACAACTGTGTTGCCTAGTTTAACTGATTCGAAAAGAAACCAAAAAAAAAAAAAAAGAAGATGATTAGTCTTCTCTTTGAACCAAACCATAGGCCCAACCTGTCTTTTAAGTTAGGCTGTGTGCGAAACTTTTACATGTACGAGAGTACGAGACTGGGTTGACTCTTCTGTATATCAATTACATTCATGTGGTCGTGATGCTAAAAGCTAATGATTTTTTCACTAATGCAATCATGTTTTCACATATTTCTCTACTCAGAGTTTCTCGTTATCGCTAATCAGTTTCGAGATGTGTCAACTTTTTTGCCAACCCATCTCGACCACAATATAATATTTATCTTGGGATATATATCAGTTTTGGATAAAGTTTACGAATATTTCAATTTTAAAACCTCGAAATCATGTGAAATTGCCTAATTAATACACGGTTGATCAATTAGTCACGAAACATCTTTTTTTTTTGTGATTTTAAACGGAAAAAATTAACAATACAGAAATCATAGTAACCACGTAAGTGTTACTTTAAAACGTTTAGTGCTGTCGATTTTTAGAATTTTGTGATCAAAACTAACATCGTTTCACTAATAAATAAAAAAACAAGAACCACAATACAATTTCTACTTTGATTGAAATACTAAACAAATAAAATAAACATGAGTACGTACGTAGTAATAAAATATAAACTATAATTTTTATATTGATTACAATAACATGATGAATTGATTGATATGTGTTATTTGTGGAGAGTGGAAGAAGAAGAAGATGACAAAGGAATCCATTGATATTCATGTTGATGATACCTACACTTGAACGATCTTGGATGCTTCGACGGTGAACATACACACTTCTTCTTTCCACCACCGCCACCGTTACGATTACCCACGGTGGCTTCCACTTCCACCTCTGTCACCACCGTCACTTCTGCCATCACCGGGGTATTTTCTTGGAAGCTCTCCGGATGTATAACATGAGGTAGAAGGATTTTGTAACACATATTTCTTTTTTTTGGTTTCACTCTCCAACAAACTAAAACTTATAAGATTCTTCTTGTTTAAGATTTTGATTGTGTGGTTAACCAAAAGAAGAGACGTCGAGTATAAATACTAGTCACTCCTCTTGATGACAAAAAAAATTTAGTCACTATTTTAGAAATGAAAATATTTTTTTAATTACATATTTATCTTTTTAGGTATTGTGTAGAAGAGTTGTCGCCAAACAAAAAATAGAAACGTTCACACGTGGCTAATGGTGTTGATGCACGCAAGTCTTGATAATTGTGTTCAGAAAGAAACCATGAGGTCACAAATTTGTTCTAGTGTATATCCGATATTTAAAACTATTTAAGGAAATGACGACAAAAAAAAAAAAAAAAAAAACTATTTAAGGAAATAATTGATGACTATTTTTATTTTTAATGAAATCTTAACCTTCTTAAATAAAAAAAATGAGATTTAAACGATTACGGTGGTTAGAACGCAAAAACCTTTGACAAAAAAAAAGAACGCAAAAATCTATACGTAAACTCCTGTTGATCGAATTATTTATATTTTGTAGTATGTGATAATGTAGATAAAATAATTAAAAGAAATTTGATGTGGATCGATTATGTATTATTATATATATATATATATATATTGTTTTTTGTAAACATTATTATATCTTTATATATATATATATATTAATTTGATTTGTGCTAAAAAGATAATTTATCTTATTTTTGATCGGAAGAAAGGATAACGAATTAATTAGTTCGTTTTATCCACTAACATTCGATGATTATAACTTTTTTTAAAACACAAGAAAACAATAATAAAAATGAGTTGAAGTTTAAATGAAAAATTGTGAAATGGTGGACCATATTCTCTCTGTATATGAAACAAATAAAGAAGGGTTTGGAGAATTTTATATGAAAATATTGAGAGGAAACGAAGTGATTGGAGAGGATAAGCGGTGGGAGTGGGCGCGATTACGACATCACCAGTCAGCACCACCACTTCATCTCTTCTTTGGGCTTTTCATTGTCACTCACTCATCTCCTTTTTAGATAAACTTACCATTTTATGCTCATTTACATATTTTTTTACTATTAATTACTACTATAGTTGTTATTTGTATAACAAAACACACAAAAAAGAAAAACCCAAAATGTTATTGTCATAAGAAACTATTTTTGTAACTTTTTGATAACCTTACTTTTGTATTTCGTCTATAATTTTGCAATATCAAGATTGAAGAGGAGCATCTAGATTTTTTGTTTTCTCTTTTTCTTTTTTAGTTTTGGATATATGATGTTGAAAAGTTTTTGCCTGCTTTTCTTGAATAAAGATAACCATTTTTTTCGTATCTTGATATAACTTTATAGTGCAACTATTAAAACATAAAGAAAAAAATATAAAGTTTGTTAAACTTTGTATATAAAATAATTGTGACATTCCGGATGAAATCATATGGAAATTTTTTTTGAACAAAACTCAAGAAATTGAAATGAATGTGGAAAAAGATATATCAGTTTTATTTTCCATGAAGAAGGTGAGAGGATCAAAATTGAAGAAAACAAAAGAACTTCTAAAGAAGAGAGTCTCCACAAATAACAATAACCATATAAAGACTACAATCTATGAACATTGCACGAAGAGCTTGATACACAACAACTCCTCTTTCTAGAAGCTTCTCTGCATCAGACCAGTTCTCACCACTTTTACCCTTTCCTTCTTCTTCCTCTTCTTCTCCTATCTCATGGCTAAATCCTCCTCTAGATGCTTCCATGGTGAGATGAGACATTACAATAGCACAATCTGTGAGAATCAGCAACCAAAGGGGTCTCAAAGCCAAGATACTGCCTGAACTTATAATGTTCAACCTCGGGAGTAGAATCACAAACGCAGCTATTGCGAGAGAGCTCAAACTCCGACTTCTTTCTGAGCTTATGATGCTAGCGTTGAGTTTCTTGGAGCTGAAGTTACTCCTAGGTCGTTGGTTTTGACTCTTTACTGATGATCTTGTTGCTTCTTCTGGTTTTGTTGGTTCACTTTGTAAGGGCTTGTGAAGAACACTCGAACGTTTTGGTTCTTCTGATCTTTCCTTTACTTCCTCTGCATTCATTCATTTTAAAGACAACATAACCATTAACGGATTCAAGTCTAGATGGTTCAACACACGAAATTGTGTTACAAGTTAAGTTAATATTTTTCAACATGTATATTCTTTTTTTATCATACGAAGAATGTTAAACGAAAGAGAGAAGCTATATATATATATATATATATATATATATATTGAATTTGTGTAGGTACCTTTGAAATGATACTTAAGAGATGGGCTTTCTTGAATTAGATGATGCTGAGATTGAGTTTGTGGCTTGAAATTAGATTCGCTGTATGTGCGGTTGTGAGAAGCTGATGATGATGATGAGGAAGCTGACGACGACGAGGGTGATGAAGGATAATCAAGATTATGTAATTGTCCTGTGATTAACGCCAAACGATCTGATCCTCGTTCCATTATTTTTCTTCTCCGTTCTTCTCTGTCCATCACCATTCTTACTAATTAATTTACAAGAAAGAAGAACTTGAAAAAAAACAATGGAGAAATTATAGAAATTGAAGTTTTATTGATTCAATCATAACTTTATAAAACCTCCAAAATTAGGTTTTTCTTAAAATAGAAATTAGAGAGGCTAATGAATAGTTCACTATGTATATATTTAGAATGTATAGAAAGATTCATTCTTCCTTATACTCCAAAATTATACATATATGTATCCAGTGGGAGAGTACTTTTGACATCTATGTACTCCATCTAAGTAAAACACAAAAAAATTTAACATTAAATTTGTTTTAAAATGTTAATTTAGTCATGCTGTTTTTATATATAATTTCAAGGTAGTAATGTATAAGAAAAAAAAAAGTAAAAATAAAACATCGACCACAGTGGGAGTCGAACCCACGACCTTCTGATCCGAAGTCAGACGCGCTAATCCACTGCGCTATGCGGTCATTTTTGTTATGAATCGACATGATAAATTTATAAACAGATAAAATGAACCGTTGCATGCTTACGGTTCTGTAATCCAGAATTGGGAATGACCTGACTAACGTATATGATCGAGTAATTCAGATAAGGAGCAACCTTTTGGTTCATACGGAATCGCCTCACGTCCAAGGTTTACTATACTATACATATGAAGCAAAACCAGCATGTAGCAACAACAAATCTAAGAGCTTCGGAAACTATCTCTTCTCAGTAGTACGTTGATGCAGTTAGTAAATCACAATTCTATAAAATTTGCAACACTATATAGTTCGACTTTGCCATGACTAGTGGAAAGAAGCGCAAAACAAGAGAATTTCAAAACTTTGGGCATAGGCCTTTTTATAAATGGGCCTTTTTGGTTAAACAGGCCTTTCATAGGCCCAATTTTAGTGGCAATTCGTAAATGTCTCTCACTCAGTCCTTCTTAAGCAAAGTTTTCCTTTTTTTTCTAATTTTTAAGTTTTTTGTTTTTCTTCATCACACCGAGCTTAAACATCGTTTGGTTCTTGGATCTTCCGATTTCCAGATTTAAGCCGATAATACGAGATCCGAAGGGCTTACTAGCCTTTCTCCGGTTAATCTGTAAACATGGTGAGTAGTGTGAATCTTCCCTCTACGGCTTTTGCTTTTGTTTATTTTTCAGATCTCGAGTGAATCTGCTTACGATTTCGATCTCGATTTCGTTACATTTCTTCTGTGATTAAGCGTAATTTGAGTGAGACCTGTGGAATCTCAGATCGTTTGATTTTCTTCGATTTTTCTATTCTGATTCGATTTTTTTAATCCGATGGCGTGAAATCGAGTGTAGTCTCTTGACATTTGTTTCGTGGAATTGAATAATGATCATGGCTGTTGCATATTTGAGAAGATCTGGAGTTTTTTTTGGGATTTTATGCTCTCAGCTGTTGTGTATATATATATATTTGTTTGATTAAAGTTCCTTGTTGATCCTTGTGGAATGATTTTGGTAAAATTTGTTGTTTAGAGTGTCTTTTAGTTTTTACGAATGTGTTTTTTTAATATATGATCTCATTTGTTTAGTTTTGTACTTACTGACTAGTGGTTTCTTTCTCTTTGTTGAAACAGCCTCTCAGACTCGAGATCAAGGTATGTTTCGGTTTTGAGGGATTACTTTTATCTTATTCACTCTGCTTTTTTTTTCGCTGTGATGATAATTCGTTTGGTTTTTTTTTTTGGATCAGAAAAAACTAGCTCAAAGGTCCGAGAGAGTAAAATCTGTGGATCTACATCCTACAGAGCCATGGTAATTTCAAGCTTTGATTGTGCTTACATAGTTTTGTACCTTTATTTCTGCTATTAACGAGAATGTTTTAAACTTTGTCTTGCAGGATTCTTGCAAGTTTGTATTCTGGAACCTTGTGTATTTGGAACTACCAGACACAGGTGGGTGAAAAGTTTTTATTTTCTTTCTCTGTTTCCTTATGCACATATATTAAAGTGAAAAATTTGTGAAAAAATGGAATGATCAAAGGTGCAACTGAAAGATTCTTTTCTGAGGTTTTGCAGTGTGTTTATATACTTTTTGGCTGTTTTACTGATTATTTGAATTTTTTCTAATCTGAATCTTGCTTGATAATCCTCAGGTGATGGCAAAATCCTTTGAGGTGACTGAATTACCAGGTATACAACTTTCTTTCTTTGTCTTCTTTAGTTATAATTTTTTTTTGTTTGCTTCAGTTTTTATTGTTGTATGTACTAAGTATTCGTGTTTAATTTGTTAATGATTCTGATTCTTATATTATGATTTTGCAGTTCGGTCGGCCAAGTTTATAGCGCGTAAGCAATGGGTTGTGGCAGGAGCTGATGATATGTATATCCGTGTATACAACTACAATACCATGGACAAGGTTAAAGTGTTTGAAGCTCATTCAGACTACATTAGGTGTGTGGCTGTTCATCCAACGCTTCCATATGTGCTGTCATCTTCTGATGATATGCTCATAAAGCTTTGGGACTGGGAAAAGGGTTGGGCTTGCACTCAGATATTCGAGGGACACTCGCACTATGTGATGCAGGTCACATTTAATCCAAAAGACACCAACACTTTTGCCAGTGCATCGCTTGATCGTACCATAAAGGTACCGTAATGGTCTAACCTTGGAACTTGAGTATGGTTTAGTCTGCTTAGGATTCTGAAAGTGTTAGCTCATTCTATGTCTACATGCATGTTCATCTTCAGATTTGGAATCTTGGTTCCCCAGACCCAAATTTTACATTGGACGCCCATCAGAAAGGAGTAAATTGTGTAGATTATTTCACCGGTGGTGATAAGCCCTATTTAATTACCGGCTCTGATGATCACACTGCTAAGGTCTGCATCTGTTCAATGGTCTTTTAGAAGATTCATTTCTACTATATATTACAGGCTTTCAGGTTATTTACTAGTTATATTTCGGGAACAGGTCTGGGACTATCAAACAAAGAGTTGTGTCCAGACCCTGGAAGGGCACACACACAATGTATCTGCAGTATGTTTCCATCCAGAGCTTCCAATTATAATCACAGGTTCTGAAGATGGCACTGTTCGCATTTGGCATGCAACTACATACAGGTATTATAATATAAACATTTTTTTTTTGTTGGACATATTATGAGTAAATGTTTTTATATGCCCTAGCTAAACCATCTTCGCTTGTGCTTAATTCTTGTGCACTTTTTCACCGTTGCCAATATCTTTTATCATTCATTTTGTAATCCCAATTACCTAATGTCTGTTCTTTTTTTTGCAGGCTAGAGAACACGTTGAATTATGGCCTCGAGAGAGTTTGGGCAATAGGTTACATTAAAAGTTCACGACGGTGTGTTACTGGATTTTGACTCCCTTGCCTTATTAATAATTTGATGCTTAAAAAAATTAGATATTGGGAGCTCTACTTGTTTCCAGTACTCATAGAAATATCCTTAGAGGCCTCACCTTGTCCACGCTTTCATTTCACAGGGTTGTGATTGGTTATGATGAAGGAACCATCATGGTTAAACTTGGACGAGAAATTCCTGTCGCTAGCATGGACAATACCGGGAAAATTATATGGGCTAAGCATAATGAAATTCAAACTGCAAACATCAAAAGTCTTGGTGCGGATTACGAGGTACAAGGCATACTTGTAACTCTTAACTGTGGCATAGGATGATCTATTTGCTTACTTTTTTTGCCTGATTGTAAGTTTTTGTTCTCTATTCATATAGGTTACTGATGGAGAGAGGTTGCCCTTGAGTGTTAAAGAGTTGGGGACCTGTGATCTTTATCCACAAGTGAGTGTTACAGCACTCCGTCCAATGTTTTATGATGTTTTGGCTTATTATATAGTTCATGTGGGAGAAACATTTTCTGCATAGCTGGTATGATTAGCTAGTGCCTCAAAGTTGTGGGTATCGCTAATCCGTGTCTTCAGATTATATATCTGTTTTCAGTTTATCTGTCTCTCATATGTGGTTACTCTTGACTTTCAGAGCTTGAAGCACCACCCTAATGGGAGGTCTGTTGTAGTCTGTGGTGATGGGGAGTATATAATCTACACAGCTTTGGCTTGGAGAAATAGGTCATTTGGTTCTGGACTGGAATTCGTTTGGTCGTCCGAGGGGGAGTGTGCGGTTAGAGAAAGCTCATCAAAGATTAAATTATTTAACAAAAATTTCCAGGTTTGTAATCTTCTTCTGTCTGATCTAAGCCGTTTTGTTAGTGCATGTATCTATTTTTGTCGGAAGTATTATTGATACTTGTCATGGATATAGCTATATTCGGATCTGGCTCATTTAGAAAATACCTTTTTAGGAAAAGAGGAGTATCCGCCCTACTTTTTCAGCTGAGAAGATCTTTGGAGGAACCTTGTTAGCTATGTGTTCAAGTGATTTCATCTGCTTTTATGATTGGGCTGAATGTAGGCTGATTCAACGTATTGACGTCACTGTAAAGGTATTCTAGTTAACTTGGCTCAATTTGTTGTAAGAAGTTTACTTTGAGTTTGAGACATATTTGGAATAGTGGAATTGTGGAAACTAATATCATTACCTTCAGTTGGAGGTTTTCCTCGTTCATTTCTTCTCTAATATGTAGTGTTGCCAAATAATGTGTGCAGAATCTATATTGGGCTGACAGTGGTGACTTAGTAGCCATTGCTAGTGACACATCATTCTACATCTTGAAATACAACGTGAGCTGTCCTACAAACAATCTTATGCTGTGAATTTCTATAACCAATTCATGGATTGTCGAAGTACTTACATGGTGTTTCTGTTATACAGCGCGACTTAGTTTCCTCACATTTTGATAGCGGAAAATCTACTGAGGATGAAGGTGTTGAGGATGCTTTTGAGGTTCTTCATGAAAATGATGAACGTGTTAGGACAGGTATATGGGTTGGTGACTGTTTCATTTACAACAACTCTTCCTGGAAGCTTAACTACTGTGTTGGAGGCGAGGTATTGTGCATATATTTTTGTTACTCTGATTTGAAAATTGTTATCAGCTAGATCCTACTGATGATTGCTAACATCCTAATACTAGGTAACCACAATGTATCATTTGGATCGCCCAATGTATTTGTTGGGCTATCTTGCAAGTCAAAGTCGGGTGTTCTTGGTTGACAAAGAATTCAAGTAAGTGCCTAGATTTTTCTGTTTATATATTTCCGATTGTTCTTGAAGTTTCTGATGTCTGTTACCCTACTTCTGATGGATGCAGTGTTATAGGATACACCTTGCTACTAAGCCTGATTGAGTACAAGACTCTTGTGATGCGGGGTGATTTAGACAAAGCCAGTGAAATCTTACCTACAATTCCTAAAGATCAGCATAACAGGTATGTTATCCTTAAGTTAGATCTAAACTTTCATGTGTGCTTGTGATTCATTATTTATTGCACTTATCTCTTGTTATGTGATATGTCTTTGGTATTTTATTTCTATAGGAAGGAGTATTATGACTATTTTCTCCTAGAATTTGCTGTGTCTAGATATACTTTCTCTAATGTTTAACATAGTTGCACACCTACCAATGGCTGTTTCATTGTCAAATTCTCTTTATTTATTTTCGAACAATTTTCCACTTGTTAGTGTTGCTCATTTCTTGGAGTCACGGGGAATGATTGAAGATGCTCTGGAAATTGCAACAGATCCTGACTACAGATTTGATTTGGCCATACAACTCGGTAGACTTGAAATTGCACAGGTGATATATGTGTGATGATTAAGATACTCTTTTACTTCTTGTATAGTGGCAATATTTAAACGTTGTTTTTTAATTTATACCTGTAGGAAATCGCCGTAGAGGCACAGAGTGAATCTAAGTGGAAGCAATTAGGAGAGTTAGCCATGTCCTCTGGAAAGGTATTTATCTATCTTTGCATTTTGTCCTAATGTTTTGTAGTGATAAGAGAGGCAAAAAAACCTTTCCAGTAAATGTATCAATTTATTTACATTATGATTCTGAGGTTTTATCCAGTGATGTGGGAGCAACAATAAAAATCTATGTTTCTCGTCTCCTGGATTCGTCTCTGATGTGGGGATATCCAACTAACTATTTGCGTTTGTATGTCACCATAACAGCTGCAAATGGCAGAGGAATGTATGAAGTATGCGATGGATTTAAGTGGTCTGTTACTGCTTTATTCTTCTCTGGGAGATGCTGAAGGTGTGACAAATCTAGCAACACTTGCTAAAGAACAAGGGAAGAACAATGTCGCCTTTCTTTGCCTATTCATGCTGGGTAAACTGGAAGATTGTTTGCAGTTATTGGTGGAGAGGTAATACATTAGTAGTCATTTGGGAGTTTGTAAAATTAAATTCATGCACCTTTGGTTATCTGTCTGACAATATTTTCTTTCTCCAGCAACCGGATACCAGAAGCTGCTCTGATGGCCCGATCATATCTTCCAAGCAAAGTTTCTGAGATAGTAGCTCTTTGGAGGAAAGATCTCAGCAAGGTTCGTTTCAAATCTTTTTAGTTTTTGAGTGTATTTGGTCAAGCTAAGGAGACAAAAGTTGTGGGTTTAAGTTTCCTTGCACTTGAATACAGGTTAATTCAAAAGCAGCAGAATCTTTGGCTGATCCTGAGGAGTACCCAAATCTTTTTGAAGATTGGCAAGTTGCTCTTTCTGTTGAAGCTAGAGCTGTAGAGACAAGGTAATCCCTTCATATTTTTTGCTTACATGCGCTTTTCTCTTCCGTGGTCTTTGCATCAAGCAGCATATAGATAATACCTAATACCTACTGCACCCATGCAGTGATAACTCCACATAAATAGCGACAATCTTAGACCTCTTTTAAATCGATTGATCTTCATTTACAGGGGAGCTTACACAGGTGCAGAAAATTATCCTAGCCATGCTGATAAATCTTCCATGACCCTCGTGGAAGCCTTTAGAAACTTGCAGGTTGAGGAAGAGGAATCACTTGAAAATGGAGATGTCGAACACGAGGTGACCCATTTTCTTTTCCAATGAAGTGACTCATTTACATCTATTGTAAGTTATCCTGCGTATTTGAGTAAGCAACAAGTGCTCTTTTTTTTCCTCAGGAGTTAATAGCAGAAGAAAATGGAAATGAACAAAGGAATGAGGAGGATGTAGAGGAGCATCATGAAGAAAAAGAAGCGGAAGAAGAAGAAGAAGGAAATGTTGATGGAGATTCTACGGATGGAGCTGTACTTGTTAACGGAAGTGAGGCTGACGAAGAGTGGGGTACGAATAATGAAGGAAATCCATCAGCCTAATTGCAAGTCGGTCAAGGCCAATGTTGAAAAGTCTGAAAATTTTGTCTCTGGTGATTAATTTGATTCCCCGAAATGCCGCCTTCTAACATCTATTTCCGTTGATTGTGTGTCTGGTTTCAAGTCATTCCATTTCATAGCAACCCTTAGGAACGTAACACTTGAGTTTTTTTGTAACATGAGTTAGGCTTTAAAAACCGAGTACAGCAGCTTCATCTTCTTATAAACATATGTCCTTGGGGGTTGTTGGTTCTTGATGCTGTTTTAACTAATGTGGATCGTTTGGTTTCTATGTTTTTGCAGTGCTTACACCCCGTCAGTAGAGTTTACAGTTTATGGGAATGGCGAAAGTTCTAGGAACAATGGAGAGGTGAGAGAACTTTCGTTCTTTTTTTTTCCTCCTTATTGACGATTCAACGGTCAAATCCGAGCAGCATTGGGGAACCACATTTTGAAACCATTTGTAATAAAAGTTTGAATTGCTTAAGAAACATTTAAAATCCGGGCAGGACTTTGCTGGAGAGACTGTGGAGGATTTAGATGAAATAGAGAGGCTGGTGAGTTTAAAAGGAAGTGTGGTCGTTCCTTTTTGTGTCTTTTGCACTCACAGGGAGATTTTATTATTATTATCATATGGTTTTGGTTTTGTTTTACTAATCTGATTGTTTTTCTTTTCTTCTCTTTTCTCTGGCCTGTAACATGATATGTTTAAATTTTTATCGTTGCATATATAATTCTTTTTTTACGAGTATTATGAGAAATTTTTTGAATATAGGAATGTGTAGAATTACTCGCTTAATTTGGTCGAGTATGATGTCTCATAAAAAGTCTTAATTAAAGAGAAAATCTTTAAATCATATATAAAAACAAAAACTTATATGTAATTGAGTATTTTTTTCACTAAGCAAAAGAATTAAAGAACTATACTAAATTAGCATTGCTAATAAACGAATGTGAAATGTCGAAGTAGAGAGATACATAAAGAAGCCTTGTCTTCGTCTCTGACTGACCCACTTGGCTCCGGCGTCTTTGCTACTGCTGGTTCCCATTTTCATCTCCTCGCTTCGTGTTTACAGAAGAAGCATAGACTAGGGTTTAGGGTAGAAAACGATGGCTGGTTGGCAGAGGAATGTACAGACTGTTATTCGTCAAGGTTTTAGAAGAGTGAAGAACAGTCTCATTTCGACACGGAATTTGGATTCCACTTTCTCACAAGGTGTTTGAATGCTTTTTACGAATTGAAGCTTTTGAGTTTAGAAATATGTTAATCATTTCCCAATCTTAGTGGATCTTTCAAATGGCAAAGTGTTAAACTGTTATCTTTAGTATAGTGTTTGTGTGTTTGAGATGCGTGGGTGATGATGATTATTTTTTTTTTTGGGTGAAATAGGTTATTTGCAGAGTCTCTTGAGACCAACATATTCCTCAAGACCACTGTATTATCATCTACAACAACTGGTTATGCTTCTGAATCCACTGGAGTTTCTTGTTTCCTCTTTCAGAAATTTTGCTTCTGTAGTTTGATATAGCAAACATTGTTGTTAGTGGGATGACTACATCTGTTAACTTTGTAAAATTAGGCAAAAATATACTCATCACTTTTGGGTATGCTGCTTCTTTCTTTTCTGATCCCAAGTTCTATGTTTTCAGGGAATTTCTACATCAAGACAATTCCAGGCGGCTGAAGAGCCTGTATCCTCACCCTTATCATCTCCAGCTCTCTTGGGTAGTGGCAAAGAAGAAGAGCAGAAGATTGTCCCAAAGCGTCAGAAAGTTCAGGCTGTCCTCAAATCCATTAAGCAGGTGTGTCCTCCAACTCCTAAACATTTCAGATGATCTGCTCCATTTTGTTTGATATGTTTACATCTTGATCTTGTTGTATGCGCTATATAATCTGCCAAAACCTTGCTTGTTTCAGAGTCCTAAGAAGGTCAACCTGGTTGCAGCACTAGTCCGTGGCATGCGTGTTGAAGATGCTTTGATGCAATTGCAGGTCACAGTCAAACGGGCTTCACAGACCGTGTACCGGGTAATATCTGAGATTTGAGTTGAAAAACAAATCACTTTTGGATTGTCTGGTCTACTCTCTTCTCCAGGCATTTGATACATTTCCTCATCTTGTGATACGTATAGCATACAACTTGTTCTCTTAATTCAAGGAGTTAAAGACATTATAATGCAGGTTATACATGCTGCCCGGGCAAATGCTACTCATAACCATGGACTAGATCCTGATCGTCTCCTTGTTGGTATGTACTACTGATATGGGATCTCTGACTTCCTTGCTTTGCATTAAAGAACAGAACATGATATGCGAGAACGATGTATATCATCTAAGCTTTTGATATGTGATGCAGCGGAAGCGTTTGTTGGCAAGGGACTCTTTGGGAAGAAGGTAGCTTACCATGCAAAAGGAAGAAGCGGGATTATATCAATACCCCGGTGTCGCCTAACAGTCATAGTTAGAGAGACGACTCCAGAGGAAGAAGCCGAGATTGCAAGGCTCAAAGTTCACAATTTTAAGAAGAAAAGCAAACGGGAGAGACAGCTTGTACCACACAAGCTCATCGAGACAACTCCAATCTGGAACCGCAGAGGTACCAAAGCCAATCATCGGTCCTCAGAGTTGGTACCATCTCACTAGAATCTTTATGGTACCTTGTTGTTTCTTTTGGTTTTGATATTGTATTGGTACACTCTTAAGGACCGGTTTGCTATTGCATTCAATATACATGTTGCCAGATAGGAACCACAACTCAGTTAAGAGAAGCATCTCTGTTTTCTTTATCTTGGAGTCTCTATGCTGTTTTTGGAGTTGTTGTCTTAGTTGTTTAAAAACCAAAGTTAAGTCTCTTTTCCCAGTATTTGTAAGAAGCTTGTTCGTTGATCAGAGAACCACCAGTGTAACCAAGTTTAAACTATATAGTACACAAATTCAATAGAAATAACGGCCCACACTAGTTTCTTAGGTTCTTCTAGTAAGAAGCAAAGAAACATAACTTTGGAAGGAAATAGAATAAGAAGACGAGATCCTTGCATTTTGGATTGTGAGATATTGTAGTCTTCCCTCCAACAAGTAAAAGCTCTTCACTCTCACCAACAAGCTCATTTCCCTTTCACAACCATCCTCCACTGATCTTCCAATATCTGCACCCTCAGATCAAGATGCATACATATAACAGTCCTTTATCTCAGTACCATCTCTGCTGCCTTTGATTCTCTGGTCTAAACCATCAATCACTTTGTCTTTCTCCATCAGTCCCCAAATCCATTAACACTGTCCCTTCTCTTCCTTCCTTTATTGGCCTCTTTCCTTCCACACACTCCAAAGCCATTCACATCGGTATGCGCTGATGCTCTTAAACCAGCTCAGGCGCCACATATCGATGTTAAGTTGTTAACATGGTTTCTTTTAACCTTTATCTTTCATTTAGACACCTTTAACGAATTATTTGTTTTCATGTTCTACCAACACTTACAAATATGTTTTGTTTTGTTAAAATTTGGTCGAGGATGATGTCTAATATACGATAACTACTGTATAATCTTTTAATTATTACTTACAAAAGAAATGTATGTGTAACTGAGTATTTTTTTTTTCAGTTAAAAAAGAAAATATTTCATCTAGTTGGAAAAATAAATAAAAGAAGACGGAATTGTAGTATTATTTAGTGACAAAAACTATATAATAAAGTCACAGAAATGTCGATAAAAATAAAACTATATAATAATAAGTCACAGAAGAAATTCGATCTTCTTCTTCATCTATTAAACCCTTGTCTTCGTCTCTGACCACTTCGCTCCGGCGTCTGCTACTACTCCTTTCACGGTAAGTCCTTCTCATTTTCTCCTCGCCGGTCATTTTCTTCGTATTTTGTTTTTTTTCTTTTCATCTTTGGTTTCGCGGAAATGGTTTATTTCTCAGGTCTAGCTCCTTTGATTTTAGGGTTTTGTCATCCTTGTTTGTTGTGGAAATAGTTATCAGCCATTTCTTTATTTTGCTTTGATGATTAGGTTTTTTTTTCTGGGGTTTAACTCGTATTCGACCGATTTGGGTTTCCTCTTCTTCGTGTTGAGATCGAATTTCAAATTTGTTCGAAATAATAGGTGTGTGTTGCTTTGGGATTACTCGGTTCTTGAGATTTTGGGAAGCTAGCATGAATTTGAATTTCAAATGTAAAAACCCTTCGATTTGATGCTTCTTAGATCGGATTTACGTTTCAACTTGTCTGTGTTTCCTCTTTCATCTAGGGTTTTGTTGTCTTCTCATTGTTTTTCAGTCAGTGCATTGGTTCAATTCGTGAAACTCTACCAGTGCACTGAGTCTTATGCATAGATGTAGAACTGTAGATCCACTGATGTTGAATTTTGTTCATTGCTTGTAAATCTCCCAGTCTCTTTAGCTCTACCGCTTTTGTTCCCTACTTGGGAGTGTTAATTAGCTGTGTTCTGTGGCTTTCTGGATATTTCTGTAAGGTTACACTTTTATCAGTTCATGTCTTTCTTCATTCTGCTTCTGTAGTTTTTCATTTCCATTTGCACTGTCATGGTTGAGTGTTTGTTATAAGATTTGGCATTATATGTACTCATTGGCTGCTAAGTTATTGGGTGTGTTTGAGTATGTCTCATGTGTTTAGCGTTGAAAAGATGTTTTGGATTGTAGTATTTTTCTTCTCTGTATTCATACATTGGATTTGGTTACCTTTCTTTTAGTATCTCTGAGGACATTTTTCTTGCACGTTTTTGTTGTAGGTATCCTATAAGTGTGCAAGAGTGTTTTGTTACTCTCTCAAACATTTAAAATGGGGGACTCAGACAATGTTCAGCCACCATCAAAGAAGAGAGGTGCTGTGAAGCAGCTATCTCGTGACAATCCTGGTTTAGATGATGAGGATGATTCAGCTGATTTTGAGACTGGAACTTTTAAGAAGGCCAGTGATGAGGTATTGGCAAGTAGAAGAATTGTCCGAGTTAAGCGCAAAGAGCCATCTGCTACGACAGCTGCAGCACCTAATCCATTTGCTGGAATTCAGTTGGTCCCTACTACTGCACCTGCTTCAACTCCTGTGGTAACAAATGCACCTCTGACTGAGTCAAAGTTGACTCCAGCCGAAGCAGTGGTTGAGGATAATCAAAAGGAGATTGATTCTGAGGAGGGTGATGAAGTTGACAGTAAGAAGGTTGATGTCAAAGATGCTGCTGGGGAAGAGACTGAAAAGACTAAAGATGAGGATGGTAATCGTTGTGGAAAGAGTGCTGATGAACAAGTTGCTGATGCTGATGTAGCTCAGACCGTCGCATGTGTCACAAACGTTAGCAACAACGCTGTTGAAGGAACCGACCAAACTGAGGATCCTCTTGAGAAGGATTCAGGAGGTGCTCAGGCTGAGAAAAAAGAAAAAGAGGACAAAGGAATCGAAGAAGCAGATAAGAACGGCGATAATGGCGCATTTAGTTCATTCCAACAGCATTCAAGTAACAAAAACGCATTCACAGGACTTGCCAGTACAGAGGCTTCTGCTTCATCGTTCTCATTTGGTTTGGTTTCTCAAGATGGTTCATCTGGTACTGGGTCTCTCTTTGGCTTTGGCCTTCCAAGCAGCAATAACTCCTCTCTATTTGGTGCAACTGGATCATCCATTATCAAAAAGAGCGAGGGTACTGGGTTTCCACCAAAGCAAGAGGTTTCCACAGAAACAGGAGAAGAGAATGAGAAAGTTGCCTTCACTGCTGACTCGATTATGTTTGAATATCTTGATGGAGGATGGAAAGAGCGTGGGAAAGGAGAACTCAAGGTAAACGTCTCCAGTAATGGTGCCAAAGCAAGACTAGTTATGAGAGCTAAAGGAAACTACAGATTGATCTTAAACGCGAGTCTGTACCCAGAAATGAAACTTGCAAATATGGATAAAAAAGGAATCACATTCGCCTGTGTGAATAGTGTAAGCGAAGGCAAAGAAGGTCTCTCTACATTTGCACTGAAGTTCAAAGACCCGACAATCGTGGAGGAGTTTCGTGTAGCCATTGACAAACATAAAGACAGCAAACCAGTGGAGAAAGCAGAAGAAACAGCTCTTCCTCTAAAGACACCTGAGAACTCTCCAACAGCTACAGATGCTTGAAGAAAAGGTAAAAAGAAAAAAGAACATGTAGAAACATCTCTCTTGTCTTGTTACATTCTCAAGTAGTTGAATTTTGAGGCAGAGGAAAACTAAATATTTGGAGAGTTTTTTGCTTTTGTTTTCGGGACGTCTTGGTCACGTGTTTCTGTTTGTAGAAGAACCCTTATGCACTTAAAAATCTGTCTCCTTAATCTTTTTATATGTTCCATTTCCATATGAATGCGACCAGACTACACAGGTTTCAAATTGGTTCTTTGAAACCGTTGATCAACTTTGTTACATCAATCGTTTGATCAATTCGTCTGGATTTATAGACTAGGTTACGGACATTTACATGTAAGTTGGTACTTGGTAGCTTGGTTACGGACTAATCTTGAACGCAACTGTCACCTAAAACCAAAATAATGACTCATCTGTATTACCACTTACCACAAAACTCGAGGGGAGTAGATCCGCAGCAAGTGGCTCTTGGTGACGGAGATGAAAGACTCTTCTGGTGCCTACGAGACAGAGAAGACGATGGGGTATAGTAGCATTAGAATAATAAAATGATCGATTTTGCATGCAACCTCAAGCTATTTTGATGATAAAATTAGGTGGGAGCGATTCTAAATTTTGAAATGATCATACTTGACTGTAAAAATTTATCGCATGTGGCTTTCTATGTTGTTACTCAACCTGAATCTCTCGATTCAAAGATGATGATGATATTTTAATTTTGAGAGAAAGTAAATGAATGATTTTGTGTATATGTATTCGTTAATTTATAGCAAAAATTTAAAAAATTAATAAAATAATATGTGAATCTAAACCACCAATCAAATTTTGTTATGTGATAAAAAACGAATCTAAGAATCCAATGAGATTTTAGCAAAGTAATATTTTTAAAAATATGATCTAAGTAAATGTAACGCCAATCTTCTTTTGTACTATCTTATTTTTACTAAACACAATGTGTACTAACTACTATACTTCAAAACAAACATGTGGAGTTTTGTAACGTTCACTTTTATATACTACTTTTCTAACGGGTCGCAGATCCGGATTCTAGAATTCTTAAAGCATCTATATTGATTTACAACCTCTAGTCTCATGGATATGTTACTATTAAACTATTTATAAAATATTTTATAATGTAATTATATATTTAAATTTAAATTTCAAAACAAAAAATTAACCAATCAAAACAAGACGGTGTTAACAAGGGTCTTAAAAAATATATATCTTCTCTAAGAACTCATGGATATGCTTTTAGCATCTTATCCTAGATTAAGCAAATTGCAATAGATTTCACATATGAGTATAAGTCAAGGTCCATGAAAATTTTATAAAAATCAGAACATTTAACCTGGCTTTTATTAGACAGCAATATTTGTCAAGATGGCAGCCTAATTATCTTTGAGGACACTGTTACATAGAAACTCATATTATCTTCTCAGTTCAAGCGCCCATCTTCCTAGTCCATCTTTCTTCGTTCACATTCCCATTCCTCAACTAATCACTTCAGCTATATTATCCATCATTCATCAAAATTTATTTCTCCAGTAAGCCATGCCATTTGGGAGGCTAAGCTATGGGAAAGTTTATTTTTCATCACCGCCAACTTAAAAGGATGCTTTGGTGTGGCGATCGATGGCATGCATAAACAAAATTCCTGAGGACATAAATCTTGAATCCTACTTCTACTAAGTGCGTAAATATGTAGATGTAACAGTCTTGATTCTTGAATATTCAAGGATTCTAGTTTTTTCTTAGATTCAAGAATCGAAAAAACTGACTAGCCAAAACTATAATCCTTGATTGTCGTTTTAAAATTTATAACCAAATTTACATATACAGTAACTTGTAGTGTAGATTTAATTGGCTTTAAGCTGATATATTAAATCACACATCTTAGTGAAAATTTCCCAATATCCATTTCTATTGTAGTTTTTGGCCAAACACAACTTTACCAATTAAACCTCAAGTATATATATATATAAAATAAGAGTTATGAAAAAAGGAGTGACTCCATTGGCCTTAATCAAAGTGTAACTAAAAAAAAAGTGAAAGGTGAGTTTGTAGTTTGAGCACGTTTGTTTTGTTCACTCACTCATCTCCTCTGGTAGTTAACAATTTAACCAACGAATCATTTGCTCACATTTTCCTTATTTCACAACTGTCTCTTTACCTGCTTTTAAAAAAAGACAAAATGCCATTAGTTTCTTATACTTATTTTCTTCTATTATTGAAGATAAGAAAAGAAAAAAAAACAATGATTGATAGTTCATATAAAATAAAGATCGTGTCATACTAGTAGCATGGTTTATTTTGTTTTTTCCATTATTCAGATTCCAGCTCATGCATGTATTTATAATCTATGTATCTTGAGTTCTCAATTTTTATTTTTTCCTATTTTATGTAAGGAAATAATAATTTTTTCTTCTTTCTTTTTCGAACGTAAAATTTATGAAGAATTAGTGTATATATAATAAATGTTTCTTACGCATATAGGAAAAGCCAATAAGTGTTATAGTGTATTAATGCTTTTGATTTTAATACACTTAATAAGGAGTTTAGAACTTATGTGTTTTATTTTTTCAATTTATATACCGTAGTTGATACTTAAGTTGCATAATGATTGATTGATTACTTAAAAGCCGGTCTTTCGTTGTAGGTTACTTTTTTTTTTTTTGTATGAATGTGAAAATATATTCAAAACAAATAAATGACCTTTTTAATGCGTCCTTAAATCAAAAAACTTAAGTTAAAAAAACATCAAAATGTTAGAAAATGTTAGTGGTAGGTTACTTGAGTTTAAAAGAAAAAGAAAATGACATGTAAAAATTATAGATAGCGACAAATTACAATTTCAATTTCAATGTCGATATTGACTTGAAATGTTTAATGTAAATGTTGATATTGCAATATCAGTAATATCTACAAGCAAATCACTTTTAAAGTTTCAAGTATTTGTAGTTTTTACTGATGGAATGAGACAAAAAGAAATATTAAACTATAGTTGATAGCTCAATTATTGAGAAGTTTCTTAACAATTGTATAGATTCTTTTTAATGTAATTTTTCCTTTTTATGTTCGGAATATTATTACTTTTACATAAATGAATTAGACATTATTTTGTTCGTTACTTGCTAATTACAACCAAGAAATATAAATATTTTTTTATTCAAAAAAAGAAATATAAATATTTTTTAATAAATAAAACATATGACTATATGATCAGTCCGACGTGAAAGCGTCTCAAACCCCACACTTCCCTAATTATAGAAACTTGCCCATTTAGAGATCGACTGTTATATTATGTAAATATCAAATTACCAAAAAAAAAGCTTAATTACTAAATTTATTATCAACACAAATGTAATAAAAAAAATTGTTTGAGGAGATTATAATTGTAAAGAATCACGTGTTAGTTAATTAATTAGTAATTTTATTTGAACCTAACTAAATTTAATATCAACACACACGTACTTTTGGTGATGATACCGAAAACACATTTCACGCACATGACACTATAACACTCACTCAACGCCTCTCTCTATATAACACTGAACTCTCTTTCCCTTCATCTTCAACACAGTTCATCCCACCAAAGAGAGTATCAAAGACGACTTAGGGAGAGAAACACAAAAATCATGATGAGATTCGACAAGGTTCCTGTTCCTGTACTGTTAGGGTTAGCTCTGGTTCTAACTGTGTTGGGAGCTCTGACCAAAGCCGAAGCACCTGTGTGCGGTCCAGGTGTGCCTGAAATAGCATTTAGCAAAGCAAATTTCCCTAAAGACTTCATTTGGGGAACCGCAACCGCAGCGTTTCAGGTCCTTTCATGCCATATGCATATATGTTGTAATTTTGTTTTGTTATAATTTCGTGTTTATTATAGTTCTTGATTTCGTTGTTGTTATTATGTGGTGATAAATATAGGTTGAAGGAGCTGTTAATGAAGGTTGTAGAGGTCCAAGCATGTGGGATACTTTCACTAAGAAATACCCACGTACGTATGTCTATATATATCTATATATATATATTTCTTTGTTTTTGTGTTATTTTTACACGTTTTATTCGATTTATTAATATTTAACAAAATGTTGAAATAAATTTCCAGATAGATGTCAAAATCATAACGCTGATGTTGCTGTGGATTTCTACCATCGCTACAAGGTAAATTAATTATTCTCAACATGTAATTTCATAAATAATTCTTTGTTTTATTTTTCGATGATTAAAAGTTTATATTAAAATTCATATTAACAGGAAGATATCCAGTTGATGAAAGATATTAACAGTAATGGTTTTAGACTTTCTATATCGTGGCCCAGAATATTCCCCCGTAAGTATATTTTTTTCTTTTTAAAGAAAAAGTTTAATTAACGTCTGTATGAAGTATAATCGTAATTAAATTAATATTAACATAATTTTATGAATATACTTTATAAAAATGCTTGCAAAATAAATGTCAGATGGAAGGATGTCTAAGGGAATAAGCAAACAAGGAGTCCAATTCTACCACGACCTCATCGATGAGCTTCTCAAGAACAGTAATTATAACTTTCATTTTATCTCATTAAAAATTAGCTAATTATAAACCTCATATTAATTAAAAAGATATAACTATTTTTTTGGTTTTTTTTTTTATGTAGATATAATACCACTAGTAACAGTCTTTCACTGGGATACTCCTCAAGACTTGGAAGATGAATATGGTGGTTTCTTAAGTGGTCGCATTGTGTAAGTGATCACATCTAATTTTTCTACAATTTATAATGTGTCACATGAACTTACTTTATACTAAAATGTTTTTATCATTATAGGCAAGATTTTACGGAATTTGCGAATTTCACATTCCACGAATACGGGCACAAAGTGAAACATTGGATCACGTTCAACGAGCCGTGGGTGTTTAGTCGTGCCGGTTACGACGTCGGGAAAAAAGCCCCGGGACGTTGTTCATCGTACATCCCCGGTTATGGACAGCACTGTGAAGATGGACGGTCAGGATTCGAAGCTTATCAAGTCAGTCACAACTTGCTCTTGTCTCATGCTTACTCCGTTGATGCCTTCCGCAAATGCAAACAGGTTATATATTTTTTTTTGTTCCCTTTACTTAATTATCCTAATTACATTATGTAATCTAATTTGGTTCTGTAATAAACTTTTATCTAAATGTTTTATACAGTGTGCTGGAGGTAAAATTGGAATTGCACATAGTCCAGCTTGGTTCGAACCACGTGACCTTGAGGCTTCTGGAGGTTCCATTGACCGTGTGCTTGATTTCATCTTGGGATGGTAAAATAAAGAATATGTGAATAAATTCTTAAGTAATACTAATTAGTATTAACTTCTTATATAATCTCTTTGATCATTGTTTGTAATCAGGCATTTGGCTCCAACAACTTATGGAGATTATCCACAATCGATGAAAGATCGTGTAGGTTATAGACTACCAAAATTCACAGAAGCTGAGAAGAAGCTACTCAAGGGTTCTACAGATTACGTTGGAATGAACTATTATACTTCAATGTTTGCGGTTGAGATTAAACATGATTTTAAGAACCCTAGTTGGACTACTGATTCTCTTGTTGATTGGGATAGTAAGTAGTATATTCGAAATTATCCCTTAATTATCTCTTATATATAGTATCATTATTCTAATATTAATGTACGTTGTTAATCTTAACCAGGCAAGACTGTGGATGGAACCAAAATTGGTAGCAAGGTAATCCCTATAACGTATAACTATATAATATTAAAAGATTTTCCTAATACATAATTAATTTACTGTAATTTTGTTTTTCCAATAATTAGCCATTTGGTGGTAAGCTGGATGTGTATTCAAAAGGTTTGAGATCCCTTTTGAAGTATATTAAGGACAATTATGGCGATCCAGAGATTTTGATCGCTGAGAATGGTTAGTAAACAAAATGCTCAAACCTCATTTCATCAAACTTCAAAAATTAATTGTAGTTTAGATAGAGATTGAAATGTTTTTGGGTTTCAAAGGATACGGAGATGACCTTGGAGATAAGCATGATGACGTAGAGTTTGGGACACAAGACCATAACAGGAAATATTATCTCCAAAGGCATCTCTTCAGTATGAACCAAGCCATTTGGTAATTAGTATTAAATGTTTTCATTACATTATACATTAAATGATCAATATTAATGTGATGAACATGAACTGTCTTTTTTTGTAGCGAGGACAAAGTGAATGTTATTGGATATTTCGTGTGGTCGTTGATGGACAACTTTGAGTGGCAAGATGGGTACACCGCGAGGTTCGGGCTTTACTACATCGATTACAAGAACAATCTGACCCGTCACCAAAAAGTTTCGGGCAAGTGGTATTCCGATTTCCTCAAGCCGGAATTCCCGACTTCAAAGCTCAGGGAAGAACTTTAGAGACAAGAATCCAAACCGTGGGATCCTTTTATCAGGACAAAATAATTGAGTGCAAGGAGTCTTTTAAAAATGTTCTTGATGGATCATATCGGTTTGTGTGTAATTTTATGGACCTTGTTTTATCGTTTCTATCTTCCTATGCTAAGCAAGGCTTGTGGCTTGTTCAAGTTTTCATCGTACTAATAATAATGTTGTTTACAACAATATGGTCTCGTACGTCTTCTTTTCATTTATGTTGATTTTATATTCTTAATCTGCGAGAATCAAAAAAAATAATATAGATAGGGTTCACCAAGATCTTAAATACACGGAAGACAATGCTGATGATGAACATTGTAGATATCTTTCTTTTTCTGGGGTATTACGACTCTTTTTTTCTTGTGGTATTCTAAGATTATGTTTCTTCTAATCATGATCACAGCTGCTAAGAGAAACAAAATGTTGGAAGACATCGAACGCGAATTCAAAACAAAATGTTTTAAACAAGCTAGACAATGCTGGTTTAAATTATGATGAAGATGCTTCGATCGTTATACCGATTAAAATCATAATACACAATAAATGTAGAATTTCTAGGCATTAATTAGGCAATGATTCATATATACATAATTTTTTTAAAGGTGTAATTGCATAGTACTGGAGAAGTTACAGTATATGCTTTCTTTTCCGGAAAAAGTTTCACAGAATAAAGCAATCACACAAAAATGGTCTTTATTACTTTTTTTCTTGTTAGGAGTAGTGGTGAACTCAATTATTATACTACTACCATATATATAGGAACTGAACGAAAAAGTTCTCATATCTGAATTAATCAACATGGGCCATAGTTTATTTACAATGATTATGAGTCACAAGGCTGCTTTATTCGTAGAGATGCTCCCATGTTATCTAATGATTTCAGTAATAACATTAGTCAAATAACAGTAGTAAATTATATATATGTGAATCTATACATCACATGTTGCACATTCAAACGACTTGTTTCTACCGGTATTATCTATATTCATGTGCATGCGCTCTGGAAAGCGACGACCCACCGGAGTCATGCATTCAGAACCTGTCCATCAAATCTTGAGACACTGATTGGACAAAGTTATTATTGCTTATTTGGTATAAAACTATTCACTTATTCACATCAGAAATGGAAAAAAATAAGTTCGAAAGCGATATGTATATATATACACATTAGTCTCGCTAGTAATGTGTATATATTTTGATAATACAATCTTACAGTATTAATGTATTTTCATGTTTATAACTCGAATGAAGTAATACTTAATTACATTTCACATCTCTGTTTAACTTAGCTAAGCTAACACAAAAAAACGAGTTATATAAAAGAGGCACGAGATATATAAAAATGAAACCCACGTTTGAGTTAGTTACAACGGTTTTAATTATCTTAAAAACGTTTCCATGTGACGCATCTTCAAGCTGGCCTTAAGACTTTGTGTGTATCTCTTGTTCTTGTAATGGAAACCTCGGCCATGAAAACGATATTTTGTGTTCTTAGTTTGTCTCTGTGTCTTCTTCTTTCAAGCTTCCATGCTGTTTCTTGTCAGGTAAATTAAACACACAAAAATAATTAACAACATGTCACTCTTTTATTTTCAACCATATATAAAAAAAAATTTGATTTGGAATGCATCTTAATATCTAACTTAGGATGATGGTAGTAGCAGTGGTTTGAGTAATTTGGATCTAATCGAACGTGATTACCAAGGTAAGTAAATATTCAAAAACAATACTCACAATTATCCAAAAAAAAAAATTTCTTGGATTGATTTTTTGGTTTTTTTTTTTTTTTTGGTTACTTGTAGATAGTGTCAACGGTCTTCAAGGCAAGAAAGATGAAGATCAGTGTAAGAAGATCTCTCTCTATTATCACTTTCTTGTTTCTTTTCTCGATTCTGTTTTTGTTTTCTTCTGTTTGCGAGTTGTGAGTAGTGACAGCTTCTATGTTTGTGTTGGTGTGTGTCTTCAGCTGCAACGATACAGAGTGAACACCAGAAGAACAATACAGTGACTGATAAGAACACTATTTCTCTGTCTCTATCAGATCAATCTGAGGTTAGCTAGGGTTTAGCTTGTGTTAATTGGCTGCCTCTTTACGTTTATATTTGGATTCTGATGAGTGATGATAAATAAATCTGCCAAAGAGATTTTTGCAAAGTAGTTTATTCTAAGTTCTTAAGGTGAGTTTTCTTCTATTTTATGTGTGTTTAGGTTGGATCTGTTAGTGATGAAAGTGTTAAACGTTCTAGTCTGCTGGATCAAATCGAACTTGAATTTGAAGGTAACTCAGGATCTTGATATATCTCTCTTAGTGAATGTGTTTATGGTATGAAACAAGAAATGCCTTTTAAAGTTAAAATGTCATTCTTGATTGATTGCAGCTCATCTCAATAGTCTTAACCAAGCTGGATCTGATGATATCAAGGCTGAATCTAAGGATGATGAAGAATTATGTAAGACATTTTTTCTCTTTTTGTACATTTTCTTGAATGCTTTGTGTCTTGTTTTTCTGAGGAGTTGTTATGTGTCTTGTTTCAGCTGCTCAGAGACAGAAAATGTTGGAAGAGATTGAACGTGAATTTGAAGGTATCTCACAGATTCTAGCTAGGCAATGCTGATTTTATAGTTAGTCTCTAAAGAACTTCATTTATAAGAAATTTTTGTTAATTTGTCTTCTTTTGCTTCTGCTACTTGTTACAGCTGCTTCAACGAGTCTGAAACAACTAAAGACTGATGAAATAAACGAAGGAAGTGATGATGAACAAGGTAATGACTCTTTCTATTGACTCCATTTTCTCCTTGGTATAGTATAATACAATGAAGCAGGTTTTGTATCACTTGAAACAGCTGCAAAAAGACATAGTTTGTTGGAAGAGATTGAACGAGAGTTTGAAGGTATATTCCCAACATTTCTTAACTGGTTACTATTTTTTTCCTGAGATAAAAATTGGATCTAAGAGTTTGCTTTGTCTTCTGTTTCATTTCATACCTTAGCTGCTACAAAAGAGCTTGAACAACTAAGGGTTAATGACTTCACCGGGGAGAAAATTGACGAAGATATACAATGTAATGCAGCTCTTCCCTCCTCGGATTTATCTGTTCCATTGGTCTCTATATGGTGAATGGTTTTGTGTATTTGTTACAGCTGCAAAGAGAAAGAGTATGCTTGAAGCAATTGAACGCGAGTTTGAAGGTGCCTTGAGACACAATTATGTTTCAATATGTTCTGAGAAGAATGTAGAAAAACTTTGTGAATAATCTGAGTGTCATCTAAGGTTTTGTTTGTGTGTTTTTCTGTTTCAATTCTCCTACTTGCAGCTGCTATGGAAGGCATTGAAGAACTAAAAGTTTCTGATTCCACCGGAAGCAGAGATGATAAAGAACAACGTAAAGTCTCATATCATCCTTTTTTTGGTTTTCCCTGATCCTTAATTTCTGAAGCTGCTTCTATGTCCTCTTACAGCTGCAAGGAGACTAAGTGTGCTTGAAGAGATCGAACGGGAATTTGAAGGTACTTTGTACTATCTACTAACTGTCTTAAAACAGATTTTATGATTCATCAAGAAAAGTTGTGTAAGAGTATTTTCCTGTGTTCTGTTTCTCATAGCTGCTACAAAAGGTCTTGAACATCTAAAGGTTAGTGATTCAACCAAGAACAATAACGACGACGAACAAGGTATAAGAAGTTTTCCACTCTTCTTTATGTGGTTTATCTTCCTGCATACGGTTTTCTGAATCAAATTGATCTTATTGTCACAAAACAGCTGCAAAGAGACAAAGTTTGTTAGATGAGATCGAACGAGAGTTCCAAGGTATCATCTACATAACTTTTACAGGTCTTAAATAGTTCATATTATCATATCTATTGAGTATTATTATCTGAGAGTGTTGTATTTTCATTTATCACTTGCAGCTGCTACAGATAGCCTTAAGCATTTTCATGTTGATAATTCTGCTGAAGACAAAGAACAACGTAAAACAATCTTCTTCTTCTTCTTCTTTGCATCCGCTATTCGTTCAATATGGTCTATTAGCTCTCTACGGTAATCTGAGACAGGTTTTGAATGTATTGTTGCCAGATGCAAATAAACAAAGAATGCTGGAAGAGATTGAACGTGAATTTGAAGGTTATCTTAAATATCGAATGCACTAGACCAAAACATGGAAATAGTATCTTAAGCATGTTGTTTATTGTATTCTTCTTCTTGCAGCTGCAACAAAAGATCGTAAACATCTATATGATTTCACTGAAGGCAATGCTGATGATGAAAATTGTAAATATCTTTCCTTTTCAGAGGGTTTTCAGCTCTTTGTTTCTTATGGTATTCTAAGACTATGTTTCTTCTATTTCATGATCACAGCTGCTAAGAGAATCAACATGTTGGAAGACATCGAATTCGAAGGTATCTATCCTCAATTACCATTTGTATCACTTTATCTAGTTTCTATGTTTCATCCTAAGATTCAGTCACATTTTATTCTTGTAGCTGCCACAAAAGGTCTTGCACAACTAAAGGTTAATGATTTCACTGAAGGCAATACTGATGATGAACAATGTACGAAAAAAAAAAAAAAATACTCTTCTAGTCTTATATATTTTAGGGATTCACTTTCTTTACTGGAGTTTGCTGAGACAGAGTTGCTTGTCTCCTAATACAGCTGCAAAGGGACAGAGTATGCTTGAAGAGATCGAACGCGAGTTTGAAGGTATCTCAACATATCAGTATCTGTCTAATTAAGTAATTAGCTCATTCATATGCTTCAGAGGAAATCATGAACCTGTTTAATTGTTTACTTGCAGCTGCTATTGGAGGTCTTAAACATATTCAAGTTGATGATGCCAGAAACATTGAAGAAGAATGTAAACTCCCATTTTATTCTCTTTACAACCTTCTCATGCCAATTTTGAAACTTTTTTGGCTATATTTCTTGTTTCAGCCTCTAAGAGAAAGATAATGTTGGAAGAGATAGAACGTGAAGTTGAAGGTACTTCAAGATTCTATTAATGATCTCTCCTAAGTAAAGAAAGTATATATGAGTTTAAATCTAATTCCACCTTCTTTGTTCTGTAGAAGCACACAGTGGCATTAGTGCAAATGCTGCTAAAGAAGAACGTAAGAACCAATACTCTTTTAAATATTTCTGTTTCACTCACTGTCTCAGACAATTTTTGTAATCCAGTACTTCTTCTCACAGCTTCAAAGAAACAGAGCGGCTCTGTTCTACCAGAGGTTCTTGGACTTAGCCAGTCAGGTGTTTGTGGCTGCTTTAAACAAGACAATGCTGGTTTAAAACAAGACGAAGATGATTCGATTGTTATAACGACGAAATATAGCATAGACGAGATCCTCTCTGAAGAATCTGCAATCAAGGTTTTTGTTTCAGACCTTTTCTTGAGCAACAAGAAAGGAAGGGTCACAATCATAACTCTATTTCCTATGTTTTCATGAATTTGCAGGGAACAGAGACTTCTAGTCTCACAGCGTCTTTGACTCAACTCGTTGAGAATCACAGGAAAGAGAAGGAATCTCCACTCGGACACAGAGTTCTCACTTCTTCTTCCACAAGCGAATCAGCTGTTACATCAGAGACTGTAGAAACCCTAAGAGCCAAACTGAAAGAGCTTCGCGGTTTAACTGCTCGTGAGGTTGTGATGCGTAAAGATTTCGATCAGATTCTCATTACTGCTGCGAGTTTCGAAGAGCTAAGCTCAGCTCCGATCAGTTACATCTCTAGGTTAGCTAAATACAGAAACGTCATCAAAGAAGGACTTGAAGCTTCTGAGCGAGTTCAACTAGCGCAGGTACGAGCGTCAATGCTCAAAGAAGCTGCCACGGAGAAGCAAACGGTCGTGGACTCTCATTTCGCAACCGCTAAAACGCTTGCTCAAAAAGGAGACGCGTTGTACGTTAGAATCTTTGCGATCAAGAAACTGTTGGCGGAGTTTGAAGCGGAGAAAGAATCTGTTGACGCAAAGTTTAAGGAGACTGTGAAAAATCTTTCTCATCTTCTTGTTGATGCTTCTGAGGCTTACGAAGAGTATCATGGCGCAGTTAGAAAGGCGAAAGACGAGCAAGCGGCTGAGGAATTTGCAAAAGAGGCAACTCAAAGTGCAGAGATCATTTGGGTTAAGTTTCTTGATTCTCTTTAAAGAACAGTTGAGATTCTTCGTTGTGCTTAGAGCAAATCTAGAGCTCTTGTTGGTTTTTTTGTGTTGTATTTTGGGATGATGTTGTGTTTGAGAGTTTGTGTGTTGGTTATATATCTGGAGAGAAAGGTTACGAGATAGAGAAGAATTAAGAGAGTGTCTTTGAAAACGAATAATGGTTTTGTTTCAGATCTCTATAATAATAAAAGCTTTCAATAATATTTCACACTAAAACCTTTTGCATACCTTGTGGCTTGTGTAACAGTTCTTTTAAACATCTTTGGTGTGTCACTTTAAAATCATGTTGCCAAGAAAATTAGAATCTGGTGCTACAACGTCGTTTTGATTTAAATGATATAGTTCAAGGCCCAAGCCCACGAGAAAAATACAATTTAAAAATAAAAGCCTTAAACTACGCCGGTTTAAAGAGATTACAATAATTAAAGAGCGCAAAGTATAATTAAGAAAGGAAACAAGTGGAGAGAATTAATTACAAGGAAACAAAAATTAACAAGGAGAAGAAGCACAGTCTCCTCTCCTCTCTCTGCTTCAGCTCTGATCTCTGAAGAAGAAGACTACTGAGTACAAAAGTAAGCTTTTCTTTCTCGTCTCTTTGTCTACTTCTTCGTCGCTTTTCTCTGTTTTTTGAATATCCGGTGAAGATCATTGACTTCAAGTTTCGTGTTGCTTCGTAATCACAGATTACTGCGTTTTTGTTGCTATTTCTTCCTTCGGATGCTGAAACATTGGAGAATCTGCGAATCCAAGTCCGTGTTTACTTATCTTCTGGTAATTTTAGCTCACCGATCGATTTGAATTTGATTTTTTTTTTTTGGTAATCGGCAAATCCAAGTCCCAGTGGTTACTGAGCTTCAGTCTCCGAATCATCCAACGCGATTTTGTAATTGTAATGCTTGTTTTATGGGAACCTAAGGAGAATGCAAATTCTTATGGCTTTGTAATTTTTAAGATCCTTTGTAATCTGATTTAAGCTGTGGAGTTTTCTCCAGATTTGGTTTGTAATAGTTGTAATGCAGATCAGCAGAGTATTTTAGATCTGAATTCTAACTAGCTCTACTTATTTAAACTTTTCTTTAGTTTATTTCTGGTACCAGGTTTTTAGAGATTAGAGTTTGATGAACTATAGACTGATTGCTTGATTTCTTTTCTAGGTTGCGGTGTTGTGGCGGTTTGATTTCTACTAGTTTCTGTTGTATTTTGTGGATTATATGATGCTTATAGTGAGACTACTATAGCCGTTGGAATCATGGAAGAGATTCGGTTATCACCGCTGAGACAGACAAGCGTTAAGTCTTCGCTGTCAGGGAGGTCTACCCCAAGGGGTTCACCTAGAGTGCATTCTGGTAGGACACCGCGTAGAGTTCATGGGGGAGGAGGAGCTGTTCAGTGGTTCCGTAGTAGTCGGCTGGTTTATTGGCTGCTTTTGATTACTCTCTGGACGTATCTTGGATTTTATGTGCAGTCTAGGTGGGCGCATGATAATGAAAACAAAGTTGAGTTTTTGCGGTTTGGAGGCAGACCGAGAAAGGATGTTTTCTATGTGGAGACGAATAAAGAAGCTGTTGCTGATGACGAGAAGAAGTCTGATGGTTTTCTGAACATTACCAGTACGGATGATGCTAGTTTGAATAAGAGGACGGATGTTAGTCTGACCAAGAAAGATGATGGGGCTTCTCGACGAAGCTTGAGTTCCAAGCAGAAGACGAAAAAATCTGGCCGGACTTCACGTAGTAAGATCCGTGGTAAGCCGAAGGTAAGTAAAGAGGTACTTGAGACTAAGGATTTGGATGATGAGCAAGATCCTCAACTTCCAATGACAAATGCTACTTATGGTAAGCTTCTTGGTCCCTTTGGATCACTAGAGGATAGAGTTCTTGAATGGAGCCCACATAGACGGTCTGGGACTTGCGACCGGAAATCAGATTTTAAACGCTTTGTTTGGTCAAGGAGATTTGTCCTTGTATTCCACGAGCTATCAATGACTGGCGCTCCAATCTCAATGATGGAGCTGGCTTCAGAGCTTTTGAGCTGTGGTGCAACAGTCTCCGCAGTAGTTCTCAGCAGGAGGGGTGGATTGATGCAAGAGCTCAATAGGAGAAGGATCAAAGTGGTCGAAGACAAAGGAGAACTCAGCTTCAAGACCGCCATGAAAGCAGATTTGGTCATTGCAGGATCAGCAGTATGTACCTCATGGATAGGTAAGAATTCATTATGTGATTTATGAACTACTAATTTAAAATCAAAGGAAATCAGAACTTAATTATTGTACTTCCATTTGTCGCAGATCAATACATGAATCATTTTCCAGCTGGTGGAAGTCAAATAGCTTGGTGGATAATGGAAAATCGACGAGAATACTTTGATCGAGCGAAGCCAGTACTTGACCGAGTGAAAATGCTGATTTTCTTATCTGAATCACAGAGTAGACAATGGTTAACATGGTGCGAGGAGGAGCATATAAAGCTTAGATCACAACCAGTAATTGTTCCACTCTCTGTAAATGATGAGTTAGCTTTTGTAGCTGGAATTCCTTCCTCACTCAACACACCAACGCTTTCTCCAGAGAAAATGAGGGAGAAGAGACAAATATTACGGGAATCAGTGAGAACAGTGTTAGGTTTAACAGATGCAGATATGCTTGTGATGTCTCTTAGCAGCATAAACCCAGGAAAGGGACAACTTCTTCTCCTTGAATCTATTGCCTTAGCACTTGATGAGAGAGAACAAGAAGCTTCAAGGAATCACAAGGGCATCATTAGGAAAGAAAAGGTTAGTCACTCCAGCAAACATCGTTTAAGAGGTTCATCCCGACAGATGAAAAGTGTTTCTCTTACACTTGACAATGGTGTAAGAAGACAGAAGCAAGAACTTAAAGTTCTTCTAGGATCAGTGGGTTCAAAGAGCAACAAAGTTGGATACGTTCAAGAGATGTTAAGCTTCTTATCAAACAACGGAAACTTGTCTAAGTCAGTTATGTGGACTCCAGCAACAACTCGCGTTGCTTCTTTATACTCTGCAGCAGATGTCTACGTTACAAACTCCCAGGTTATCCTCCTTAGACCTCAAAAAATATAATTAGATGCATGTACAGTTTCGCTCAGAAGCTAGTATATATTAGGTTCCATTTCGGTTTGACCATTTCAATTTTGTTTTGTTAGTTTTATAATTGAATATTCTTTTACAGGGAGTTGGTGAAACATTTGGGAGAGTAACTATCGAAGCAATGGCTTATGGACTGGCAGTGGTGGGAACAGACGCAGGAGGAACCAAAGAGATGGTGCAACACAACGTGACTGGTCTGCTTCACTCGATGGGACGATCAGGTAACAAGGAATTGGCTCATAACCTCTTGTTTCTACTGAGAAATCCAGACGCAAGGCTACAATTGGGGAATGAAGGACGCAAAAAGGTTGAGAAAATGTACATGAAGCAACATATGTACAAACGTTTCGTCGATGTTCTTGTCAAATGCATGAGACCATAAACACTTTAGTTCATCACAGAATTATTGAGTAAAAAAAAACTGAAATTTTGTTTGTGGAGTTATTGGATTTTGGGGAACATATTCATAGAATCTGAAGGTTTCTGTAGTTCAAGTGGGTCATATTTTCAATTGTTAGCATATCGACTGAAGGTTTAGAGTAATTGAGTAAAGATAAAAATGTAGCTTCCAAAGACAAGCTATTATAGGACAGAGATCACAACTTATGAATTAGAACATGTCAGTGTTTTATACATCAATGCTATGTTTCTCTGTATTGATACACTTGCTAGGTCTTCGATTGGACAGCTTCATAAACCAGAATCTCTGGTCGAAGGTTCCTTTCTGCAAAGAATCTGATCACATTCTCCCAGTTACCAACATCCTGTATAGCATGCACAAAACGTGTCAATCATGTCTGGCCTATCTAAATTCACAATTTAAAACTGTTTCGTCTTACCTCTCCTGCTAAAGACTCTCGTGTGAGATTGACCCACCGGTTTTCTTCATAAGCTATACAAATGTGTTCTTCTTCTCCACCAGAACCAACCTGCAGCAACATAAGTTCAGACTGTAACAGATAGATACAGAAGAACAATAAGACAAAACAAACAATTTTTACCCTGTTTCCAGAGTTTACCATTGATACAAGTCGGTAGTTAGTGTTTGGCTCTAAGCCTACGTATAGCCTGCTGATATCTATCTCCCAGTCCAAAGCCTTCATTGTTTCAGATATTTCTTTTTTAGTTTCACTCTTCTCCCATTCTAACACTAGTGTTCCAAACCCACAAAACACCAACAAAGTTTTATTATAAGCATTATAAATGAAAGAAGCACATAAGATCACAATCATGGTGGTCAAAAACTTACCAATTATGAAGATAGGTGGGCATCTACTTATAATATGATGAACAAAGTTCGACTCTCCACAACCGACTGTTTCAGTGTCACATGACTTTCGATATTCCATGCGGATCACCCTAAGTATGTCCACAAACTTTATACTCTCAAGCGCACACTGCATATATTTAAGCACATGACAGCTTTATAAAAGGATGTACCAGTTTCTGCAAGAAAGATAAAGAGATAAATAAATGAAACATACCTTGAGGTGTCTGATTGAATCTGCAGCCATAACAATAACATACGAACTTTCCTCTGGATAATTTGTAATCCTTCTGCATTTTCGACAACTCATTCTTTCATTCCCCACAACCGTGAAAAGGCGGGTAACCATACTTTCTCTTTCTGGATATTTCCAACAACACCAAAACTCAAGGATGGCCACAACTACCTTAGCAGCATCACTAGACTGCAAAGAGTAAAACATAGAAAACCTTTAGAACAACAATTACACTTATGGACAAAAAAAGTTGATATACAATTCTTCGAAACTTTATCTTCTTCACACCAACCATGGGAATAACTTCTTCTAGGGAAATAAGTAACTCGCTCAATAGGTAACTGTAGACTCCGTCATTGTCTATCACCTCAAACACCAAAGCAGTAAACAAATTTTGTATCGAAGAAGGAACTTGTTGTTCCAGGTGGGCTTGAAATGGTTTCATATTGTTCTTCAAATCTTCTTTGAGTACCTTAATTCTCAAGAGAGCCTGCAACACCACATATTTTTGTGAACTTATCAAAAAGAAGCGAAGAGATATAGAATGAGTTGAATCAGAAGATGAGAGTTTAGGTATAAACTAATTCTTTTTTTTTATTGGTAACTGATTTACCTTTAGCGTCATGTCAAGAGCTGAACAGTACTTGGCTACAGCACCTCCAAGTGCCGACAATGAAGCTTCTCCAAGCATGTTTAGCATATCTTGAAAATGACGAATGAAAGAAATTAGAATTATGCATCTCAAAACAATATTCAAATTATTAGTCAATGAAGAAGCTTTTAGACAACCATAATTATCTTGGGTAGCGTCCTCTTGATTTTGAGTATTGGATGAATGTTCCAGTCGACCCCTCTCACTTGCAAGAGCATCTTCTTGTTCCATAGAATCTTCTTCCATCGATGGCGATGTACTTTCCGGTTCAAGTTTGACAGAAGGTTTACTGTACCTGTAAGAACTCGTATTGTTTAGAGAAAACCGGAAAACAATTTATCAACATGCAAGATAATGAAAATTAAAGTACTTACCATTCAACAGTCTTGCCACGGAGGCTATACTTGCTCGTTGAAGTTCTCTGTTACACCATGAAGCCCACTCATTCTTACAAGCAATTTGGGGAAAATAATTCTCTTGTATTGGATAATGAATATGTAATATATAAACAAAGCAGAGAAGTGGAAGCCTAAAAGTAAAGAAACAAAATCCAAATGGAAGATTTTATCCCAAGATAAAAAATTGTTATTGACCTGTTCAGAGAAGTTAAATCAAGAGTACTAATAATAGTTTAGGAATTGAAAGACCTTGTTTCGTTTATCATTCTTCTTCTGTGATTGTGACTTCTTCTCCTCCTCGAATGAAAGATCTGCTGCTACTGCATCTAACTTGGCTCTGTCCTCCATATTTCTAATTTCATTCTAGATGAGAAGAGGCATAAAAAAATATTAGAAACAATATAAAGGTCAAATCAGACATGAAATGAAAGCTGTCAGTATATAACCAACCAGTAAGAAGGGTTTCATCAGTTGAAGGATATCAGTGCGGTTGTCATAAACAGAAAGCCTGACTAGGTTGTTTAGCAAACTTATCCTTGAATTATCAATTAACAAAATCTTTGAGTCGATTAGAAGAACCTGCAAGTCAAGTAGAAAATTTTATTAAGATGGAGTGAATATGTTATTCTGCTGTTAATGAAGAATACTACAGCCATGAATGAACCTTGTGGGTGACCACTGATTTCAGAAGGCCTATGGACTGCAACACTTTGTCGTCACTAAGAATTTTTTGGTCACGTATAAGGTTCAAGCAGTCTTCTAAATCAGGGACATCAAATGTTGGATGCAATGCTCCTTCCAAAACATCTCGTACTGCACACAAGAATATTTTTGTAGCGAGGGAATTTTCGGGGACTCTCTCTTCACACCTATCACATAATAGACATGCATATCTGATCCACTGATCTTCCTGCAGATTCCGTCTCCTTTCATCTTCACTCACACATATGTTCTGGATTGCAGTAAGAGCTGCTTCATAATCTAAGACCAGTACTTTCTTTGCATATTTGGTTCCCAAATTCCGACATGTGAACTGAACAGCTTTGAGAACAGCTACCCATATATCAATATTGTGCTCCCTGATAGATCTGGGAAAGGGCCTATCTACTGAATTGTTGTCAGTTAGCCAAGATATGATATCATCCCCCTGAGCATGTGCCTTGGCGTAGTGAACATTGGGATCAAAAACATTGATTGTCCCATCATCATTTAATGGAGCATTATTGCTTTTCAGCAGTCTTCTATCCAGAAGCAGATGTGAAAGCTGAAGGTCGAAATCGATCTTCTCTTTAACCCGAGTTTGACCCAAGAAACTGTCTACTGCACTGGAAACCACATTTGTACCATCATCCCTTTCGCACTTTACGTTTTTCAGAAAGTCTAGGATTTGACCGAGTTCATGACATTCCAGGAAACAGATACTCTGAGGTGTTTCCACTAGGTGAGAATCGAGAAGACTCTGTTTGGGAATTTCAAACTGTCCAAGATGCTTAACCGGAAAACGCATCAGCCAGTCACGAATGCTACAAGATAATGTTTTCTGCTCACAAAGCAAGACAAGGATCAATTTGATTTCCTCGAGCAATTTACCACGCTCTTCATCCGCAGCTAAAGGCCATTCTCCGGACCATCCATTCTTACATTTAGCTGTAAACGATTTCACATATGCGAACTGGTTCTTGATCATTTCAACAGCAGCTACTGCATCCACTGGTTTCCAACCTCCAATCGAAATCTTACGAGCCCAGTCCTTCCCTATTCTCTGAACCCTATCCTTTTCTGTAGAAGGTTTAATATCTGCAGCATGTTCTTGTTCAAAATGATTCTTACATTCTTCAGCACTAGAGAAACGTTTCCAACAACACATCCAGAATGTCCATGTCCTGTCTCTCCTTGCAGAAGCAAGAGCTTTCTCCAAAGCATCTAGTCCCGCTTTGTAACGTTCTGCTCCCTTGACAAATCTTATAAGCTTTGCAATGCTTACTTTCATAAAGTCCCTTTTGACCTTAACATCCAATCCCATCCAATACGTCCTCAACCCTTCAAACTCATCCTCACGTGGGTCTGGACTTTTCTTTGACTCCAAATGCTTTGGTACAGATTTTATCTTCATAATAGAACCAACTACTAGAGTCTTGGAAGAAGCGATCTTGGACTCTGCATCTTCGATTATTCTCAACATTCCCTTCTTTGATTCCTTCAATCGTATCTGCTTAGCAACAGAGTCGGATTCATCTGGGAAGGAAACAGATAAAGCTTGTTTTGCTTTCTTCAAACACTTCTTGTGATACAATACTGAACCAAGCATGTTGGCTAATACGTGGAATGATTTCGCACAGACTGGTGATAACCTATCATCTACCGTGTAGCACTCAAGAGTTCCCAAAATGTAAGTGAATTTCACATTAGGGTCCTTTGTTTGGTGCGTTAGCTGTAAGAAGATTTGACCTTGTTTGAGACGAATGAGCCATGCGTTCTCATCTTCCCAATGGACTTGAATCAAATCTTCAAGTATCTCCATAGCCTTGAAGTACTCTCCTTTAGCGATGTGATGTCTAGCATCTTTGAAGAGTTTGCCATCCTTGAAAGAAGAAGAAGACTCCATTGTACACGATCCTCAAAAGCTTTCTAGGGTTTTCTTTTCTTGCTTCAGAGAGAAGAAACTGTGAAGAGCGGGGTGAAAAAAAAAATGCGACGAAAATAACAGAACTGTATCATCAAAAGAAGTTGGCTTTTATAACGTGAGAGCCACGTGACCCAGTTTTGAGCATTGGGGAATTGTGTCGAACACCTTGTGTGCAAAATCTGTGGTACACTCAACAGCTTCGAATTGGTAGTTAAATCCATGAATAGATCAACAAAAGAAAACCCAGAATTTGTATAAAGCTTCGATTTTTGCTTAAGAATTGAATATACAGTGTTCTTCATGTTGGTGATGAAAAAATTCGGACTTGAAAGTTGAAAAAAAAAAATTGTTTTTTTTCTTTTCAGAACCACGCACGTTGAATCAATTAATGGATACGATTAGAAGAAACAATGGACTATATCGTAGTTCTGGGCTTTCTTATCTAGGCCCGTTAACATTTTGTAGTTTTTTTATAATTTTGGTTTGTTAAATATATTCGATCTTTTTTTTGGGCTTAGCCCACTGATTCATATTTGATTCTGAAATATTCATCATATTGTCCATTTTGATCAATTTTAACATATAATATTGCACTATGCATTTAGATTATTTGTTGAAGCAAACACACAAAATTGGAACTCAGAAGTTTACGAATATAATGAAATGTACCATATCAAATGTAATAGTGTTGTACCTTTCTTTGTGATATTTTGTTTAATGACACCTCTATTTTTATATGTACTAGAAAACCCCTCTTTTGTGATATTCTTGTTTAATTAAACCTCTGTTTTCTTTTTGTGATTCTCTTAGAAGTTAGTTGTTCTTTGTGCATGTGATTTTATTTAAATATATATATATATATATAGGGAAAAAGAGGCATGCATGAAAATATTTAAAGTTTACGTGTTCCTTTAAACAAACAAGCAATGAGGTGAGGATGTAAATTTCGTCGAGCCATATGACTCACTATATCATATGAAATTACTCATTTCCTATAAATATTTTATGCTAATTCTCTCTTCTTCTTTTTTTTTATAAACTAAATAAAAGAAGATGCGTGGAAATATTAAAGTTTACGTGTTCCTTTACATATGAGGATAGAAGTTTCGTTGAGTTATCTATATGACTCACTTAATCATCTAAATTACTCAATTTTCTATAAACCAAATTGTAGGAAATTAATCATATTATTACGCTCTTTTTACATGTACATGACTAATATTAACATTTAATAAAATGAGGTAAACCTATATATGTATATTTTATATTATACGTCTATATAGTTTTTAAAAAACAAATTGTTTAACTTCTATTCTCTATACACAATAATTAATATTTTACCATGTTGATTAATATAACTCGAACTAGCTTGATTAGAATAATAAATCTATTATCAAAAGAAAAAGTAAAATTATGATCAGAACTAAGACATTAGGGAAATGGCTGCAGATTCATATATCTATTTAATTTTCTTGCAACTAAATTTTATTGTCTTTACTTCAATTCTTGATTCTTCACTTTTCTTGTTAGTGCTATCAAGTTGTGGTGGGAATTAACCCTCTTTTCCAAGATTTTTAAAATTAAAGTATTAATTTTTTTTATTTGCAAACCAGTTTTTTCAAACATAAGAGTAATTTAGGAAGCCAAAGATGGAACGTTAATAAGATCACGTTACACCCAATTTGATAATGAGACCAATGGACATCTTGACCACTAATGACTCGAGCTCACTTAGTCATTTAATTTGAAACGACTCCCAAATAAAATATCTTGTAACTTTGCCAAAATGTGTATACCAACTAAACTAAAAAATATATATTTCATATATACATGTTGAGCTAGGTACATGCATTTCCTACAATATACTAGTATTTAGATCATAAATCATACTACTGTTTTTAAGATCCAACATTAGTCTACACTCTACGTACATACGTGTAAAATCTCTACTAATTATGAAGGTTATAAATATTGTAAGTAATTTATTTTTCCAAATACAAGTATAATTGTTTATCGGTTAAACCAAAAATTAAACAAAAACATATGAGTTTTATATTATTGGTTTTTAACATCCAGCTGTAGTACACCGTAGATATGATATCAGAAGTTCAATGTGGATTATACGTATAAAATTAGTAAACTTTTGCTTTTTTGGTTTATATATATACACATTCTTCCTCACATATTTTCACCATCACTGGTTTAAGGAATCATCTCTCAAAACATAAAACACAAATCTGCTAAGTATTAGAAAAGCTCGTCAAGTTCTTCTTCTCATCAAAACATGGCGGCTTGTGGTATGTCTTCTCTCCTTCTTGATTTTTCATGTTATGTCAGTTTATTGCTTCGTCTTCTTCCTATAATTACTCTCGAACAAATTTGTTTGGATAACGACATTTTTATTTAATTTATTACGGTAATATCTTTGCAGGTAGAGATGACTTCACATACAATCCTTTTGTTCATCCTCAAGGAGAGCATAAGGCCACTATGATCTGGCTGCATGATAAGGATGAAAACCATTTTGAGTAACGTTTATATCATCAGATGACTTGTTTTGCATCGTTACATATGTTTCATTTCTTCTAATTCCATGTTTTGAAAAAACTCTTTCATTCGTATTGCACATGACCGGAATATACTCTTTTGTATAGATTAATCATAGAAGCTTCAAATTATTGCTTATCTTATTTGTGTTTATATATTCTGTTTGCAGTCCAGTTAATTTTGCGAAATCTATGAATCTTGAAAATGTAAGTATCCATGGTGAAAACCCACTAAATTAAATACCTCTTAATTTTTGTTAATTTACAGCATGAATTTAATTATTTTACATATATATATATATATAGGTCAGATGGATATGTCCACCTATGGTTTACACAAATACATGTGAGATACATTATCTTCTTGGCTTATATACTCACATATTTATCTCGCAAATATTATGTGATGTCATATTAATTAATTTACACACAATTAATTAGAATATTTCTTTGTTGAATCAGCTTACGACTTCGGATGTAACATCAAACAAGATGATCAAAAGACATTAGATCTCGCAGCTACCCTTGTTGCTAGTCTTTTCTCGAGTGAACCACAAAATGGTATATTATAATTATTCGCCTTATTAATCTTTTGGTCTCTGCATGAAATATTTTTTCTTTAAAATGTTATATCACATTAGAAAATATATAGTATTTTTTTCCCTTTTTAGAAAATCTTTAGAAATATAAATGTTAGGCTCTTTCTTTCTTTCTTTCTTACACATATCTACTGTAACAGCCTATGTAATATACATGCATCAGATCCTCTAGCTAATAAATCACAAAACTTTGATGTAGTCATAAAAGGAGTAGGAGGTTCTGGGATGGGTGCAGTAGCAGCTCTCCACTTTGCAAGAAACTGTGCTCTTGGACATTATCCTATCAATCCCCAAGTTGTTGTTAGCATGGATGGGTGGCTTTCTATTGTGGGGTATAATTATTAATTATATAATCACTTATCTCTATGTATTAGATTTAAAAACTTAAGCTTACGTTTAAATACCCTATCATCGAATGATGTATGACTAAATTACTCAACCTTGTAGGAGCATAAAAAGCAGTGTAGAAGCTACAGTTGGGGCTGCGGCTCGTGCTGCATCGCAGTCAATCTTACTTACCCATGGAACTGGTAAATCTATATATGTGTTCTATATATTTTTTCCTTTGTAGATATAGTGAGCACGATCGAGACAACTCTTTATGATTGTAGGTTACTCAGAGCATCTTAGACTTCCTTACACCCGTGATGACGAAGTTGTTGTGTCCCTTAAAGAGGCTGGCTTTGGAGAAGTCATGTTCGTACCATACTCAAAGTCAAGGTATATACACATTGATTATTTTACCACTAATTAGCTTTGCTTTATATATGTATACTTTTTTTTTGTTTATTTGAACATACTTTTTTATAAGTTTCTTGAATTATATGTCAATGTGTAGCCTTAGAGAAATGGTCATCAAGTCGCTCCTACCGTAAGAGATGAAGCTCCCAATCTCATCCAGACTAATAATAAAGCTCTACCATATAAAAACCGTGCGCATTATCTAGTGAATAGTGATTTATATATTTTATTTGTTAGCGAGACTCATGAATAATAAGTTAGCTGATGTTTAAACTTTATGGTAAATTTATCATCAAGTACTTGTAACAACTTTTTATTTATAAATAAAGAATCAAATATCTATTAATATATCTGGTAATGAGTATATGGTGTGATTATATATGATGATTATAAATATAACTACGTCTGTACAATTTAGCTTTATTAATTGTTTAATTTTTTATGATTAAAACAAAAAAATTACAGTGTCAATTAATGAATTAATAGGATTGAAACTCATATACTGTATATGAAAAGTAAAGTAAAATTAGGTAGAAATAAGACATTGGGCATATAGTACCTTTGTAGTCTTGCAGATTAATCTATTGTTTCCAATCAAACATTTTTATTGTTTTTCCTTCTTGATTCCTCACTTCTTCTGTTTTCACTAATTTGGTGTTATCAAGTTGTGGTGACCTTTTCCAATATACAGCAAAAGAAAAAGAGTGGCAATTAAACAAGCCAAGTTTTTCAACGTAAGAGTAATACTGAAAGTCAAATGTATGGAAAGTTAATTAGTACACCAATTTGATAAACGAGAAATTTAAAATATATGTTATTTCATGAAAAGTATAGGAATTTATTTACCAAATCTTTTTTTCTTGTTCAATGTTCAGTTTTTTTTTTTTTAAACAGTTTTTTTTTTGTTTTTAGAATCCACCAAAATAAGGATGAATCGCAATTGAACCAAATTAACAATTGAATTCAAGGTAGCTTTCAGCTTTCGACAACATCCCGTCGTATTAAAGATCAGAGAGCTATTTGTGCATGCATGTGACGATTTTACAAAATAAATAAATAAAAATATGAAGAAGATGCATGCATGGAAATATCAAAGTTTTATACGTGGTCCTTTGCATAAACAATGAGGATGGAAATTTTGTTGAGCTATATGTATGTATATATGACTCACTTAATCATCTGACTTACTCATTTCCTATAAATATTTGAAGTAAATTGTAGGAAACTAATCATATTACGCTCTTCTTACATGTACATGTCTAATATTAATAACATTTATAAAATGAGGTAAACCTATACATATTTGGTATTATATATACATATATATATGTATACAGATTTTTTACGAAAAATTGTTTAACTTCCTTTCTCTATACACAATCATTCAATATTTTACCATGTTAATTAATATAACTATAGATCAGAATCATAAATGTATTATGAAAAGAAAAAGTATAATCAGTATCAGAACTAAGACATTAGGTAAATAAAACGGCTACAAATTGATCTATTTTTTCTTTGAAACTAAATTTTATTGTTTTTCCTTCTTGATTCTTCACTTTTCTTGTTTTAGTGCTAGCAAGTTGTGGTGGTAATTAACCTCTTTTCCAAGATTTCTAACAGAACAAAAAGTATTCAAAGTTTTTGTCAAGCCAGTTTTTTCAAACATAAGAGTAATTTAGGAAGCCAAATTAAAGATGGAACGTTTAATTAGTACACGGTACACCAATTTGATAATGAGACCAATATATTGGACATCTTGACCACTAATTAATGACTCACCTAGTCATTTGAAACGACTCCCAAAGTAACTTTTGCAAAATGTGTATACCAACTATATATTCAAAAAATAATATTTGATATTTACATATGGAGCTAGCGGTACATGCATATGTCCTAAACTATAGAATTTAGAAAATAAATGATGTTATCGGTTTTTAAGATCCAACATTAGTCTATACTAATTATGAAATTTTATCAATATTTTAATTTATTAATTTTCCAAATAAAAGTATAATTTTTATCAGTTTAACTTAACTAAAAACGTATAAGTTTATATTATTGGTTTCTAAGATCCAGCTGTGGTACACCGTAGATATCATAAGTTCAATTTGGATGATACGTATAAAGTTAGAAGAAAAGAAAAAGAAATGGAATATTCTCTTCAATTACATCATGTTTTTGCTTTTCTGGTTTATAAATACACATTGTTCCTCACATATTTTCACCATCACTGGTTTTTGGAATCATCTCTCCAAACATAGAACACAAATCAGCTGCTAAGTATTAGAAAAGCTAGTCAAGTTCTTCTCATCATCAAGACATGGCGGCTTCTGGTTCTGGTATGTCTTGTTTCCTTCTTGATTTTTCATGTTATGTTAGTTTATTGTGTCGTCTTCTTTTCTTGTTCACAATCACACTTGATAAGGTGTATATTCCCAACTCTAAGTTTTTAAGATGAAATGAAAGAAATCTCCAATCATTTTTAAAAACTAAAATCTCTTTTTATAATTGAAATCCCCAACAATTTTTTTTTCTTTTTTTAAAGCATGATTTTGTTGATTTTTTCAGAAGAACGTGCATGTTATTTTGAAATGTTCCTTAGTGCATATTCCTATTAAAACTCTAAAACAATTTTGATTGGATAATGACATTTTTTTATTATGGTTATAATATCTTTGCAGTTAGGTACTATAGTAGAACTGGACCAGACGGAGATGACTTCCAATGCGATCCTTTTGTTCAACCTCAAGGAGAACATAAGGCCACTATTGTCTGGCTGCATGATAAGGATGATTACTATTTCGAGTAACGTTTTACATTACTTAATTTTACAATGATTAATCCATGTTTTGGAAAACTCTTTTTTTTTTTTCACGTCTTACGTACACATGAACGGAATATTCTGTGTTTTCATTGTCTAACTAATCATAGAAATTTCTTTATCGCTTATCTTACTTTTGTGTTTATATTATGTTTGCAGTTCAGTTAAGTTTGCGAAAACTTTGAATCTTGAAAATGTAAGTATCCATGGTAAAAACCCACTAAATAACTATTAATTTTGTTTACAGCATGACTTTAATTATCTTGCATATTATATAGGTCAGGTGGATATGTCCAGCTATGGTTTACACAAATACATGTGAGATACTTTAACTTCAATTCTTGGCTTATATACTCATATGTTTATCTCGCAAACATTATGTGATGTCATATTAATTAAACTACAAATAATTTATTAGAAAAATTCTATGTTGAATCAGCTAATTACGACTTCGGATGTAATATCAAACGAGATTCTCAAGAGACATTAGATTCCGCAGCTACCCTTGTTGCTAGTCTTTTCTCGCGTGAACCACCAAATGGTATATTATTATCTTTTGGTCCTGCATGAAAAAGCTCTTTGTTTCTTACATATTAAAACATGATGTGTAATTAATAAGCATCAGATCCTCTAGCTAATACATTAATCACAAAACTTTGATGTAGTCATAAAAGGAGTAGGAGGTTCGGGCATGGGTGCAGTAGCAGCTCTCCACTTTGCAAGAAACTGTGCTCTTGGACATTATCCTATGAATCCCCAACTTGTTGTCGGAATTGATGGATGGCTTTCTATTGCGGGGTATAATATTCTTTATACAATCATATAATCACTCATCTCTATTTTGATTAGATTCTAAAACTTAAGCTCACGTTTTAAGTACCCCATCGAGTGATATGTATGAGTCATAAATGAATAAATTACTCAACCTTTGTAGGAGCCTCAAAAGCAGTATAGACGCTACAGTTGGGGCTGCGGCTCGTGCTGCATCGCAGTCCATCTTACTTGCCCATGAAACTGGTAAATCTATATATATGTATCTATATTATTATGAGCACCATCGAGATAATGCTATGTATTATGCTAACTCTTTATGATTGTAGATGTCTCAGATGATCGTAGGCTTCCTTACACCTGTGATGAAGAAGTTGTTGTGTCCCTTAGAGAGGCTGGCTTTGGAGAAGTCATGTTCGTACCATACTTAAGGTATATAAACAATTAAACATTGATTATGTTGACTAATAATTAGCTTTGCTTCAGTTTTTTTGACAAAAAGTTTCTAAGTTTCTTGAGTTATATGCCAATGTGTGTAGCCTTAGAAGAATGGTCATCAGGTCGCTCTTAGCGTAAGAGATGAAGCTCCCAATCATCAAGACTAAATAAATCTCTACCATATAAAGAATTAAAGACCGTGCGCATTATATATATATATCATCGTTTGTTTTATTTGTTATGAGAGTGACTCATGGGATATATATGTAATAAGTTATATGATTTTTAAACTCTATGGTATAGTTTGTGTTTCCTTCTCCTTTCTTCACTTATTCATCAAGTTGTGGTAACTTTTATTAGAAATAAAGAAATTATTATCTATTAATATATCTGGTAATGAACCATCATTAATAAATAATAAATTATTGACCTTAAGATATATCAATCTTCTCATTATAGCTTCTAATTTTATGTAATATGGATAATGAAGAACTCTAGCTAATTAATCGCTAAATATATGATATTCATGTAGCCATAAAAGGAGTAGGAGATTTTGGGATGGGTGCAGCAGTTGCACTCCAGTTTGTTGCTCTTGGACATTATTCACAAACCCTCGAGTTGTTGTTGGCATTAACGGGTGGCTCTCTATTGCGGGATATATATTATATACTCTTATCTCAACATTTATTTCTTAAGAAACTAATTAACGTTACGTTTTCATCATATACCAATTTGATGATATATATGAGATCATATGAAAGACTAATTAATTACTCAACCTCCTTGCAGGAGCTTAAAAAGCAGAATAGTAGCTATAACTGGTGCTTCAGCTCGTGAGCTGCATCGCAGTCGATCTTACTTACCTATTTCTTACAAGCCTTTTATTTCAAACATGGGCATAGGAAGCCAATTAACGTAAATTGGTTATGACAACATGTGTGTTATTATTACTTATTGGTGATAAGGCTTATCTCTGATTATATTAGCCTTTTTATTTGTTTTATTTTCTTTCATCATACAAAATTTAATTAAATCATTTCCCATTTTAAGTAGTAATCAGAAAGAGGTGTGTAATTACAAGAAAATTAGAACTTCGTCATTTATTTCCTCAAAGCAACATGGAACCAATCCATGTTTAACATGGTTTGCGGTTAAACAATTTAATTATTATTTCCTTCTTGCATGTTTCTTCACCTTTCAATCTTTCATATTGTCAAGTTTTGGTAAACTTTTCCAAAATAGCAAAAAAGCTAACAAATAGAGTTTTTATTTTATTTTATTTTGTTGTCAAACCACTTATTGTTTTTATTTTTTTTAAAAGAGAGATAGAAACTAAAATTAGTAAACTAATTTCATATGTGTGATATTATTTATTTACTTATAACTATTTTTTAGCACTTGACTTATTGTTCGATTCCCTTGTTGTCCTATATATATATACGTACTCCTATGCAAAAGTTTACGTCAATGATATTTACCATATTATACAGTATATAGAGAAATAAGAGATCAAAGAAACCGCACAAATTACGTCAATCACAAAAATATAGTACTAATTATGAAAAAATTATTACCTAAAAACTACCAAAAAAAATTATTATCTAAAATGTGCTTCGGATCTAATTTGGCAAAAACAAAATGCAAATTGTGAATGTAAGCTTTTTAACAAATCTAGTTTATATTAAACTAGGAAAGTAAAATTAATATTATAAAATATACAACATTTTATAATTAAATCTTTATACGCTTTATTTACATAATAATACTAATACATTGATGTAGTCTACTGGTAAACTAGTTGCATATTATATCAACATAATCCTGGTTTAAAACTATTCTCTAACATAGTCTTTGTTTTGAGAAAGAATTAAATATTTTTACAATAAATGTGAAAGCCATTAAATTTCGCATAAAAATCTTGCAAAATACTAATATTGATTATAGATGTCTGTCTTTATAACAAAAACAAACTCAACAGATGTGTTTTAACGAAGATACTTACTTTATATCTCACATTTTTGAAAATATAGTACTTTATAATATTAATATTTATTTTGTGTATATTAAGCTCTCTCATTAATATCTCACCTAAAATGGTCTCTCATTAATATGTGTAATGGATATTACAGGACATCCTCATGCTTCAACTTCAAATAAGTGTCTTAAAAATTGATTAATATTAAAACTAAAGACATCCTCATGCTTCAATTTCAAATAAGTGTCTTAAAAATTGATTAATATTAAAACTAAAGACGCTCTTTTTTTTTTGAGATGCAAAGTGGCTATAGGAAGACATATCTCTCAAGAGAGACACTTTCGTTAATTCTTATTATTACTTTTTTAATTAATTCATTTTTTTTTTAAAAATACACTCACAAAAAATGTGCAATGAATGTGCTAATCAAAGCTTTGTTTATTGGTCTAAACACACTAGCGATCTTCAAGTAAAGCTTTGTTTCTTTTTGAGGCACACCCTTCTCTTTCTAATTTAAGATTAAGCTAACAACATCTTTTTAATGTTGCTTAACACTAATATACAAACATCTAGACATGTATATATACACTTAACGCAAACATACCTATTGTGCTCACAAAAAAATGAAATAAACATGATTTCATTTATATCAACAAATTCAAATGCAAACAAAAACAAAATGCATGCAAATGAAAGTGTCTTGAAGTTCTTTATGTACCAGAATTGAAAAGTTAGCATATAAATATATATATGTTTTTATATACCGTAATAAAAGTAAAAGTTATGTTGTTTGTTTCCTATAATGTAATGAAATAAATAAATATATATATTTTTATCTACCGACATCTAACCACAAATGAACAAATACATTGTATTCATGTGTTATGCAATGAATATTTAACTAAAATATGAACTATATTTTTTAAATTAACAAATATAATTTTTCATGTTGGTATTTACGTTAAATAAATTAAATATTCATGGTTATATATTTAGCTGATTCGAGAGTTTTGCAATATTATTGAAATGTGCATATAGGCATGAACGATGGAGCTTTGGATTGGACGGTTTTCTTAATTGTAGTTGAACATTATATGTATATAAGCAGTTTTTTTTTTCACCTCATTTTAATTATTCATGTCACGCACTCATATGATAAAATTTAGAATTATATGATAAAATTTAAGATTTGATTAACTACACTTATTAAACTGGCAATGGTGATAAGCTTTTATCATATACCGCACCTTGAGAGTCACATGTATGGTATTTTTGTCTTTGAAATGAATAAATGAAAAAATAGTATTATTGATAGTCAGAGTAGTTGTATTAAACGAGTATTTCTAAGCAGGAAGTTGGTTGAACACTTTTTGGCTAGAAAGTATAAAAACAACATTTTTTGTATTTTTCTCATAGTTCGTCACTGATGCATTTTAACTTCATTTTGTCGCAGTTTAAGCTGAAAAGAAATCAATAATATCGAAACTCGCTTGTAGTACATGCATGCTTTCTGGACATGGTTTCGAACTTGCGATGTTAGAGATAAGTCTATTCGACATTTGGTCAGAGGATGGTTGAGTAAGAAACTCTGATAGAGGAACTAATTATCACTAAAATTGTCTTGTATGACTTTATGATTTTACCTTTAGTGTTTATTTTTAATATATTTTTTGGATTTTCATGTTAGTGATACATGAGACACGGTTTCAAATTTTATATAAAAGAGAAATAACAACTCAAACTTCCAAAATTGTTAAATTGTCAACATCGTATAAAAAATTATACATACTCCAAAAAGAAAATTTAGTTTGGATCAACTCCACAGTCGCAAACATTACTCTTAAAAAAAGGAGAGAGATTCACGGTGGTTCGAGCTAGATTTATATGGCTCTAAGCACACTCACAATCCTCTCACACATAAATTAATAAACTAATTTTTTTTTTTGAAAAATATAAGGTACCACTAATATTTTAATGGGGAATTCTCTTAAATACAGTTTTCCCCGAAATACCACAAAACTTAAACTTAAATTTTTAACACTAAAAACTAATTTCTACATCCTAAATACAAAACTCTACCCCTAAAAACTATCCCCTAAAATTATACTCTAAATGTAAATATTCAACCCAAACATAAAAAAAATAATAATTTACATCTTCAAAATTCTACTTTTTATGTTTATAATATTTTTGGAAAAAATAAATTTTTGTGATATTTTTGGAAAAAAAAAAACTTTTGTGATATTTTTGGAAAAAAAAACTTTGTGATATTTTTGAAAAAAAAAATGATAGTACTTTTGAAAAAATACTTAAAAATGCTATCCAACGAAATTTTCTAATTATTTCATAATCATCTATATTTTACCTAACCTTGCAATCAAACCATAGGAAACGAAAGAAGGATACATATTAAAAGACTTGTAAATCACACATGAATCCTAAGACAAGAACATTGTGTTCTCGACATGATCATGAATGCCAAATACTTTAACGGTACCAGGCTTCTTGGTTTTTTTCTCTGGCCTAGTACCTTGGATTTTTATAGTTGGTAATAATGCATTTTAAATTCATGTTGTTGCAGGTTTCCGTGCAACGTTAATCAAAGAGTATCGCGATTCGCTTGTACATGCATGCTTTCTGAACACGGATTTGGAAAACGCAGCATGGTATGTTTGACTTTTTATATAAAATGATACATGATACATTAATACTTTTATAAATTGATATATATATATATATATATATTCTTTATCTTTGTAGGATTATTGATGTTAACAATAAGACCGTTCGACATTTGGTCAGAGGATGGCTCAAGAAGAAACTCTGATAGGAGACTAATTAGCATTAATATTGTGATAGAAGACTATGATTTTACCTTTTGTGTAATTTTTTAATATAATTTGGATTGTAATGTCAGTGATACATGAGACGGTTTGAAATTTTATATAAAAGAGAAACAACAATTCAAACTACAAAATTGTTAAATTGTCAAAATCGTGTAAAAACTATACCGACAGTTCTAGCCTTTGATAAAGGCTCCAAAAATTTAGTTTGGATCAACACGACACTCAGCAAACATTACTCTTACAAGAAAGAGAGAGATTCACGGTGGTTCGAGCTAGATTTATATGGTTGTAAGCACACTCACACCCTCACACATAAATTAAGAAGCTAAAAAATTTGTTTTGAAAAATATAAAGTACCACTAATATTTTAATAAATAATCATACATATTTTATCCAAACCTTAGCAATCAAATCACATGAAACAAAACAAAGATAGTAAAATTAATTACACATGAATCCTAAGACAACAACATTGTGTTCTCGACATGATCATGAATGCCAAATACTTTAACAGTAGCAGGATTCTTGGTTATTTTCTCTGGCCTAGTACCTTGGATTTCAACTCTTCTAAAGCAGTTTCGATTCATGTCATAGTAGTAAACATAGACGGGCTTATCAAAGAAATACCTGTACTGAGTGACAAAGATCTCACCAGCAGGGGTGAAACCTGAGAAGCCTGTGAAATCACCATTTAAGCAAAACAATGGGAGTTCTGGCAAGTCAAAAGTAATCTTGGACCATTCTTGTTTCTCAGTATTCTCAAAAACCCACATACTTGTTAAATCATTGTCGTCGTCGTCCTTCTCCTCGCCGCAGCAACCAATACATACTAACTTCCCTTGGTGGTTTAACAGAGCTCGATCAATTAAAAGGCCACTCGACAATGCTTGTAACATCGGCTCTGGAGCCGAGACATGATAGAATCTTTCGGACCTGATGTGGAAACTGAGCAATACAGTTTCACCACGATCGAAAGTCATCCGGAAGTCAACAGTTTCACCACAGCTTTCCTTTTTCGTAGCCCTAGTCGCTCCGTAGTAGATAGTCCCCTGGATGCAAACCCCGTCCACGGATGGAAGGAGTTGCTCATCATCAATGCCTTGGATTCTCCTCCAAGATTTATCACTACCCAACGTGAAAACATGAAAAGTTTGCGTAAACTCTCGAAAATCAACAAGTATGGACATCACTTTGTATTGATCCATGACAGGGTCGTATCCAAAGTGACAGTACAATCGTCGGAACTCCGTCACTGGGGCTTCTATCACGGGTAGACGAAGGGATTGTCTAGTGGTATGGTTGTATATCGTAACCAGCTGATAAAATATCGAATAACAACAGATCAAACCTCTGACGTAGTGATAGCCGAACGCATGGTAGTCCGGTGATCCAGAGATTGATACAGCGGGTCTGATGCTCTCAGAGAAAGTAGACGAGAATGTGAAGAAAGTTTCAGGCACACAATGGTGGAAGATGAACATGGGAGGCTGATGCTGCTGCTGCTGGTGAGATAATAAAGATCGATTCACGATCGCCTCGATAAAGTCTCTACGGCTGTTGATAATGGTTGACCATTGCTTCGAGACGCATCGGAACCTTACAAGTGACTTTGAAGGGAGTTTCTTGAGTATCTCAACTACGAGATCCAGAGATAGTTGTCTACCTCCCAATCTTCCTTTTTGCATATTCTCTGTTTTTCTCCTTTGGTTAACAATAGACATGGAGGACGACACGACACTCACAGATTACAAAACCGATATGTGAAAGAAATATAGGTTTTTTTTGAGAGAATTGGTTCGAGGAGAAGATATATAGAGGGATATTTATATAACCTTTTAACCTTAGGTTTAGTGGTGATATTGTTATTTTGGCCTTGTAATTGTTTACTTTTTTTCCGGTCAGGAATTTGTATCAGATTTTTTTTGGTAAATAGCAATTTGTATTAGATTAACTCAATAAATATAATACTCCTATTAACAAAACTAAAATTTTTTTAACTTTTTACCAAAAAAATAATAATATAACTCCAACATTATCAAGGGTATCTTACACCCAAGATTTACATATTTTTCCAAAAATACCACATTTTGTTTTAATTTCCAAAAATACTACAAACGTTTTATTTTTCCAAAAATACCATAAATGTAAAAAATTGATTTTTGAAGGTGTAATTTTTTTTTTAATGTTTGGGTTGACTATTTATATTTAGAGTATAGTTTTGAGGGGTATGGTTTACTGTATAGGATTTAGAAATTAATTTGAATGTTAAAATTATTAATTTTCATGGTATTTAAAGAATTCCCCAATTTTCTATTACTTTAAAATATATATATATAATTTTCTATTAATTATAGAGGATTATATGTATTGAAGCGGTTCTAAACGAAGAAAAATAAAAGCGCGCCAACGAGAGAACAAAACCCTAATTTCGCCGGCGAGGAAAAAACATGCCGGAGCTTCCGGAAGTAGAGGCGGCGAGGAGAGCTATAGAGGATAATTGTATTGGAAAAAAGATTAAGCGGGTCATCATCGCCGACGACAGCAAAGTGATCGATGGAATCTCGCCGTCCGATTTCCAAAACTCAGTCCTCGGCAAGACCATCGTCTCTGCTCGCCGAAAGGGCAAAAACCTCTGGCTCGAGTTAGATTCCCCGCCCTTTCCTTCTTTCCAATTCGGTGAGTTCTCTGAAACATATTTAGGGTTTGCCCTCTTCCGTTATATATCTAAAGTTCAGGACTTTTGATGGGATCAAATTTGAAAATTTGACAAAATGCAGGACTGCTCATAGTTCAATTCTAGACCTTTTTGGTTTGATCCACTAAAAAAGGGGTGGAAGGTTTAAGCTTTATTGTAATTTAGAACGTAGATTGCTTTTGTGTGTGTTCTTCAGGTATCTATACTCAGGGTTTATCTAAATTCAGGACATTTAATGGAATCAATTACATCAAAATCGAACATTTGTTAAAATGTATGACTCTTCAGAGTTCAATGCTAGACCATTTTGCTGTGATTCTTAAGAAAGAGTTGGCTTTACTGTTCTTAGTATGTACATTTGGTTTTGATTTTTGTGTGTTCTTCAGGCATGGCTGGTGCTATTTATATCAAAGGCGTTGCAGTTACTAAGTATAAAAGGTTAGGTTTATGGAGTCTGTGAAGTTTTGTATCACATTTGCTTTGTTAAGTATAAGATTCATTTTCATTGGACGAGAATCACGAGATTGATATGTATTACAATGTTTGTTTAGATCTGCTGTCAAGGACTCAGAGGAGTGGCCATCTAAGTACTCAAAGTTCTTCGTCGAGGTTAAGAAGTTTATAGTCTTATTTTTAACTGATCACGAACCTGGAAAATCTGCTTTAATCACTACGAATTATGATTTTGTATACAGCTTGATGATGGTCTGGAGCTTTCATTTACTGATAAGAGGAGATTTGCCAAAGTTCGACTTCTAGCAAATGTATAAACGCCCAACTCTATGTTGTTTAAACTTCTCTGTGGATGTTTGTGAATGTTATTTATGTTTGCAGCCAACTTCTGTGCGTCCAATATCAGAGCTCGGTCCTGATGCATTGTTGGAGCCTATGACTGTTGATGAATTTGCAGAAAGCTTAGCGAAAAAGAAAATAACCATAAAGCCTCTCCTACTTGATCAGGTTCAGAGTTTTAAATTCATTTTGTCTTTCACTTATCACAACAATTAGAACTTGGCTATTATGAAAATTGAAAGCATGCAGTCACTCGAAATGATCTTTTATTATATTTGCAAAGTTTATTGTAGTTTTTGTTCCTCTTTTTTTATATAAAAAATTTGCTTTTTGAGGATTATGTATATTTTCCCATCTGCAGGGTTTTATTTCAGGTATTGGGAATTGGATTGCTGATGAAGTGCTGTACCAAGTAAGTGAGCTTTCCACTCTTAAACTTGAAATGAAGTAAAGCATCTATGTAACCACTCATTTGATTAACAAAGTATCCACTTTTTTTTTCAACTCTGTACATTTGACGACAGAAGAAATAGGTTTACTTGCTGTACGATTAATTTCCTAGTTTTTGTTTTTTGCAGGCCAGAATCCACCCATTGCAGACTGCTTCTAGTCTCTCCAAAGAGCAATGTGAAGCTTTGCACACATCCATCACAGAGGTAACTCTTAAAACATTACCTACAAAACATGGGATTAACAAAGGCCCTGTAAATATATATATTCATATATATATGCATGATGCATTGCATATTGGACTATTGGGATTTAGAGAGAGAGAAAAAAACCCGCATTTGTAGGTCATTCAACATGCGGTTCAAGTCAGTGCTGATAGCAAAGAGTTTCCTGTTGAATGGTTATTTCATTTTCGGTGGGGGAAAAAACCAGGGAATGTTAATGGTAAGCTTTTCCGACCCATCTATCTATAATTTTGATGAAGGAAAAATTTGGGTTTTTGCAGGTGATAGAAAAAGCAGTGGAAGTTGATGCAGACAGTAGTCAGTTTCCTAGTAACTGGATTTTTCATGATAGGGAAAAGAAGCCAGGAAAAGCCTTTGTTGATGGTTTGAATTCCAGATTTTGACACTCAAACACTTAATCTACCTGCAACAGTTAATAAAAATTTATGATCTGTTGATCTTCAACTTCCAACTGCAGTTGATAATTCCCATCATAAAGGCTTATATGTTATGAGAGTGAATTTTCATGTGTTCAATTTATGTAGTTGGTAATGAAGTCTGTTTTGGTTTATTGCAGGGAAGAAGATTAATTTCATCACAGCTGGTGGAAGGGTAAGTGAATATATCCATTGTTGGGTGTTGTTCTCTAAGTTATTAATTTGTGTAGAGAACTTATGGTTCTTTGCTTTTGTAGACAACAGCTTATGTCCCAGAGCTGCAGAAACTTTCTGGAAAAGACGCAGAGAAAGCAGCCAAGGTTAGACCGGGTAAACGAGGTGTGAAATCCAAAGAAGACGATGGAGATGGAGAAGAAGATGAACAAGAATCTGAGAAAGAAGATGGCAGTGCAAAACTGAAGAAAGGACAGAAATCAAGGGGTGTTCGTGGTAAGAAGCCTGCACCAAAGACAAAAACAGAAGATAGTGATGAGGAGGACGACGATGCTGATGGTGGAGATGATAGTGACACTGAAGAGAAAGTTGTGAAACCCAGAGGTCGTGGTACAAAGCCTGCTATAAAGAGGAAAGCTGAAGAGAAACCTACTAGCCAAGTTGGTAAGAAGCCAAAGGGAAGAAAAAGTTGAGAACTTAATGGCTCCAAGATGCTTTTGTTTTTGGGCTGCTAACACTTCTGCCCATTTTTTTTTGTAAGAAAGTATGTTGGTAAGGCGGGATGCCTATAAGGCTTTGTGATGCTACTATTGCTACTTGCTAGGTATTTTGGCTGTTACAAGGCTTTGTGATTACCTTTGTCCTTGTATGTTGAATTTGGAAGTCAGAAAAATGCTCGGAGGGCAGCAACTACTTTCTCTGGCCTGTATACAAAGTTCAAAAATTCAGAACGATTCAGAAAATCAAAGCAGAGGAGAGCAGTCTCGTATTGTGTATTCTCATACCAGTCTTCTTGAGGCAAATGCCCAGCACCTTCAATGAGTCGAAGCTTGACATTTTGGGGATTCTGTTTCTCAAATTCCTCTGCTATAGACTGAGGCAGGTATTTGTCAGCTATCCCCCAAGCCAGAAGAATGGGTTTGTCCCAACTGCAAAGGGACCAAATCTCAGTAAAATACCAGACCAATCTGTAGCCGTGGGAATTTGGAAAAAGTTGAAATGCACATACCTGCCCGATGAAAACCCATTTGCAATTTGACTCAAGGTGTCTCCAAAGTTGATCTTCTTCGCAGTCTCGAGCAAGGCTAATTCATCAGAATCTCATGATGAGAAGTCTCTTAGATAAATACATTAAACCATCATAAGAAACAAGAGTAAGGTGTATCATGCTCCATTCATTGAATTTGGTTTAGAGACGTACCAAACCCTGGTCCTCCACTTGACAAATATGGTAGACGATAGACATCAGCTTTCTCATTCTTCAGGACATAGCTATCAAAAATATAGGGTAAGAAAATTGTCCCAGTTAAAGCCTCTATCAATATCATTTTAAAGCTGAGGTAAGACAATAGCCAGTATCCATATCCCTTCCTCTGGAATCGAAAGAATTAGATAACTACATAAATTCCACATGATTATAGGTTAATTTGATACATACGGGCTACCTCCTTCAATGAACCGCTCTGCCAAGATAGCATTTTGGCAAGTGAACTCACCAAAGAGGGGAATCCTGCATCAGAAAAAATGACACACAAGTATGTTTGTGAGTTGTGGATGCATTGTAACAGAATAGTCAAAATGTACGAGGCTGATAAGCATTTAGAATGGTCAAAATGCCAAAAGAGGTGAACCTCAGTTGCTTAAATAATCCTGGAACTGGGGATGAAACAGTCAGTGGACTATTAAGAATGGCAATTTTCTCAACCTTGCTCGGGTTTTTCAATGCCCATGTTAAACCATAGGAACCTACAAGAAACCCCTTGGGAGACCACAACAAATGCAGACATAAGATATATGTTCAGTCTTGATGAACTTTTATCATATAACGCAGAAATGATGGGATCAGTATCCGAACCTGAACCACAAGAAAGAAAGGAGACTTGACCTCTAGCACTTCCAGAAGTTTATCAAACGCCTCGTGGTACTCTTGTTCTGAGAAGATTGAAACTTATTAAGACAAAGCACCATGTATACTGTCTGATTCTGTAATTCACAACCTATATTAATGTAAATTTATCAACAAACCTGTGTAATTAAAGCCATATCCTGGCTGCGGCTTGACACTGAACCCGAATCCAATCCAGTCAGGTGCAAAGCAATGAAATCCAGCATCTGACATCTATTAAATTGTGGAGAAACACAAAAAAATCCACACAAAATTCAACTGCATACTCATTACTTTGCAATCTTAAGAGACTTTCAATAGAAGAACAATGCAAAAGACTGAGGTGGAGCTCAAGATTCAATGTAGCACCTCAGACATGACAGTCCGGTAACTAAAAGACTGAGTTGGAGCTCCATGAAGAAAGACAATGGTTCCTCTACGACTCTCCTTTGATCCTGCCAAGGATAAGATAATTAGTGATCAAAAATACTTCTTCAAGCAAAGATGGAAACACAAAAACTAATCTTTTTACCAGTTTCTCTCACAAACCATCTAAGCTTCCCAGATTTTATAGTAGAACCAAACTCTCTTCCTTTATCTTCAGTCCTCTTCAAACCCACAACAAAACCACTTTAAATGTATCAAACATTACTCTATAAGCTAATTTGAATTTCAAGAATTCAAATTATTACAGTTCAAGATTCTGTGAAACTTACGTAGAGCATCTGACCGACGTTACCGTCTTCCGCCGGAGACTCCGGTAGCTGAATTGCACTCCGGCTAGACGGATTGTCAGTAACAAAGCCAAATGGATTGAAAGACGGATCCTCTTCACGACCACCGCTGCTGTTTCCATCTCCCGGCGTCGCGTTGACGACGGAGAAGCGGAGTTTTGACGGCGTGGCAGTGATTCTAGAGGCGGTGGGTTTTGTGGCGACGGTGGAGGAGAAGGAGAATGAGTGGAGCAGAGGAAGTGGAGAGAGCAGAGACATTTTTTTGATTGGTCCAAACTATAAGCGTATTCCTCAGTTTATATATGTATCTTTTTTTTGGGGTGTAGACTGACAAAATAAAAATGTTTGGGTCTTTTGTTGATATTCAAAACAGTAGAGGGCTTTGATGTCTAAGTTTGAGGACACGACGGCGTTTGGTAGCACGTGCTTTGAACCTGTGGTGAAACCCTAAGGTGTGTCTATGTTGGTGAAAATGCTAGAGTCACCAGTCGAGCCCTCAACAGACCTTCACCGTCAGAGGAAGAAGCTAAAACTACCTAACCGCTTATAAAGGTCAATACCCGCGCAAATATCACCATCCCGGGTCGGATCGGATCTCCCGTGCTAAACCCAACCGGATCCATCCCGGACCGATCAATTTCACGACTGTTCTCCGGCGGTAGGATAAAGCTGAGTGCTTTTAAAAAAATTGAGGAAGGAAGAGGAATCAAATCTCCAATGGAGAGAAGTGAATCCGTCGATGAAGATGTATGTGTTTCACAACTCAAAAACCCCTCTTTTTTACACCTATTTCGCTCTCAAGCTCTAGTTTTTAGACATTTGGGGTTCGTGATCATCTTACATTAGATTTCACTAGGGTTAAGTATGATTTGGTTCACAAGTTTGACCCTAATTTGTGCTAGTGGTGATAAAGTTTATAGCTTTTTCACATGTTGGGGTTGCAAAGTATGTGTTTCATCATCCTTAGATGTTGTATTACAGGTGCAGGCATCTGAGTATTTACAGAACGACGAGATTCCTGAAAGAGATGATCCATTGTCAGATGGTGGATGCGCTTTACCTATAGATGAAGCTTTAGTTTGTAGTAGTGATCATGAGATTGATGTTGGATTTTGTCAAGACCAAGAGAGAAAGAGCGAGGATGATGCAACAGGAGAGTTTGATGAACAGAGCGGTTTACTTGCTGAGAGAAAGGATTTTGATGCACCAGCGGTTGGAATGGAGTTTGAGTCTTATGATGATGCCTATAACTACTATAACTGTTATGCCACTGAAGTAGGATTTAGGGTAAGGGTGAAGAATTCGTGGTTTAAGCGGCGTAGTAAAGAGAAGTATGGTGCGGTGCTTTGCTGTAGTAGTCAAGGTTTCAAGAGGATTAACGATGTGAATCGCGTTAGAAAGGAAACTCGAACTGGTTGCCCTGCAATGATAAGAATGAGACAGGTGGATTCTAAGAGGTGGCGGGTACTTGAAGTTACACTTGATCATAACCATTTGCTCGGTGCTAAGTTATATAAATCAGTTAAAAAGAATGGGACCGGGACCAAGAGGAAGTGTGTATCTAGCCCAGTCTCAGATGCTAAGACGATTAAGCTTTACCGGGCGCGCGTGATGGATACTGAGAACAGCGTGGACCCAAATTCGACTCTCAAGAAACAATTTCAGAATTCCGCTGGGTCGCCTGATTTGCTGAACCTTAAGAAAGGAGATTCCGCAGCAATCTACAACTACTTTTGCCGTATGCAGCTGACAAATCCCAACTTTTTTTACCTGATGGATGTAAATGATGAAGGTCAACTAAGGAATGTATTCTGGGCAGACGCTTTCTCTAAAATTTCTTGCAGTTACTTTGGCGATGTCATCTTCATTGACAATTCTTATATATCCGGAAAATTCGAGATTCCACTGGTGACATTTACCGGAGTGAATCACCATGGGCAAACTACATTGCTTAGCTGTGGTCTTCTTGCTGGAGAGACAATAGAATCTTACCATTGGTTGCTCAAAGTATGGTACAATGTCATGAAGTGTTCTCCTCAAACCATTGTCACAGACAGATGCAAGCCTTTAGAGGCTGCAATCTCTCAAGTGTTCCCAAGATCTCATCACCGATTCACTCTAACACACATAATGAGGAAGATTCCCGAGAAATTAGGAGGGTTACATAACTATGATGGCGTGAGGAAGGCATTTACGAAAGCAGTTTACGAAACATTAAAAGTTGTTGAATTTGAAGCAGCTTGGGGGTTCATGGTACACAATTTTGGGGTTATCGACAATGAATGGCTCCGTTCCTTGTATGAAGAGCGAGTTAAATGGGCTCCGGTTTATCTCAAAGACACGTTTTTTGCAGGAATCGCTGCTGCTCATCCTGGAGAAACCCTGAATCCATTTTTCGAGAGGTATGTTCACAAGCAAACACCGTTGAAAGAGTTTCTCGATAAGTATGAGCTAGCGCTTCAGAAGAAGCACAAGGAAGAAACTCTCAGCGACATAGAGTCTCTCACCTTAAACACCCTTGAGCTTAAAACAAAGTGTTCCTTCGAGACCCAACTCTGTAGAATCTACACAAGAAACATGTTCAAGAAATTCCAAGTAGAGGTAGAAGAAATGTACTCATGTTTCAGCACTACGCAGCTCCACGTAGATGGGCCTTTCGTTATCTTCCTTGTGAAAGAACGTGTCCAAGGGGAATCCAACAGAAGAGAAATCCGAGATTTCGAGGTCCTGTACAACAGATCAGTCGGTGAAGTACGGTGCATATGTAGCTGCTTCAACTTCTACGGATACTTATGCAGACATGCTCTCTGTGTTCTCAATTTTAATGGCATAGAAGAAATGCCTTTACGGTATATTCTACCGCGGTGGAGAAAAGACTACAAACGAGTCTACTTTGCTGATAATGACTCAACGACCGGTTTTGTCGATGGCACAGACCGTGTTCAATGGTTTGATCAGTTGTATAAAAACGCTCTTCAGTTAGTTGAAGAAGGAGCGGTTTCTTTAAATCATTATAAAGTAGCAATGCAAAGTCTTGAACAGTCTTTGGACAAAGTTCATAGTGTAGAGGAAAAACAAGAGTAGCGTTTTAGTGTTAATACAAGGATTTATGAAAAACTATATATCTGTAAATAATAATAAAAAATTTTATTTTTGTTTGCTCTAACATTTTATGTTCTTGACAAAGAGCTCTAGTAACAAAAGATGATCCGTTCAATTGCTATGTTGTGCAAAACTGCAAAATACACTACTGAAAGAAAAAAACAAATTGTGATTTCCCATTTTATCCCTATGGGCCTGTGAGCTTGTAAGATGACCTTAATGGGCTTTTGACACCCAAAAAGTATCCAAAAAATATCTGACGATTCCATTTCCCTCTACTTCATCTTTCAGAGTTTGTTTTGGCGCAAAATTCAGAAATTTCTCGTCGCCGGTGAGTTCTAAAGTTCCCTGAATCTATCATCTTTCAACTACAATGTTCATGAGTTTGTGATTTAGATTTTTTTTTTTTTCTCTTCAACGCAGCTTACAGTTTCCTTCATCCAGACGACCGCATCGTTACAACTCTACAGGTTTGGGAAACTCCGATTACAATTTAGTATTAACCTAAATTTGAATAAGCTTGTATGTGTTTGAATCTGGGCTTGGATTTTTGAAGAATCGCTTTATTTTCCAAATCAATTGGGTTTTTTCCAGAAAAATTAGTTCAGAGAGTGATTCGCTCATCGTCTTGTTTTCTCTGTAACAGTGAAATGAAGTTTAAGGCGTTTCTGACTGAGAATGGTGTGAGTCTCTTAGAGAAGAGGTTTCTTCCAGCATTTGACAAAATGGGGAAGCACTGTCACCTTCTTCTCACTAAAGAACACTTGTTCTTCCTTCATAACCTTCTCAATGGTGATGGAGTTCAATGCATTGCTCAGTTCCGCAAAGATGTTCTCTTTGATGATTATCGTATATCGAGCCAGAACGAGGATCGTATTGCTTTCTCCTTGGATATTGCTCTTCTGTACCGAGCCGTGAAGAGTAGTGTTAGTATTTGTACTGAGTTCAGTGGTGGGTTGGCTTCTAATAGATTGCAGATCAAACTAGTGAAAAAGCTGCCTCCTAACTGTACACAGCCGATGCCGTTTCTTACCTTTGAAACCAAGGGATATAAATCTGCTGTTATTCAAGATGTGCCTATATCGAAACCGCTGTCTCGTTCTCAAGTTATCGAGCTTCAGACTGCGCTTGACTCTGCTCAAGACTTGCCTCCTACTCTTGTTCAGGTCCAAGACCCGAATCAGTTGCAGAACTTTGTGGATCATATGAGACATGTTGGGGATGTTCTTAATGTCACGATAAGCAAGCACGGTGATCTGCAAGTGCAAATCTCTACAACTTTGATTAGGCTTGGCACTGAGTTCCAGAGGCTTTCTGTTATTGGCGAGAAATCTCAAGCTCCTGTTGAGGATAGGAACTTAAGTGCTCAGGCTCGTTCAGAGAGAGCTATTGCTAGAGGAGATGCTCAGTCTGTGCAAGTGAGTGTAAAGCACTTCTCAAAGAGCCTTCAGTGTCACTTAACCAAACCTGATTCAGCTTTCTATGGGATTGCTCCTCAAGGTGCTTGCTTGACAGTGATCTTCCAGTTCTTGGTTCCTGGAACCCGTCAAACCGATAAATCAATCAGTTTGCATTGCCGTCTTCCCGTGCTGGATCCAGGGTCCAACTGAATCTTCATCAAGGCTAACTCAAGGCTTAAAATATGATCAAATGTTTTAGTTTTTGCTTTTATGAGAAAGACTTTCTCATTAAGACCAAATATGTACCACTACACTCTCTTACAAGCTCTGAAGCATCAATGATCAAACTCAAAAATCTTAAACTGAAAAGAAAAACACAATAAACTTGACAAGCAACTTCACTCTTCTAAAAACACAAGCACAACCCACTCTAAAAAAAAAACACAACCAAAACCAGATTCTCACAAAATACAAAAAGAATGTGAAATCGAACAATAGAGACTTTTTTTTTATCTATTCTTATTCTTGTTATTTGTGAGCTCTCTCTTCTGAAATGATCTCTGAGCTTTCATTTATAACTTCCCCTTCGTTGTGTCCATTGAAAAGTGGATTAGCTTCAAGCTGAGACATTTTCTCCTTTGATTCATTCATCAGCATCTCCACAACTTCGGACATTGTAGGTCTCTTCTCTGGCTCCCTCTGAGCACAAATAAGCCCAACCAAAATTACCCTTTTCAGCTCTTCTTCCACATACTTCCCATTCAGCCTTTGATCCACAATTTCACCAAACTTTCTTTCGTAAACCAAAGGTAAAACCCATTCGGTAATACCCTGTTTTGTTGTTAAGTTTGCCCTTTCAATAGGTCTCTTACCAGTAACAAGCTCCAGCAAAACAATACCAAAACTATACACATCTCCCATGTCTGACTCTTTTCCTGATTCGATACATTCTGGTGATAAATACCCAATGTTATTACCCTTAATGATTTTGTTACCTCCATCTCTTGCATCATCTGGCATCATCTTACCATATCCGAAATCTGTAACCCGAGCTTCAAACTCAGAATCTAGCAGCACATTGCTTGCTCTCACATCTCCATGGACTATTCGAGGTGTGGCAAAATGGTGCAAGTAGCTGTTCAAATACAAAAATCAAAATTTTGACAACAGTAGATATTTCCAATTTATATGAACTATCTTGATCCTGAAGACTTACGCAATTGCCTGAGCAGAGGTTACAGCAATATTCATCCGCCTGGTCCAATCAAGAAGCGAATCTGATGAATGCTGACCATGTAGATGAGATACCAAACTCAAATTTGGCATGTAGTCATATACAATGAGTCGTTCTTGTCCTTCAGCACAGTAACCTCTTACACTCAAAAGATTCTTGTGGCGGATACGGGCAAGAATCTCGACTTCTACAGCAAAATCTATCTCTTCTCTGTTACTCCACGCCTTCAATCTCTTGACTGCAATCTACAGACAACAACAACAAAAACTCATTACAATATAAAAGATCAGAGAGACCAAATCTACACATTGTGATACAATGCTGACCCGGAAAATAACTAACAGATTTCTACAATATCAAGAAAGTTGTAGATAATCATTACTTGAGATCCATCCCATAGCTGACCCCAATACACACTGCCGAAGCGACCTTCACCAAGCTTGTTATCGTAATTAAAACTGTTTGTGGCTGCGTGAAGTTCCTTGAGTGAAAAAATCCTCCATGATGGCTCCGTTTTCACCTTCTTTTCCCTGTATAATTTGTGACATCAGAACAAATCAAACATTAGTTTCTTCTTAAGTTTATCAAATCTAAAACTATCCAACAGTACATTATAGTTTGAAAATTCCAAACTTTACACCAAAGACCAAAACTTTGAACATGAATAGACTCCTAAATTCAAGCATTCAAGAGAACTCGAGAGAAATGATATAACCCTAGTTAATAAGAACAGCTAAAACAGATGAAACCCAGAACAGATTTTGGAAGAACACAACAATTCGATAAAACCCATAAACCAAAAATTTCAAAGTTGAATCAAGATAAACATCATACGTACCGATCAAATCCTTTTCCACAGCAAAAGCAACTGAAAAATCGCATCTTTGAACAACCCACAAGCCAAAAAAAATTGATCTTTTCGTTTCAATACTCTTCCTCGTTGCTGCAGTAAAGAAGAGAGAAGAGAAGAGAAGAGTAAAGGTAACGCCTTTTTTCCAAGAGAATGTAACAGCAAAGCAACAAAAGAAAAAAACAGAAACTCCTCTTCGATATGCTTAATGAGAGAGAGAGAATTCGATTTTACTTCTTGAAGAAGAGAAGAGAAACAAATTTTGCTTAGAATATTCTTCTTTGCTTAACTCTTTTTGAATGTGGCTGTGTGGTTAGCTGTTTTAATTTGAAAAATTATACACTTTATAAAGAATCACATTATAATATTAGTGGGTGAATGATTGTGCATATCCACACATATAGTATTTATATTGTAATAATTAATTTTAAAGGTATGATATTCTATGTATTGTCTTTTTTTTTTTGAATTTTTAAGCTTTCCTTTTCATGTCCTGTTGATGACTCATGACAACTAATTAAAATGTCTTGATTTGAATCTTGGTGAATTTGCAATTTTTCTTATAGAAACCAAATTATATTAAAATCTAATTAAACATAGGAAAAAAATCTCTCTATATGAACTTTTATTTATTTTTATGTTCACCTAAAAAAAATCTCTATTTGGTTAGAGATTGTTAATTTAGACTGTTGTCAGACAAAATGTTAGCTCTCTTATCATAAAACTAGATTCGGATCCGCGCTGCAGCGCGGGGGAAAATTACCGGGTTTTTAATCTTTTGTACGTTGCGGGATAATTTATTTGTGTTTGCTTTACTTTATTTTGATTATTAATTAAATTCTATCATTTTTAGATTGTATTTTTGTGTTGGTTTCGAATATGTTTAAAATTATTTAAATTGTATGATTTTAGTTGGATTGTTAATTTTAGAACAATATGTGACATATATACATGTATAAATATTATACTATGAATCATTTTTAAAGTTTGGGGATTGACCCGCGGTACACCGCATAATCATAAATACATGATTTTAACTTGGACCTTTCATGCAGTTTTGTAGAATTGCAAATATCTAGAATAAACAAATAAAGAGCCAATGATTTCTTATTTCTTATCGTGTTAAAATGTAAAATCTGTGTTTATGTTACAATTTTCTGGTAGCAGAAACTTATTTATATAGATAATATTTTCTTAGAGTTAGGTTAGCGTTGAAAAAAAGATTAGCTTTATAATCAAGCCAGAAATTCGAAACTATTGCCAAATAAATATATTAAAGATGGTTGAAAATGAATTATCCCGTAATTGGTGTGAAGATCATAGTTAATATAGGAGAAAACTATACATCTAAATATTAATATAAGATATTTAAGGAACATTTTGTTTTGAAATATTATGGATAATTTGATAAATATTTTATATTTAATTTATATTTCTGATTTTTAGGTTAATTTGTTAAACCAATATACAAAATCATACATTAATGTATTTTTCCTTAAACAAATTAAGATTAATGTACTTTCCAAAACCGATATTGATGGTTTAATTTGGTAGATTTCGAAATAATATATATGGAAACTGGTATTTAATATCTTTAAATTTTTAGTAAGATCCAATTGAAAAATTTCGGATTAATTTTTTAAAAAAACCCGACCCAAGAAAATTTTGTACTTCTCTTTTACTATAGTAGGGATGCCATTTCTAACTTTCTACCAAGCCTTAAACCAAGGCAGGTCCAACTAATCATGCGCTGGTTTGATTCATTGTCCAGTTTTGGTTAAGTTTTACACCTAAATCCAGTTAATTTCAATTTCAATATCATGAATTGTTACAACCACTGTTTTAATTATATATCTATCTATCTATCTACAACAATTGAATAACTTGGAAAGTTTTGGATAGAGAGGCCAATCTGAAGCCCAACCGAGTCATATAACATATTAAATGGCCCATTTATACAACAAATTCAAAAGTAAGAACCGGTGTCGTTTTAACATTTAGTTGAATCAAGCACAAACCCAATAGATACCATCAACACTGAAAACAGAATTCAAAGAATCAATGATTCAAGAGTATTTTGATCTAAATACAAATAACTTTAGTTTCACCACCAGGGTGAGAACAAATGTGGAGCAATATCTATAGTTTTAACATTAGAGATATCACAGAAGAATCACTGTGGGAAACTGTTTCCTTTTCATGTGAAGAAGAGCAAAATCTAGTTTCTAGTATGTATAAAGTATAAACTGTAATGTTACAAGAAAGAATCTTACTTATAGAATATTATATATACACAAACATGTGTAGTGAGTCTTTATCATCAATCATCATCATCATCACCACAATAACCTATCTAATACTACTACTTGAATCGTGAACCCTTCTTCCCTTTACCATTTCCTCTATCTCTTCCTTGTAATGCTGAAGCCCAGAAGAAGAGAGAGATCCAAACTAGTACTGCAAGAAAGATCTTTACACGGTCTTGAACCATCGATGCTACTCCCACAAGACCTAAACGTTGAAATATAAGGATAAGACTTATTAGTCAATGAAACAAGATGTGAATCCAATTGATTGTTTTGGAGACTTTATCAAGATAATTCTCGTTCTGCAGCAAAAGACCAATGGCAAAACATTCACAAGCTATGAAAAGACAAGATTACTAACTCTTTGTCACAAAGATCAAAACTTTAGGCATATACCCTAATCAATCTTAAGTAATTCGATGCTCTCTGTATCTAAGCATCAATACCAACAACAAAGCTATTACAGTTAAACCATCTCCATTCCCAATTCCAAATTCAGTAATGCAATTTCATCGGAATTCGAATGATAGGAATTCAAAATTAGCAGTAAACAAAATCAAGAACTCAAGAGTTCAAAGTCTTATGGGTAAGAAGGGAAAAACACGAACTTGTGGGCTCATTCGTGTTTTTAGGCGGAGGTGGGTCGGGACTAGGCGGCGTTGGAGGGCCGAGAGGAGCGACGGCGACGCGTCGTACGCGGTCAGGAGTGGTGACGAAGAAAAGGGTTTGAGGATGAAGCCGAGACAACGGAGACGGTGAAAAGCACGACTGAGATGGAAGAGAAAGGTTTTGACGGAAGCGATGGAGGTAAAGGTTGGAGCTTGCACCACTCGTGTTGGAAAACGCTGTCGCCATTTTCTTCACAAGATATTTTTTGGACCGTGTCTTGTTTTGTTTTCTCTTTATTTTATTTATTTTCCTTCTTTCTTATAAATAATATTTTATTTTAAAATTTAATTTCCATTAAAAGTTGGTATTTGATAAAATTAGATAACGCATCAAATATCCAAAAATTAAAATCATTAATCTTACAAACATTGGTGAATGTTACACATTTGTAAATTTACATTTTTTAGTTATTAGATAATAGTTTAAAAAATAAACTGAAACAATACACTTGAATACTGTACTGATATCCTAATTATTTAATGTTTAACAAAAAACTTGTCTTAAAATGAGCCAAAAAACAAAAACCACTAATTCAAAATGTAACTTTCCATATGGGGCAAAATTAGACTCCTTGTTTAAAATATCAACATTTTTTTAGCTATATATATGATGCTCATAGTAAAATTTACTCCATTCTTTGCTTATTCATTTGGTCTTATTACATTGTAACATCAATTACTGTAAATAGCAATTTATTCCATTAGCATAACAAAACACACAACGAGTACAAACATTATTGGCTTATTAAACCAAAGACCCTCGAAACAACACCGTATCTCTTACCCAACAGAAATCTCCTGAACATCCTTCTTTGGCTTCTCCGTCCTAGGAATCACAACATTGAGCACTCCATTCTTGAGCTCTGCTTTGATCTCTTCAACCTTAGCATCGTCAGGCAACGACAAGCTCGTGTTGTAGTAACCATAACTCTTTGAAGACCAGTACTCGTCTTCTTCAGGTGAACCTTTTTCTTCTTCCGTCTTGTGTTCTCCTTTAATCACCAAGACTCCATCATCCACCGTGATCTTCACGTCATCTTTGGTTAGCCCTGGTACCTCGTATCTAAGTTTGTAACAGTCGTCTTGTTCTTTCACTTGACCCATTAGTTGAGATGGTCTAATGTTGAAGCTGTCGAAAATTCTGTTTATGTTCTCTGTTGCTTGCATCAGTGCGTTTCCTAGACTTGGAGTAAAAAACTCTGTTTTCAAGCCATTAACAAATAAAAAAAGACATGTGTTAATCAGTTGGTTAAGTTCATGTGATTTTATGCAACCAAAATGGAAAATGTAACATAATCCTAAATCTTCTGTTGATTTAAATGTATTAAAAATAATATATTGGATCGTAAAAATACAAACATACCATTTAGGGCAGGTGCAAAGTAGCCATGATCGTCGGTGTTACGCCAGAGACTTTTCCTGCCACGTCTCCGGTGAGAATTGCGTTGAGGAGATTTCTTCTCGGACACACTCACTTCTGTGTTCTTCTTATCCTCTTGTTGTTCACCGGTCGAAGTAGCCATGTATCTGTTTAGCTTCATAGGATTGTGTCGATTCCCGACCAAACCTTTTTCACAAGATTGACCAATAAGACTAGGAGACAGTTTTTGTTGAAGGTTTCTCAAAGCTAGACGAGCTAGAGCCATTTTTTACAAATCGATAATTTTCTTGATCTTGTTGTTTTCTTATTTTCCTTGTTTGTGTTTGAAAGAAAAATCCAAGATTTGTTGGGGTTTATAAAGATGAGATTAGGGTTTATGGTAAAATGTTTCTGAGAGGTGTTTAGAAGTTTCTAATAGTTTCTGGTTTCATTTCATTTAGGAATACCTTAAACCGACCGAGTAGCTTCTTGTTTCTTCTACAAACCTTTGTCTAGATAATCACAAGATTCTTTTCTTTTCAATACTCCTAGAAAAAACAAAACTCAACTTCATAATTCAATTATTATATACTTATATATATATATTTTTCCTCTTAAACCAGATTAATGTACAGTATAAACTACATACTTTTGATCCGATCAAAAAAAAAAAACTCAAAGACTTTTGTTATCGTATAAAAAATTCGATTTTAGTGGAATTAACCGAAACAACAACTTGGGCATAATCGCATAACTATATAAAAATCATTTAACTGAAATTTTTGGTTGTTTCCATTATTTTTATTTTTTATAAACAACGAACAAAAGCTGATTATATAACAAGACTGTTTAATTAACCAACTAAATCTGGTCAAATCGGAAAATTATATATTGACGTAACCGGTTTCAATACTCATAAGTAGGCATGTCAATTAGGGCTAAAGCCCGCGGGCTAGTTTGGCCCGGCCCTGAAAAACATCGGGCTCGGGCTTAAATATATATGTCCAGAAAAAACCGGGCCTTTTGGGCTAAGCCCATTCGGGCTAAAGGGTTTTTTGGGCTTAGCCCGGTCAGGCTCGGGCCGACCCGAAAAGCCCTTATACAAATATATTTTGAATTTTTTGAATATTTTAGTTTGATTAAAAGATTTGATTAATGTTATAGTTTTCATATTTACTTACTAGTCTTACTTATTACTTTTAAAATATTTATACAAAGCTAAAACTAAATATATATAAGTATCATGATTTTGAAATCATCAAAATATCTATTAAATTTTGACTCTATGTTATACTTTAAAGTATTTTAGTTCCATGTTTTATTGGGTTAAAGTGTAAATAATTTATTTGGCTTTTATTTTTTTTTCTCTTAAATTAAGTTAGTTTTATTGAATATTGATAAGTTATTTAAAATTTGATGCATTATTTTAATAGTAGACCTTTAAATATAGTTTTTAAAAAACTATTATAAACTTAGAAATTGATTTTTTTATCGGTAAATAAAGCTCGAAAAAGCCCGAAAAGCCCTGTAGCCCTGTTAGGGCCGGGCCGGGCTTTGAAATATAGGCTCGGAAATTTTTCGGGCCGGACCTGGCCGGGCTTACATATATGAGGGCTTTACGGGTTTCGGGCCGGGCCGGGCCGGGCTAGCCCGATTGACATGCCTACTCATAAGTAGATATAACTGGTTTTAGTACAATCCTCTAAATTATTATACCCCCAGAAACGAGAAATAATGACCATTTAATAATGGTAAAAAAGTGACCTCATATTTGCTTTAAAAAAAAATGCTAGTATTATATAACAGGATGAAATGAAAACAATTGTGCAAAGAGGCATGAACCATGATTTATTAGGTTTTGCAACTAGCTAGAATCTACTTTGTTTTCTACTTTTATAAAAACAAAAAAAACCGTTTATATATTCTTTTATAAATAAAACGAAAAAATGGGACCGGTTACGACATAAAAAGCCATGTGTCCAGAGCATTTGTCGAATTATTTAGCTTTTGGACCGACCCTTATCCACCTTTGGACCCTTGTTATCTTATTATATATAATGTCTCATTGTTTTTGTTTTATTCCTTTTCAATATATTACATTAATCAAAATACTTCAAAAACTAATGGTAAGTTAGGTTACATCAGTTAGTAGGTAAGCTTCTTGTGAGCAAAAACAAATAAACATAGATGATTAGTTATTTAGTTACTGTTAATTAGTCTTAAAACATCATTGTCCCTGTGAATGATTTTTATTATTATACGTATATTTCAAAACTCTTTAAGAAGTATATATATATCCAAACTTTTTACACACAGCGATTTTAGTTTCTATGTATCACAACCACTCTAAAGTCTAAACTAAACCATGATTAAAGGCGATCGTCATATAGAGGTACGTGTTGAATGCATAAAAGCATAGGCTATATTATATTCACGATTAGTTAGTTTTATGATTATAATCTAAAATAGAATTACTACAACTAACTAAACACGATAATTATATATTTTTGTGGTGGCGATCGACCATCACGTGGTTTTTTTTGGCGGTTAGTAAATTGGACCGACGGTTTTGTTTCGTTTTACAGACTACAGTGGACCATCATGGTTTTGTTTCGGTTCACCAAACACTTCACATGTGTGGGAGATACTGAGTTAGAGAAGTTGGTTCTGGTCAAAATTTGGCTACTTGACCGTATGAGTACAAAGTGTATATGATAACCCTAATAGATAACTGATGATAGTTTTGCATGATATTTTCAAAGAAACACTCAAATTTGAAAAAATTATACATTTATTCTAACCATCAATCATTCACATGTCTCTTGTGTTATCTATTCAAGTCCTAATCTTATTCATATGGACCATATGATATGGTAATGTTGTGCTAAAGACTAAGTTATTCATATGGTAATTTCGTCGGTCGAATATTCGGAATATACACAATCATGCTTACACTATTCTTCACTTTATCCATAAAAGATTAAGAGATAAACAAACATACTACTAATATTTTTTTTTTTTTTTTTTTTTTGTCATCAAATAAAAAGCTAACTCAAATGAGCCAACTTGACGGACAATTGTTTACAAACTTAATCAAATGCGGACTGGAACGAGTTTTACGTGCCAAGTAATCCGCTTTTACATTCAGATTTCTAGGAATAAAGGATAAAGAAAAATATGAGAATTCTTCCCTATCATTCTTGATATCCTCCAGGTAGACAGAGAAAGCCGGACATTCGTGAGGAGAAGACACCATCTTCATCAAGTCCGAACAGTCGGTAAGAAAAGCAACTTATATGAAGTCATGGCCAATCATGCATCGCATCGCCCACACCAGAGCTTCAACTTCCGAATGAAGAGGGGAAAGACTTCTTCGTAGGTTAGAAGCTCCCATCGTCGTGGAAGAATCATGTGCATGCCGACAAAACCATCCTAAACCTGCATACATATCTGTGGCCTTCCAAGACCCGTCAATGAAACAACGATAACCCTGAAACCTGGAAGGTATAGAACTCGGTAACCCAGGCATAACATTATCACCTACGGGGCCCTCTCTCGTAGTATTGGAGTCATCTAATTGTGCATCATACCAAGTACGAGCTTCATCTGTAGCTAGCCGGACGACATCTGAAGGGTTTTTATCTAGATTATCAAAAACCATATCATTTCTGGACTTCCAGATGTACCACAAAATCCAAGGACAAAACCTATACTCCTCCTTTACTAGTATACGCAAAATATAGTCCATATTAGCAAAAACAGAAGCCGTAGGGAACCCAATAGGCCCTACTGGGACGTTCGCTAATGCCCAAGTTTGCCGAGCTGGTGGACAATCAAAAATTACATGATTGACCGTCTCCATTGGGTCACCACATCGTCCACATCGCGTATCACAATTAATTCCCCGTTGACTCAAGTTGGCCAAAACAGAGATGCAAACTGTAAGTAATTGCCACATAAAATGATGAAGTTTAGGTGGACACCTAACTTTCCATATACATGCTAATAACGGAATGATATCTGGGCCGCACACTTGCGGAGTTGACATTTGTAGTGTTTGCATTCTGGCAGCATAATAACCGGATCTAACCGTATATCTCCCATTCTTTGTGAAGTGCCACCCGTAAGAATCTGTGATCGGACAATTTCCAATTGGGAGAGCATTTATCAATGAACTATCTTCCTGAGTGAAGTGCTCCTGTAACACATCTAAATTCCAAGAATTTGTTTGACGATCAATTAAATGACGTATGTGAAGTGAGGGATCCATAATTGATCCATTACTCTTAGCTGGTCTCGGGAATTGAGCTGGAATCCAAGGGTCCGTCCAAACGGATATAGAATCCCCTGTCCCAACTCTTTTAATGAGCCCTTTCATAACCAGAGATCTAGCTGATACCATGCTCCTCCATCCATACGATGGGGAATACGATTTGACCTGTTCCATTGGAGTTGCATTCCTATAGTACCTGCCCTTAAACACCTTTGCAAATAGGGAATTTGGGTAATCAATCAACCTCCAAAGCTGCTTTGCTAATAGCGCTGTATTGAAATCATTTACATCGCGGAAGCCTAACCCACCACTACACTTGCTAGAGCACAATTTATCCCATGCTCGCCAGTGCATTCCCCCAGAGTAACCATTTGAACTCCACCAAAACTTTGCCACTGCACTTGTCAGTTTAGACGTAATCGACTTGGGAAGACGAAAACAAGACATCACATAGGTCGGCAATGCTGACGCCACTGACTTAATCATAACTTCCTTGCCTCCTTTAGATAGTAATTTGGCCGACCACCCATTTATATGGGTATTTAGCCTATCGCGTACAGAGGAAAAAACCTGAGTTTTAGCTCCTCCTAGACTTTCCGGTAAACCGAGGTATGAACCCATCCCCCCTAACTTCACCATTCCTAGAGTCTCTTGAACCTCAGTTCTCACCGCTGCATCCACTTTATGACCAAATTGGAGTGACGATTTGTCAAAATTTATTTGCTGACCTGACATCTTTTCATAAGCTCTGAGGATCTCCAAAACAACTGTACACTCCTCTTTAGTTGCTTTACAGAAAAACAAGCTATCATCCGCAAATAATAAATGCGAAATTGCTGGACATTTATTCCCAACCTTGATCCCCGTTAAAAGTTTATCATTCTCCGCCTTTCGGATATTTGCAATTAAGACTTTCGTACAGAGTATGAATAGGTATGGAGATAGTGGATCACCTTGTCTCAAACCTCTTTCCGGACGGATAGAACCTTGCGGCTGACCATTGATGAGAACCCTATACTCTACCGAAGTTACACAAAACATAATCCACGAAATCCATTTCTCGGAGAAACCAAACATACTACTAATAATGTAAACACTTTATTGCATTTATATATGTTTTTAAACATGTTAAAGACAAAGAAAAAACAGATGTTGCTATTTCTGTTTAAGATAATTTGGTAAGACTAAGGTGACACACTTAATCATGAAGGTTTTGTACGTTCTACATGTATATATATACATATTCTTTTTTGGATTATAAACTAAAATTTTATAATATTTATGGTTCCACAGACATAATTAAAATCATCTGTCTCCAACAAAAATATTCAAATCTGACAGCATCAAATTAAAACTAATAACGATTCCATTTTTTCTAATAAATAATCTCTTTTTTCATTTTAACAAATAGTATAAGTTTTAACTTTTAATATTTTCACACATATGAAAAAATACATGTAAATTTAACAACATATACGTTATTGTGTGACAATTTTTTATAACTCTAAATCAACATTTTCTTTTTCAAATAATCTTAATCGTTTTATTGTTTTTTTCCACACAAAGTAAGAAAAGTTAGAAAACAATCAATCTTTGATATATTTTATTCTTTTCAAAATTTTAATATAAAAATATTATAACACAAAAATTAAAAATTATGTAGAACGACAACTAAATTAAAAGGTAGGAATAATATTCTACCTTGTTTTTTTTTTTTTTCACAAATTGTCACCATTGACTAACAAAAATACGTTAAAAACTTATAAAATTTATCTGTTAGAAACAAGATTTTCTTCTTCTAGAATTTGGATCAATTATGAACAAATCGGAATACAATTTTGTTTTTTACCCGTTTCTTGTCGCTGAAAACTCTATTTCACATATGTCAATCATCTAAATCATCACATTGGCTGATTTCCCCAACTAGAAAAATTATATACAGAGAAATCGAATCATCCGAAAAGCTAATAATGATCTACAATAGTTAATTACCCTAATGAGATATATATCTCCACAACTTAAATTATAATCACTTTTTTCTTTTTGCTTTCTTTTTATTTTCTGCATTTTTGGGGGTAACAAAAAAGTCAATAGGAGCACTGAACACGATGATCTCTGTCTCTAAGAATCCCATTGTAGAGAGCAATCCGATTAGCAGGCATGTCGTTTCTACAAACCGAACCGGTTTTCTCCGGTTTAATCATCTGCTCCGGTACAATTCTCCTCAGATGTTCCCTCTTCTTACGATACTCTTCACCGTTACCTCTCGGCTCTTTCACATTCTCTGCGAATTTCACTTTCTTCTTCTTCCTCTGTTTTTTCTTTTCCTCTGTCATCAAATATAAATTCAGAAACTTTGTAAGAATTTGGTCGCCAGAGGATGATTGGAGAAGAAAGATCGGAAAAGGGTACCTGAAGAAAGACATGGAGGGAGGATCCGTTGATCTGAGGATGTCTGAGTACCAGAGAATTGGCGGGAGATAGCAAGAAACAGAGCAGTGCTTGAGAAAACCATGGCGGTTGCGATCACTACGCCATGAGAACAGCTGAGTATACAAGTCATGTTTATGTTGCTTTCTTGGGAGATTCGAAGATTCAGGAAAGATTTTAAACTTTTAAAGAAGAAGAGAGGAAGAGAAGTTGGTGATCGATGAATGAGTGAGTTGAGAGAAGAGAAGAGAAGAGAAGAGAGAGCATGTGTTGTGTTGCAGAGAGAGTTGTTGTGTTAGTACCACAACAACAACAACAACAACAACAAAAGTCACGCACCAGAGAAAAAGTACTGTTGAAGTTGAACGGTGGGAGATCTCTCTTGTCTCTCTTATTAAAAACTTTTAAGAGTTTTTTTTTGGAATTGAGTTTGCTTAAGGTCTTCTCTTCTGACAACAAAATCAAAAGGGTGAAGTTATTTTGGTGTGTGTGCTGTCTTCTCTCTTTTATTATCTTCTGTTGGAAAAAGTAGAGAAAGTGTGTGACGATTGGGGTTTGGTTTTAGTCACAGGCGCTCCTTAGAAAAAATCAAGTTGGAAATGAGAAAAATCTTCTATCATTAATTAACCATATATTTATATTTATAACTAGATGCATTGCAATGAGATATATATGACTAAAAATTCTCTTCTCACCATAATAATTTCACTTTGCGAAAAATTTATGTGTATTCAAAATTCTTTACTATTGCAATTTATTTTCTTTCTTTTTTTGATATTTTTTTTTTACTATTACTATATTTATGATTAGTTTTTAAATATCTATATAGTATATTTTTATTGCATACTACATTTTAGTGCATAACATTTTCGTTTATCTTTTAAAAGCCAATGAAACAACTTTCACTACCTTTTTATTGTTTCTTAAAGAATTTTAACTAATTAAATATTTCTTAAGAACTTTATTCGTATCTATTAAATTAAAAAAATTATGCACGTGGTCTAATTTTACTATTCAATAATTTCTTGTTATAATTTTATTCAACTATATCTCACGCCAACTTCTCTAACTGTTTTTTTCCTTCATTTAAAAATTGAACCATAGCTGTATATAAATTAATTTATCACATAAAAAGAGAGGAGAATAATAGTATTAAAATTTTGTGTTCGAAGTTTGTTTTCGTTTAAAACAAAATAAAATCAGGAATTGTGATGAAGAGAAATCTTAGAAGGACAAGGCATTGAGTGTGAGAGAGTTGGGATTCTTAAAGAGTTGAAAATTGAAATGAACCTCTTCCACTCAGTTCGATGATCCGATCTCTCTCTATCTCTCTTTATATCATTAAAAACATGAAGACAGAAACTGGTGTCTACGTGAACATCGGTTCTAGCCACGTGTCCTGTTTCAAAACCTAATTTTGCCGCGTTTCTGTACGTTTAAAATCCTAATCAAATACGAACATGAGGTTTTTGATAAGCCAATTATTAGAGCCAACATGTGTAACGCTTTTAGGAAACTTCTTTGTATTTTCTTCGATTGTGATATCTAGAGAAGACTAGACCAACTTCTCTTTCTCTCTTTCTTTACCAAAAGGAAGAAGAAGAAAATAGATTCTTCTATATTATAAATTTCGATTATACTTTTGCACCAAAAAAAAAGTTAGTCTATATTATTATAACCTTGAATGATTATAATTAAGAAAGCTTGTGGACTAAAAAGTTGAACTCATTAATTAGAGTGAAACAGAAACATTGTAACATCAAAACCATCTAACGATGGATTGGTTGAAGGATTTATACTAAGATTAGAGGTCGTAATTTTTTTTCATCCCACTATAATTTCAAAAATACGATTTTTTCGCAATTCGAGGATATAATGTTGTTTTGGTTCAAGATTCTTCCAGTTAATATAAGAGAAGTTTATAAATTCCATACAAATGTTTTTTGTTTTGTAGTTCCGGGGTTTTTGTATCACAAATTATATACTCCTAATTATCAAGAGAAAAGATTCAAGCAGCTATCATTGTATACGGCTAGTTGTGTTTAGGATACTAACTACTTGAGATAGAGAGAGAGACGTCAGTACAAGAAGTTAAGCTAAGGTCTTTAAAGTTATGAGATAATGTAAAGAAGAAAGAGACAGTCACATGGTTGATTGACTTTGATGTCCTAAATAACGTCAACCACACACGTTAACTAAATTTCTTCCTTTCATATGTTCACACTTATTCATGCATGATTAATGATGGTTTTTGGTAAGCCAAAAATATTGTGAGACTCCCCTAATCCAGTAATCTTAATCCGGAAGTAACTCTTATTTTATGAAATGAGTATTCTTAGTGATGCAGCGCATATTCACGTCAACGACCATGACAACAACTTTGTTGTTCTTTTTAAATGGGCCTAAAGTAATGGGTTTTAAAACTATACTATGTCAATATTCTTTTACATTAGATTAGGGTTTTGGTTTTATGATTCTTATTTAAATGATCCTTACGTTGTAGAATAGATCAGTTTTGGAATATTGAATAAACAAGTTTTTAAGAGAGCTTTGCCTAAAGCCTAGAGAGGAGGACTCTCAACCCTAAAGAGCTTCTTGTCCGAAGCCCTGAGAAGAGGATTCTCGCCTTATCCTTATTGCTTCTTCGTCAAGTTTCGACGTTCTAAGCAAGATCCGTTCGTGAATCTAAGTCTCCTTGAGATCTAGCGTTCTCGTTCGTTATATAGCTTCCGCTCTCCATCAGTTGGTATCAGATTCATCTCGTTCCTGGTGGTTTGATTTCCTTCTGTTGATGTCTCTGAAAGACATGTGTCGGGAGACCAATTTTAAGTTGGATATTCCCAAGTTCTATGGTGGATTTTCTAGTGATTCATTATTAGATTGGCTCGTGGATGTGGAAGAAATTTTGGAGTTTCAAAGCCTTACAGATGATCAATTGGTTTCGCTTGTGGTGAAGAAATTTCGAGGACAAGCAGCATCATGGTGGCAACAAGTGAAGACAACACGTAAAAAGGCTGGAAAGAAGCCTATTACATCATGGGATAAACCTAAACAGAACCTATGTTCAACCTTTTTACCTCGTAATTATGATTACACATCATATGGTTGTTTCCAAACTTTGAAACATGTGGATATACCCACATACGTAAACCATGTCGCCGTAGATAATATTTACGGTGATAAATTATCTACCTCAGAAGCCCTCTCCTATGATGCATATCCAATATTCGAGGTCAAAGTGGCTGAAGACGATGGTGTTGTGGAATTTATAGACAAGGATATCATGGTCACAGCAAAAAGCAGCGACGAGCTAGTGAACACCAATGCTACGACAGCCGTTGAAAATACTTTCGTACATCAACTCGGCGAACTGCCTTGTGTGATTTTTGATGACGATTGTGATGCGAATGCTGATCACATCCAAGACAAAGAAACCGATCTTACTTTTACAAACATTACTAATCTAGTTAACTGTATCAAAACAACATATTTCGTCTCTTATGTCTTTGATCCGGTTGATGATGGTGGTGAGGATGACTTCAACAACGCAAATTTTATCGGGAATCAAGGGGTGAATAACACGAAGCTTTCTCCAATTAACCATGACTTAGTGATCACCAGTTTTAATGGGAAGGCTGAAGCTTCATACATGGATAAGGGGAACCACATTTATCCTATTTCTCGTGCAAACCATCATTGGAAAATCAATGGCGAACCTCCAGATTGTGGTCGTAGCTGGTTGTTGCTTTTTCACGAAGAGGTAGCTCTTTATTACAAGAATTATGCTGATCCCGTGTTTGATAATTATATAGATAAAAAGAGTTGTTCTTGTGATTCTGGCGGAGGAGATATGGAGAGAACTGAATTTGCAGCTCTTGTTCATTTTTGCCATTGGAGAATACCAAGAAAAGATTTCCATGTGCGCAGTTCAAAGATGGAGTTTCTTAATTGGGTATTTGGTTACAAAACCCCTATCAATATTTCTTTGTGCCGGCAACGTAACGTCCATGGTGAAAACGCATGTATCATATGCCATATTTTCTTTTCTTTTCCTATGGGAGCAGAAAATAAAAACAAGAGGCATATTGCGGGTTGTTGTGTTGAAAATAGCATAATGATGATGCTAGTATCCCGTGATATCATGAGATTAGCTTCAGAGGCCACCACTTCCATGTGTAGTCATGCTTATTCACTCACTACAAGAACATGTGAAGGAAGTAAGGAATTTCAGATGTTATTTGTCATACAAGATGAAGCGCAACATGAGCGGAGTGGCGCAATTAATATTATGCATCACTGTGATTTAGAACTAGAGGCATCACCTTCGATCAGTCGTCACTATGAAGAGAAGGTGGAATGGCATGAAAATATAATTGTGACGAGAGGGAATTACAAGATCAAAGTCAACAGTGCTTTTCTCATGCGTATGTGGCTGTCTTCTATGGGGGTGTCATTGAGTCAGGGCATAGTGGAGATAATGCACGTTCCACATAATTATTGTTTCGCCTCTTGTGCTCCACGTATAGTGCCTCAATTTCACTCTTTATTGACTCGTGTCTTTGTTGGATGGGAGACTTCTACGATACGACGTGGTGATTTCCTTATCAAACATTTGGAGATTTTAATTGGAGTCAAGACATGTCGTAGAGGGAAAGATGGTATTTTGTACTGTGGTGACAACAAATTTGGTGAATTGTTTGAGGAGTTTAGTAATAACAAGAAAGGTCATCATATGGTTGCAGTGGGTTCTTTCGTTGGTCACGTGTCGAAGTTCCATATCTTACACCACCGTGAACACCTCGCCCAAGTGGAGTCAACATATGTTCGCATGGCTTTTATGTGTCTTCACCAACATATTTCTCGCGTGATGATTATCCTACCTATATTGTTTCAAGCTGTGTTGAAATGTGGAGCTTTTCAGTGGGTAACTGGCCCTGTTCGTAGGTCTCTCTTGGATTCTACATCCATGTTCACGTCATTTAATTGTTGGAGAAACGTTTCTTGTGGAGCAGGAAATCTATTGATCTATGGAAAGTTAAACCTAGCATCGGCTTGTTTCTCTACAAAGGTTCGTTTCTTGGTGGGTAAGAAGACCACACATGTACCAGTTATTTTGCTGATGTGGAAGTTACTTGACCTCAGCTTAAGTACCAAATCCTCATATCATGCTCCAACGAAGATCCTAGTCCGAGAGTTCTTGAAAATGACGTGTTGTTTGTTGCGTGACAATCGTACACGAGGGGATGCAAGGTGTTGGCAGTCGGGAGAACTCATGAATGTCTCTCGCTATGTCTCTATCCACAACCTCATTTTTCGACAATTTCACGGTGATTTAGTATGGTTTCCACGTTATTGTCTTTGTTCTTATACATATCACCATGCGTCATTATTTTCACCAGACAAAGAGAAAAGATTTAAGGAACAAGAGGATTTGTTCGTCAACGGTATTCCACGAAGCTTGGAAACTACGATTGTTTTAACAGAGGTTCAATATGGTGGAAATTTCCGAAAGCTACACTTTAAGCGGGGAAAGAAACGTCACCAAGTTCTTCAGCGAAAATATTATGAATTGGTGGACAAAGGATATCTTCAAAGCTTTAAGATTTGGGATCGAATCTTTCTAACCCGGAGGGAGAATTACGATTCGAGGTCGAATCTTTCTAACCCGGAGGGACTGATGCAGCGCATATTCACGTCAACGACCATGACAACAACTTTGTTGTTCTTTTTAAATGGGCCTAAAGTAATGGGTTTTAAAACTATACTATGTCAATATTCTTTTACATTAGATTAGGGTTTTGGTTTTATGATTTTTATTTAAAGGATCCTTACGTTGTAGAATAGATCAGTTTTGGAATATTGAATAAACAAGTTTTTAAGAGAGGTTTGCCTAAAGCCTAGAGAGGAGGACTCTCAACCCTAAAGAGCTTCTTGTCCGAAGCCCTGAGAAGAGGATTCTCGCCTTATCCTTATTGCTTCTTCGTCAAGTTTCGACGTTATAAGCAAGATCCGTTCGTGAATCTAAGTCTCCTTGAGATCTAGCGTTCTCGTTCGTTATATAGATTCCGCTCTCCATCACTTAGACTCTTAAAACCATCCATATGCGCCAATTTAAAAACAATGTACCTCGACTGAAACTAGGAGTTTCAGTAGAGACCTGCGATTTACTCTTCCTTGAGTGATCAGTGATCACAGTATATTAGATTTGTCGCTTACGTTACTAGTGTACCTCACTGACCATATTCTTTAGTTTGTCGGTACTTTCTTCATGATCTGTGACTTGCTCTTTTTTTTTTTTTTTTGTAATTCTTCAAGATATAAAAATATTAGTGGTTGCGATGTGAATTCGTATATATATGAGTGATAAAGCAGAGCAATATGTTAATAATATTTCTTAGGCTAGGAAGAATTGTGTATTTGTGTGTTGACTATTGAGTAGAGAAATCTGTGGACGTTTAATGGAAATCAAGTTGGTTTGATTTGGTCACAGGCGCTCGCAAAAAAAAAATAGAAAAAAATCAAGTTGTGGAAACTGGAAATGGAAAAATCTTCTATCATTAATTACTCTTCTTCATTGTTTTTAGTCTCACTATACTAGCAGTTGACCCGCGCTGCGCGCGAGAGATTTATATATATTTCTTTAATTTTTTATTCATATTGTGATATTTTATTTATTTTCAAAACATATTATAGTTATTTTCTCTTGAATTATTATCTTTCAATATTTAAATTTGGATTAAAATCATTTTCTTTTTCATCATGTTATAAACTAATATTTCACTTTCAATTTTATTTTTCCCCTTTAAGATTTTATATGTACAATTACATAAATGTTGTTTTTATTCTACCATAAATTGAAAATTTACTTACATTCTTAAAGTCAGTAACACATTTAAAATTTTAAACTATGATCAATTTAAAATGAAAGTTGAATTATATTATTACCACTAACTAATATAAAATGAAAGTATTTCTTATTTAACATTTCATTTATTTACATAATTTATTTTTATTTATATAAATTTTCTATTAATTAAATAAGTAGCATAAATATGCACTAAATGAATGTTTTAAATATTTTAATGTAGGAAAAATGTGGTTTATGTGGATGCTTATGTGGCATCATGAGAAGAGAGAAAAAACTAACTTTATATATATAGATTATGATAACAATATACCACGTTAGAAGTTCATGTGGTATATTATTATCTCTAATATCATACCATAGTTTATAAGTAGATGCATTGCATTGAGATAAATATGACCAAACTTCTCTTCTCACCACAATAATTTTTACTTTGCGAAAAGTTTATATGTATTCAAAATTCTTTACTATTACAACCAGTGGCGGATCCAGAAAAATTTCTTGCGTGGAGCACATATCATATACATATATAAATTATACAATAAACTTCTTGAATGTATATTTTGCATTTTTAATGAGCCAAAATTTTAATAATATTTTTTATTGGTATAGAGATATTTTAAAATAAACTGTTACAAAATTACAATTCACCCATAATATAGACACACATATAAACCTTTAAAATAATAAATTAACTATAAAATGATAATGCTTTTTAATGTTACTAATTTGCCAATTTTATTACGATTTTTTCAATTAAAATATATGTATACTAAAAAATAAAATTGAATAGAATAAAGAAAAACGCAAAATACATCACGTAACAAAAGAATAATAAAAAGGAAATGACTAAAGAAAGACATAGAACAAGTATACAATAACCCTACAATAAAAGCTACCAAGGAGACTTCAAGACCATAATGTCACATGGGGGCCAATTTACCAAATGAACCAAAGAATATATATGCATGTAACTACTGCTTAACTTTTAAAAAGTAGTATGGGGCACGTGTCCCACCTAGACATGACCACGGTAACGATTAATGCGGTTATGGTTAATTAACCACCGGTTAACGGTTATAAATTTCTTTAACCGTAATCTTAACCATTTTATATGAGATTAAGACGGTTACGGTTATATACGGTTACAGTTAATTACGGTTACGGTTAAATACAATTACAGTTATTTGATTATTATTACAATGTTAAGATTGGAGGCAAAATTATATATTTTAACCTTTATAATAATAATAAAATAATATATGATTAAAAATAGTTTAGTATGAAATATTTTGATTACTTACAAGTTTAACTTATTGTATCGCTTTTAATAAGGTGAAAATCTTGTCCAAACATTATTCCATGTGTTTTTCATTCTATATAATTATAATTACAATTTATTTTAAAATTTTAAATAATCGGTTAATCGTGCGGTTAACCTTACGGTTTATAACGGTTAACCGGCGGTCTATTATGGTTACGGTTAATTAACGGTTACAGTTAGTATTCTTTTTTAACCGTAATTAATTTATTTATACGGTTAAAGGTTACAATTTTTAACCGTTTTAAACGGTTATGGTCCAGTTGCGGTTTATAAACGGTCCGGTTATGGTTAGAAATACGGTTAGCTTTTGGTCATGCCTAGTCCCACCCACTTAAGCCCTAGATCCGCCCCTAATTACAACTTTTTTTTTACTACTACTATATTATGATTAGTTTTTAAATATCTATATAATATATCTCCACAACATTAAATATAATTTCTTACATCGAACTTATCTTCTTCTTCTTTGTATATCAACTCCTCGTCAGACGACGAACATCGGTATTAAAATTGCCACCACCACTCCTCGATGCTAATTAATAAGAATCACATATCTTTGTTCTCCACTCTAAGACCACCACAAGATCTTCTCAATATAATGATTTCACAATAAGAAACGGAGAACTTGGAGCGTTTCCTCCGCTCAGATGATTGAGCTTCGTCTTTTATTGAATGAATTGTTGGTTATTGGAAATGATGGGTATTAAATAAAAACTGATTATGAAATATAAAATGTTGGAAATGATTGTATTGGAATTGTTGAGAAGTGTTGGGTTATGAATAAAATATGATTATGAGTGGTGGTTCGAATTGTTGGGTATTGGAATATGAAATCTGAATGAAATGGAAAAACATGGGTAATCTTGAAGCTTAACTGTGTATTTGAGTGCTATTCTCTCATCTTGAACACAAAAAGTTGTTTGATATAATGTTATTAGGAACAAAGCAGTTGGTAAAAAGAGAGAAAGTTTGTTGACGTCGTTGATTTCAATGTCTACGGCTTATACTTCGTCGGTTATGGAGATCTTCTGGTTCTGGTCATCACCATTTATGAGATTTCTGAATATTTAGGAAACTCTTCCTAAATGACGAAAAAAAAAAAAAAAAACTCTTCCTAAACTTCAAAGACGTCTTCCAAAACATTATCAAGTCCTTCGTAAATCTAAATCAGTGTTTAGATATTGAATATATATATATATATATATATAAAATAGTTGTTTTATAAAATTGTTTATGGTTTTTGTTTGAACAAAAGTAATCGATTCGTTTAGAGACTACGGAAAACAAGGAAGAGATGTTGAATAGTTGTTTTTATTGATCAAAGTCTCCAGTACACGCACAAGATTTTCTAGTTTTAATTTAGATTTTAGTATCTTGAATTATTTTACTATCTTGAATTTTTCTAGTTTTAGTTTAGATTTTAATATCGTGAACTAAATACAAAATCATCGTCGTCATTTTCTTCCTAAGATTATATTTTTAATAATATAATATGTTTATAGTTTTGTATAATAAAAGAATTCAAAAAAAATTATAGTTTTTAGGTTTTTAACAGTATAAAAAATTATATAAAAAAAAATTTGTATATTTTTTTTGGTCAAAAACGGTAAACGTCGGAGTCAAGACCGTTCAACGCCATAATCAGTTGACCGGTGTACCAGAATTTTATGTCTATAGTGTTGACTACATAACGTTGTATAGTTGATGCATGTGTTCATGCAATACATCTATTTCGTGTAGCTGTGTGTACAATATAATACTTGACATGTGTGACCATGCATTCTTATATAGTTGGTGTAGCCAACCATCTTTTTTCTTTATTAAAATACATCTGAATTTATAAAACAAAGAAAATTCATCATAAAACTCAACTTTACTACAAAAATATTAAAGAACGTAAGGATAAATACAATATATATGGTTGTATCAATTCATCATCTTATCTTTCCATTTTCTTCACTTGTTGTCTTATCCAAAATCTCTTGAAACAATGTCTTCTGTGAAATCCGTGTGTTAGTCTTGGTACTCACCTTTGAGACAATCGTGCACAAAAATCAGATTTTGTGGCCGATTCTCTTCTCCGAAGGCAACGACAAAGAATAACTAAAATAAATTTTCATGCGCGTTATTCAATCCCGAGGAAAAATACAAACTTTACAAATACGGTACAAACATGTTTTTGCATTAGATTTTTGATAAGCCAATTATACAAGCAACATGTAACTCTTTTTGAAAACTTCTTGTATTTTCTGCGATTGTGATTCTATTTCTCTCTTTCTCTATCTTTAATTTACCAAAAGAAGGAAGAAAAATAATCTTTCTCTTTATAATTAATACTAGCAATTGACCCGCGCTCCGCGCGGGAGGTCTATAATTTTGTTTCGTTGATTTTTCATTCATATTGTGATATTTTATTATTTTTTTAATTGATTTTCAAAAAATATTTTAATTATTTTTTCTTTAATTATTATCTTTCAATACTCAAATTTGGATTAAAAGCACTTGATTCAATTTATGAAATGTCATTTTTTTTCTTCTTTTTGATCATGTTATAAACTAATATTTCATTTTTTTCCTCTTTATAATTTTATATATACAATTACATAAATGTTGTTTTAGTCTAGCATAAATTTAAATTTTACTTCTATTCTAAAACTCAGTAACATATTTAAAATATTAAATTATGATCAATTTAAAAGGAAAGTTGAATTATATTATTACCACTAATAAAAAAATTAAAGTATTGTTTTCTTATTTTAACATTTCATTTTTTTCATAATTTATTTTTATTTATATAAACTTTCTATTAAATAAATAAGTAACATAAATATGCACTAAATGAATGTTTTAAATTTATTTTAATGTTTAAACAAAAATGGGCTTAGGTAGATGCTTATGTGGCATCATGAGAATAGAGAAAAAGCTAGCTTTATATATATAGATATAGTAATATGAATGATTATTAGAAACTTGTGAACCAAATGTTGGAACTCATTATAGTGAAATAGAAACATTGTAACTGTACGTAGCAAGCAAGTGTAACTTCAAAACCAACTCAAGATAGAAAATATAAATATTTGTACTAAGATTAGAGGACATAATTTTAATCATGATGTAAGAATACTGATTTTCGCAAGTTTCAAGAATTAATCTTGTTTTGGTACAAGGTCTCCTGTTAATACAAGAAATGTTTGTAATTTGCATACAAATGTGTTTGTTTTGTAGTTTCAAGATTTTCTCTTATCACAAATTATGTATACGGCTAGTTGTGTTTATGATGCTAACTACTTGAGAGAAATTAAAGAGACGTCACAAGAAGTTAATCTAAGAGCAACATTATCAAGAAGATCTTAATTTTTGATCTTAAGATTAATTTATTATTAAATTTAAAAATGTAAAATTTAAGAGTTATATTTTTGTTTTTAGTTTTGAAATGTCTTTATTGGTAGGATCTTAAGTTAGGGATCTTAGGAAAAAAAAATTAAAATTTGTAATTTTAGAAACTTTTATAATTATTGCAAATTTATAATTTTAAAACATATATGAAATACAATTTATAACATAAATAACATAAACCACAATAGTTTTAAACTTGATTTCTAGAAAATTCTGTCTATATATGCTTGACTAAATCCTTCTATAATTTTTTATGCATAGCTCGATCACGAAGTTGAGTTATAGTGGCTATCATATCGACAAGAAGTATTTCCATACATAAACTAACCCTTTAATAGTTCTTTTTGTATATTTGAGAATGAGTAAAAAACAACCCATCTTACCGTTTTTGTCAAATGTTTATTAGACCTTCCAAGAGTCTCAAGAAACCAAATTAGATTATAACTTTTTTTAAAAAAAACTTTTTATCTTGGATTGTATTGGTAGGTTGATACTGGCATAACAAGAAAAACATTTACAAAAATTTAAGACAATCTAAAATACATTAAATTAAAATGTCCCAAATAGTTCCAATGTTTTAATTTTTTAAATTAAAATATTAAAGCATGAAACAAGAAAATGGATTTTCGAAAAAATTAAAAGAAAAATGTTGAATAAGAACACATAACACACAAAAAAGCCTTCCACCAATCGTCCATTGACACATGTCGTATCTTAGCCATAATTTTAGATCTTAATTAAGATCCAGATCTTAGCATTAATCATCATTTACCATTTAAATTAAATAAAAAAATACCAAATATTAAGCTAAGAATGAGCTAAGATTCTATTGATAATGTTAGTTTAAGGTCTTAAAAGTAATGAAAGAACGTAAAGAAGAAAGAGATTGTCACATGGTTGCTTGACTTTGATGTCCTAAATAACGTCAACCACACATGTTAACTAAATTTTTATATATTCACACTTATCGACGATTAGTGATGTTTATGGTAAGCCAAAATGTTTGTAGACTTCCTTATATATCATCTTTATACAATTTTTAATTAATCATAATATAAGTGATTTTTCTAGAGTATTTTTGTGTTATTAGGGTCTTTTTGAGTGTTTTTAGGATTTAGAGTTATTTGGCATAGATTGAAGCAATTTGAAGTTTTTTTGGAGATATGAAGAACCTAGGCTGAATAAACGTATTCGGAGAATATATTTGATGTGAGTGTCGATCGACACTACACCTGGTATCGGTCGACACCAATATCTGACGTCAATTGGATTTCACGAGTAGTTGCAGTTATGAAGATTTGCAAATTTTATTTAGAAGTTTTTCTTATTTGCAATTAAGCCCAGTTCGTGGTTTAGACATAAATATTGAGTGTTATAAGGTTTTATGAGAAATGATGTTCTTTTCTAGTGCAAACTATTGAGAGATTGGCTTGAGAGCTTTCGGAGAGAAAGATCAGAACTCCATGTAGAGAGAAGATTTTGAACTCCTTTGTTTCTCTTTCTTATTTCTTAATTCAGATTATTCAGATCATGATGCTTTTTACTTTGATTATGTCTAAGTAGTTTTTTTTAGGGTTATGAATTCTCATTAGGGATCTCATGACTTGTTATGTAAATTTGTTAGATTAAGATTCATTATTTTTGTTCTTCGCCATAAGTTGTTCTTAATGCTAGTTTTAGATTGATCATCTAAAATCTAAATCTTAGGATAATTTGTTTGACATGAGAGTGTGATTAATTACCTAAAAGAACCTAATGTGAACAAAATACTTATTCGCAAAGAGATTTGGTTTAGGAATTTTGTGAATAAATCGAACTTGAACTGTAATGCTATTTAATCCCTTAGAATTTGCAAAGAGAATTGAAAATTATAGTTTTTGATTTAGATAATCATCGAATTTTACTTTTGTATTTCGAGTTAAAAACCCGTGTTTAATATGAATCCTAATTTATAAATTTATTTTATTTGACTGATTTCTTGAAAATCCTTGAATCTAGCTTTTATATATTTCGTGGAACTAAAACCTCTTTTTTTAATATTGCTTGCTATTTTAATTTGAAAATCTATTTTGTTTAACTTAATTTAATACCTATATATTTATTGTGTAAAATTTAAATATATGTGGATTCAATCTCTAAGTATTAAAATGGTCTCTTAACTAAGATAGTAGCTCATGAAAAATCTGAGCGAATTACTTCTCTAATCTAGTTTTGAGGTTTTGGAAAATTTTGTAGTCGGGTCCAATTTGATTTATATACAAGATATGACCAATCTTGCAAAAAAAAATGGCCAATTGGCCAAATCTGGCCGAACCCATTGACCGTGTTTTCATTTTTTTTTTCTTCTTGATTTAGTAGTGATAACCTAATTAGAAAACACTTGTCTATAAGATTACAAGATTTGACCGTCTTATAAGTATTGTAAACCAGTTGTAGAACCGATTGTATCAAAATGAGACCGGACCAACTCATGATCACAATTACATGCAACTCCTGATCACAAGATTTTTAGCAGTTATAATATTCTAGTGTTTGGTACAAAAACAAAAATATTATAGTGTTTTTAACCAAAATCATATATAGTAGTGCCATTTTTATATTTTCAATGTAAGCTGTATATTTTTTTTTAAGTTGTTTCTTATTACTATAGCTATTAGTCTATCTTAGTAATATTAATCCGGAAGTATTTTTATATAACTTACCTAAGATCTAAACACAATTTCATCACAAAACCGTTGCAAGAAAAAAAAAAGTTCACTACATTTAAACGATCGTGATCATGAGAGATGTAATTATATAAGTTCTAAATTGCAAATTAGAAAGAAAAAAAATCAATTTCATTCGACATCACATTTGTTTATGTCCGATGTATAAACAAACAAACGTGATGTCGAATGAAATTGTTTGTTTGTTTTTTTTTTTCTAATTTGCAATTTAGATCTTAATTAGACCAACTCCACAATAACAACTTTATCAAAGGTAGTTGGAAATTTATTCAAAGTATCATGATATATGTACTTCTATACAGAGGAAATTTAGTTCACCTATCATCTGGTGCCTTGCTTATGTTTCTGGATATTTGGTACGAGTTAGAAGCCATTTAGAATAAATTCGGGTTAAATCGATATATTGTTAAGATAAAGGTGTGGTTTTTCTAGAGCTTACCTTGTTATGTGTATATATAGGCGTGTATGTGATTAATAAGAACATAACGTTTCCCAATCTGTTCTTAGACCCTTCGAAGCAAGGTAAATTCACTTGAATTTTTTTCTGTAAAACTTCACTCATTTGTCACCCTCTTGACATTTAGTCTGTCTTACTTTAAGGTTCAACGTCATTTTGAAGAACTACCACCTGGGGCTTTCCAGAAGCTACGTGAATCATTAACGGTGTAAGTCTTTGCTTCATCAAGTAAATTTTCATGAGTTATATACTGAAACTAATATATACTGATTATTCGTAGCATACGGTTTCGCACCTCATATTCGATTTTGACAGCTATCTATGGATGGGATAATCTGCTTTCTCTTGTCGATGGTAATTATGCTTTCATCACATGGACAACATACGAAAGCTGCCGTAAGAATTAGCCTAAAAGCCAAACCACTAAGCTTGGGTAATGGCATTAACTCGACCACATTTGAGACATCAAAAAACCGCATTAGGCTACGAAATGACCAAATCTACTACTACAGTGATATCGGCATTGGAACACCAAACCAAAACTTCATAGTCATTTTCGATACGGGAAGTGCGGATTTATGGGTACCGGGTACAAATTGGCCTCGTGATGAAGGACTTCCCACATATGATTCAGGGAATAGCCTAACTCACATAAATAATGGTATGGAATCTTTAATAAGGTTTTTCTTATTTATTTTTATTTTTTTAACAACTAAGTTTTTCTTAAGTTATATCCTCATTCCCTACGGTAAGGAGTATGGAAGTTGATCAATTTCTTTTTATTTTTCATTAACAAAAGTTTATAATCTAAGTGTCAATTTTACAGATAACCCCGAACCCGCAGAAATCAGTTATGATCTATATAAGATTGCTGGTCTCCTTAATACTGATGATGTCACCGTTGGTGATATGATTGTTAAAAGACAAGTAAGAATAGTTAAGGATTTTGTATCGGACGATTTTGAAAAATGAAAATTTGTTTAATTTACTTTAAGAGCTTCAGTAATCAGTGTTTTGCTATCTTTAGACTTTCATAGCGGCAGACGGAGAAATAAAAGATGGAGGAGGTTTTCTTGGATTACAAGCTTTCGATGGTATTTTCGGGCTGGCATTCCAATCGAATTCTGTGAGGAATATAGTTCCGGTTTGGTAAGTATTCATGTTTCTCATCTTCATTTCTTTAATATGCATAATTCCCTCTATTTCAAAATATTAGATGTTTACGACTTTTATTTTGGTTTCATATTATAAGATGTTTTGCATATTAATTTAAATGTATTTATAATAATTTGTGACCACTTTTATTCTACAATTTATTCATGATTAGTTGAATCTTTTTTTAACTAAATATAAGTGATATTATTTCTAATAAAATTATTTACATATGCACACTTTTACTTTTACAAGTAACTCAAGAGTAAATAATTATAATTTTTTTTGATTTTTTTATAATTAAAACTCTGAATATTATTTAGTTAATATTTTGTCATTAACTATTGTAATTATATATATATTAACACTCATATTAAATATTTTAATATCAACCACCAACTAAGTTTTATATCACAACACCTAGGTATAACATGGTAGCTCAAGATCTTGTTCAAGACAAAGTTTTCTCAATTTGGTTAAAATACTACAACCCACATGATAAAGACGGTGGAGCTATCATTTTTGGCGGATTTGACATGGCGCACTTCACAGGCGAGCACACGTATACTCCCATCACCAACAAACACTATTGGGAGTTTAAGATGGAGGAAGTACTCATCGGAGGGAGGAGAACTGGGCATTGCATCGAAGGCTGTTCTGTCATGCCTGACTCCGGCACTTTCGACGTGAAAGGTCCAGCGATAAGAATTTGTATTGAATATTGCTTGTTACACATTTGAGAACTAACAAACTTGTTGTTCTTTGATCCAGTCTATAATTAAGGAAATTAATGAAGCTATTGGGGCGGATGGTGATGGGAAGGTGGACTGTGAGATGGTTCCTTCGATGCCAGAAGTTTCCTTCACCATTGGTGAAAGAGTTTTTTCTCTTTCCACGAGAGATGTATAGATTTTCAATTAGTTTATCTGAGTATTTTTTTAGTATATGTAATTTTGTTTTTCTCTTTTTTTTTTTGGACACAAAAGCGAATTTAATGAATTTTTTTTTTCTTTCAGTATATACGTTTTTGGGGTGATGGAACGGAAGAGTGCTCAAGCAATTTCGTGGCCAATGCCGGGGATAATGATGATTATCATGAAGATAATCTTTGGTAATAATAATTTTTGTAACTCTTATTACTGATTGGTATGATGTAATAAAGTAGACCTTAAATGGTTTGAACTACACGAATGCAGGATTTTGGGAGTGGTCTTCATGAGACGAGTCCATACGATATTCGATTTCCAAAATGAAAGAATCGGGTTTGCCGATGCCGTACAATCAGGGTAGTTTCTCGGATAAGTTATGTTGATGATCTCGTGTCGGAAAGAGAGGGTGAGAGAGTGTTTGTGCTTTACAAGTTTAATGTTAGCTAGTGTTTTTAAGTTCAATGCTTTGGATTTATGATGTGTCTTCTTAAACGTTCCGTTTGAATAGAATAAAAACTAGCCACTTATAGAGTTATTTTCGATATTTATTACCAAAATTAATGAGATGATTCCATATAAGATAACACACTGATTAATATAATCGTAATGACTAATGAGCAATATAGTATACTCAATTACTCAGTATTGACTATAGTACTATAAACGGTGATGATTTCGGCCACATGAAGATTTCCTCTCCTGTCCTTGACGTTGTTGATTGATATAATCCAACGGTGGAGATTGACACAACTATTCCCCACGTTAAAAAAGAAAAAATGTAAAAGAGAAAGTAAAACCAGCAAGAGTAGTTAGTTGATAACTTGTATCCACTCATTGGATTAAAATGTAACTTGTGCAATCTAACGAAGAAGGGTAAGAAATGTTCAATCCGTACCTAGTTTATTTCCTTGTCTTTCGCTGTATTCTTATAAGTTATAACTAGATGCACTGCATATATTTATATTATACACGCGCTATCTTTGTCACCAAATATGATTAAATTTCCCACCATCAAAAGAAATTAACCTTCACTGTCTTTAACTCTTTATGTAAAAGATATATGTCAACATATTATAAGTTAACTAGGCCAACACTTCCATGATTTTTCCTATCATCATATCTCAATTTACTATAATAAAATAATTGATTTCCTACCGCTACTAGTTTAGTAAGAAAATGGTAGAAAGCAAATATTTCATTTCGTTTTTCTATGCAAATATTGGAAAGACACTGACGGTAGACAATCATAAATGGTAACATTAAGTTCATATATATGAAATAGTTCAACCATCACCGAAATAACACTGCTTTAGTTAAATATAATTATGTTTTATTATGAAATTAACTAAGCAGAATTTACGGTTGAATAATTTTTGTTTACCCAATGTTGATCTCAGCTAATGGCTATTCTCATCTTTAAAAAGAAAGACATGAAGTTTCCATCATATAGAACTTTACTTTTGAAATTCAAAATGAAATCTTAAACGAAATTTTAAAAAACGTGATCATTATAAGATCAAATGTGTTACAAATTAAGCAAGATAGTTCATAAAACATAGAGCATGCATAATACAATAAAGCTAAATTCTTTCAGACTAGCCACATAAGGGATATGAAGGATATATATATATATCCGATAGAGTCATAGAGACTCGGATCCTATACTTCCCTGTTTGAACTACTTCCCTGGTTTCTTACATATCGTATTACCTCCGCTTTGCGGGGTAGTTGGGTTTAAGATTGGCACATGGTATTATATAAACCAAGATTTCATTAAGGATGTATCAATGGTTCCGGAAGTTGGAAGTTAGCCTTACTTGAACCTGATTTAGTGTTTGATTGGATGTCATCCATACGTCTCATTTAAATATAAATGAATGGCCTAATTTCATAACTTTACGAGACCACGTTATGGATCCTTAAACTTCCCTGTTTGAACTACTTAAAACCTGAAAAAGTAAAATTAAATCGAAATAAATGGTCTAAACGCTAAACAAATTATAACGTTAAAAAAGAGGAAGAGAAAAAGTTGTACGAGCTAGCTCTTCTTGCAAGTGGAACAATATTGTTGACCAAATAAACGAAAGAAAAATCATGATGAGTTAGAGAACGAAAAAAAAGAAGTGAAAATTAAAATAAAAAAGGTGTACGAGCTCTTGCATGTTGATTTGTTGACCATAGAAAAAAGGGAATCTCACGCATAAACAACTTTTTCGGGGTTCATGCTAAATTTCATGCTCCTCGACCGGCTATATATATACACACAATAATATCGAACAACTCCATACGAAAAAAAATATGGAAACCTTTCCGAAAAAAATTGTTTTGGTAAAGCTCTTTTTAATAGTAGTAATGATGATAGTTAGGGTAGAATCAAGTACTACTACTACTCTTCACAGAGTAGGTGGCGGACGATACACTTGGAACCCCAACGTTAACTTCTCAGACTGGGCCAACCACGAACGCTTCTACTCCGGCGAATGGCTCTGTCAGTAACAAGATTTTCGCTTCTTCTATTTGTTTTTTTCCAACTTACTGCGTTTTAACTTTACATATAAGTATAATATAATTTTAGTTTTAAATTAATTTTTCATCTAAAATTGGCAGATTTTGGGTTCGATCCAACTAGTCACAACGTCCTTGAAGTAAACAAGAGTAGCTACGAGCAATGCATAGACACTGATTTCATATCCAACGTGACACGAGGAGGACGAGATGTATTCCAACTCCTTCAGCCAAAGCCTTATTACTTCATTTGTGGTAAAGGTTATTGCGACCAAGGCATGAAGCTCGCCGTTAACGTCCTTCCTCAACCGTCTACAACCTCAAACTCCATTACTCTCATATCCTCATCCGCTTTCTCTTTCGCTGCTGTGTCCATTCTGGCTTTAATGTGAACTAGTTTTATAATGTTATAAGCTAGTGTTTTTAAGCTAATTGCTTGGTTTTGTGATGTATCTTTTAAGTGATACATGCTGTTAACATTTCGTTTGAATAAAAATCGTAGCTTCAAGACGATTCATTTTCGATTTTTTTTTAAGGTTGAAATTACCAAGATGAGATGATTACTTTAGATAATACATTGAATACTAGTTCATTTTTTAATATATGTATTATAATATCTTTTTGAAATTTAACTCTTTCTTTCTTTATTTAAGTATCAGAATTATCTTTTATATATGAAATTTTCTTATAGTTATCTCTTTAATTTTAAAATTTATTAGAGCAAAACTTTTTATTATAAATAAAAATCTCTAAATCGATAAAATTATTACAGATTATGTTTAATGTTTTTAGTATGAACAAGTATAAGTTTTTTTTTTTATAATAGGTTTAGAACTTTACTTTCTTTTTTAAAAATAAATTTAAAATTGAAACGTGTCAACATCTTATCAAGCACGTTAATGACTAACTTTAAAAATTATACTTTATATAATAAGATTTTACTTTATTTTAGATTAGTAATAAAAGTAAATAACATAGAATTTATCCAGTAATCTTCGCAAGTAAGACAGACGAAACATACTATTTGTATGCACTCCTATAAACATGGAAACGTTTTTCTCATATTTACAATATTTTATGGAAAACCTATAACTAACTATTAGATTAAATTATCATTTGGATTTCTGAAATTTGTTTATTTCCCTTTTTCCAAGACAAAACAAGTACAGTAAAACCTCTATAAATTAATACTCGATAAATTAATAATTTCTATAAATTAATAAATTTATTCGGTCCCAAGGTGAGACTAGTGTAATTTTAGACACATTTCGATAAAATAATAAGATAATAATTTTTTTGAAAATTCTTTGTAAATATATGGTCCCGTCAATATTATAAATTAATAATTAGGTAAAAATTTTAAAATATATGTATATATTGACACATTAGTTTTTGTTAGAGTTTATTTCTAATATTTTACTATGTCAGAAATTGTTAGCATTATCTTTCAAGATATAATAATAATTATTTTCTTTGTAATTGATTATATAAAATTTTAATTATCACGATTAAATTTTATTTTTAAATATTTTTTTGAAAAAACTTTTCAAATTAAGAAAATCTCTCTATAAATTAATAATTATTAAATTTATCGATAAATTAAAACATGTATAAATTAATAGATTTTCATGTTCCCAACATTATTAATTTATATAGGTTTTACTGTATTTTAAAGAAAACAATACACCCAGTACCTGGGTTATTTATAGAGACAGGACCGATTTAGCTCACATCAAAGTAAAACCTGACCAAAATAATTCCTAGGTTCCGTCTAACCCTAATCATGACAGTGGAGAAGCATAACCCTAATCATGATGATGAGTGTCTTAGATCTAAATCCTGGTCCGATCTCCCTCAAGTTCTCTTGATATCGGTGTTCGAACGCTTAAGCTTTACTAATTACCAACGAGCTAAATCCGTGTGTTGGTCTTGGTACTCAGCTTCGACACAATCCGTGCCCAAAAATCAGATCCCGTGGCTGGTTCTCTTTCCCGAAGACGACGACAAGAACGATAACTTTTCATGCACCGTATTCAACCCCGAAGAAAAACACAAACTCTACAAAACGCAAGATCTTGGTATGGAATTCGCAAAGAGTGTTTGTATGGCAACCTATGGAAGCTGGCTACTAATGCGAGATCCTCGACGAGATCCTCTGTATAATTTCCACATTGTGAATCTCTTTACCCACGAAAGGATCGATCTACCTTGTGTAGAGTTATTGTGGAAAGACTATGAATTAAGCATTGCAAGTGACAAAAGAATGAGGTACAGAGGTATTAGCTTACGATCACCTGTGTTTTGGGTTGACGAGAAAACCAAAGATTATCTAGTTGCTTGGGGACTTAGAGATTGGTGTGTAGTTTACGCCAAGAAAGGAGATACCTCGTGGAACCAAATCCCACAAACTCCGGATTGTTACCACATGGTTTACAAGGATCACAATCTTTACTTCTTGAGCTATTTTTATGGTGTTTTCAAAATATTTGATTTCTCTGGAGAGATTGTAAAACAAACATTCCAATCTTGTTTTCCTGTGGAGACATTTCAGTTTGGTAGACAAATCCGTCTACCAAGTAATTCATGGAGCGTTTGTGCCACACAACTTGTAGTCACCGTAGCAGGTAATGTACTCAAGGTTGAAAAATGCTGGAGAGCTAGGGATAGATCGTGGTCCTTCCGGCTTTACAAGGTTTATTCATCAGGAGGATTCATCAAGAAACGAGAACGGATTCATTCCTTGGACGACGACGAGTTTATGCTTTTCGATCAAGGCATCACTGTGCTCGCCAATAACACTCATGATGGAGGATTCATTAGAAGAAATTGCATCTATTTCAATGCTGCTTGTCATGGAAAGAAGAATACTAATGATACCTGCTTTATCTTCAATCTCGAGACACAGGAGACAAAGGAGCTACACACATTATTTGATACTTCTCCAATTCAATTCTCTAGAGCTCAATGGTTCTTACCAAGTTTCACAAAACGTACATGATGTTGGTCTCAACAATGTTGTAGCTTTTTTTTTTTTTCTTTCTACTTCCTTCATTCAATAATTTAAGATGATCCCGTACGTTACGTGCAAGTTTATCATATATAGAAAAAAGTTCATCATCTAGGTTAAAATCATCATATATAAATTTCAAAATGAAACCTTGAACGTAATTGTATAAAATGAAACATTCAAAACAAACACTAAACATCGACGTTAATTTTTGTTAAAATAGTAAACTTATATTAAAAAAACGATAATAGATGAATTCATAAGTTCAACAGTAATAAGCAACCAAACAAGTATCAAATCGGACCATACTACTGTATTCTCTTCTCTTTGAATCGTCAGTAGTGTCTAAATAGGATAGGGCTAATGTTTTTGTAACTCTTATTCAGCAAAAGAAAAGAGAAGAAAATCTTATTTATTACCTATATAGTATAGATACTGCCACTGAGCTTAGGTTGTAAGAATTGGAGGCATGTAATCAGATTTAACACCAAGGATACGGGCTTTTGTGTCAGGAAAGAATTCACATCCAGGAAGCTCAGTGATGTTCCCTTCACTAGCAATTCCGATCGGGTAACGAAGTAGATGACCGGGAAGATCATGTTCAAGTGACTCGCTTGAGTAAAGATCCCAATACTTATCAGCAACACGGTTAACCTTCTGGATACATTCTTGGCTCGATGGATCGAGGAAGGTCTCATCGAGCATTCCTAAATGTTCATACCATAGCGACATGCGGAATCCATGGATTTGACCTCGAGCTGGCTGTCTTGTTGAGAGATGATATGGCTGATAGCCTCCCATTGCTATCTCTGAGTCTCTTGCACCATCCATTGACCTCTGGTTGATATTGGCTGATCCGATTATAATGTACTCATCGTCAACTGCAAAAATTAGATGTTGAATCATTTGGTTCATATAAATGATCATAAATTCTGAAACTGTTGATGATACTCTTACCTATCATCATTTTAGTGTGAACATAGATCATGAAGCGGCGTGCTTCTTGTGCTCGGATATAGTCAGTGTCTGGTTCAGGTTTCTCTGAAGGCTGATACTCTCCATCTTTCTTGACTTCTCGGTTCCCGAGACAGAAGAATGTCAGATAATCTCGTGGATCCTCTCCCTCGAGTCCCTTTTCTCTAAGTGCCTTGATTACATCTTTGTACATCATCTCCATTGTTCTTTTCTGCCAATCTAATATAGCTTGGACTGATCCACTCTCAGGAATCCCTTCAGGCCACATTGGAACAACAACATAAACCTTAAACTTCTCTCCCGCTTTGATCTTGCTAACAATCTTTAAAGATAGCTCCTTTGGAATCAAATGCAGAGCATTGATTTCTTCGGGTTTGATTCCATCCGCGCTCCAAGCAAATGAGCTTCCAAGGAAGTACTGGTTTTCGATGTAGATGAAATCTTTAGCTCGTCTAATCGCGTGAATGTAAGCATCTTGGATACTCCTGTCAATTATATTATCTTTTCCGCTCACAAGACCTGCTTCCGCTGCAGCTTCAGGGGAGTCAGGAAATCCAGCAGCTGCTCCACCATCAATAGATCTAAACAACTGAACATTCCACACATCGTGATCCTCTGGGAACAAAACAGGAGAAGGCGGGATGATAATATCACCAAGCTCTCTCATTTTAACCAAAATATCTTTACCGCCCTGTCTGTTCCATCTCTGCTCAAAATTATACAAGACATCCCAAGCAATAGGTCCTTCAAGACGACAGTGAATGTCATGCCATGGCTCTCTAGGACCGCCTTTAGTTATCGTAGCGCCAGTGAAATTTGGTTGATGGAAGTCATCGTGATGGGCAGTATCCAACGTTCTAAACAAGGAGTGAAACGGAGTGTCATACCTTCCATCACAAAGATCAAGACCACCAACAAAACTCACAATTCTTCTGGATCTTGATCCCCCACTCGGCATTTCACTGTCTACAACCACAATCTTTTGGTGATGAGTGAACATAGTTGAGATTTGCAAGTTTTGGACAATGCTTCCACCATCATCAGGGTTACGAGGACACAAAATACAGTTCACGTCGGTTCCTCTGAAAAAATTCTCAGTTTCTTCATCATGAGTGGCCATAAGTCCATCTTTTTTCAGTAAATCAACTGATGTTCTGTCATCCCAAACAAGCAAAATTACCTTAACACCTTCACTAGCTTTCTTCTTGAGTAGCTCACCAATGGTCACATCTCCTCCTTGTTTCGGTCTCCTCGAGTCCCTCACCAAAGAAATCTCAGTGTAAACAGACCAACCAGTAATGTAAATCAAGTGTTTCGCATTAGTAATCGCATCAAAAATATCCTCCCAGCATCGATGTGCCTCATAGTTTTTCCCTCCCGCAAGAGGGATTTTCGGGACAAAGTTTCCAGGAATATGAGCATCTTGATACAGAGAAACTTTGCAGCCTTTTCTCTGAGAGAAGAATGTGTAAGGAACTCCTGGAAACTTAGCACTTTTGATACCTCGATTCCAGTTTTTATCCTTTTCAACACCGAAATATTGGAGTTTCACATGGATCTTTGATCCTCCAGCAATGGGGTTTTTCTCATTATCTAAGATCTCAACCCATCTATCAACTTCTTCTCCATGCAAAATATCTTCCACAGGAACATAACCTCTTCCGATCAATGTCGCGCCAATCGGATTAGCGTCTTTAACTGTGAATATAACATGTTTAGCCATGTGACCACAGTAAATATGAAAAGATTCATACCACTTTGGGTTTTTTGGTTCCTTTGATATCTTCCTAGTTCGTCCAACTCTCGCTTTCTCTAGATCGATTGTAGCGTAAAGCTGAGTTTCTCCTTTGCCAACACCGATGGTTTCTTCAACATTTGCTAGAATCTGGAATGATTAAACAGAACACTGGAAGAGATGAAGGGAAGTTTTACTAGTATCTTAATTTAATTTATTAGATGAGTGAAAAAAAAATGACATACCGATCCTAAGAAACCTGATCTACCTCCTTCAGCATTGAGACGATCAACTTCATAAATTGTTGCGTGCAATCTTCCATGTAACAAAAACTCGTCCATTTTTCTCCACCTGTAACATCATATAACATATTAGTAACAATCATACATTAGATTAGCAAAGTATGAAACACCCCTAAGAATATATTTTAAGCAAATCAATGTGTAAAAGTCATTAACCGTAATCAGAATAGATGAAATGTGATCAAAACAAGAATACTAGAAACCTGTGATCACCAAGATCAATGTAAGAAACAAGATTTGCAGAGGAGAGGAAGAAAAAGAAAAAAGAAACTACCTACAAAATTCTGAGAGAGATGGGGGAAGCTGGTTTGGAACAATTCAGTATTTGATCCGCGAAGGAAGCTGCTTTGTGTGTGGAGGAGCTGCTGAATGTTTCTGTGATATTAATAGAAGATGAAGCAAAAAAAAGAAACGAGTTTTACTAAAAACACTGGCTGTGAGTTTAAGACATTGATGCCTAATACGTGTCCAAATCCAGATTAAGTGATGACTAAACTCGCTCTAGTGATTAGAAAAATTCTTTTTTATTTTTTTTTAAAACCAAAAAATAGATTGAAATTTAGTTATTGCATAATTTACGCAACATACACATAAGAAATCACATTTCCAGGTGAATGTACATTGTATATGGATCTTCTGTGGTAGTATTTTAAAGAATAATTCAGTTTTAATCAGTTCGTTTAACTTTCGATTTATTTCCAGTCTGGTTTTGATTGGAATTCATTTACTAGTTTGGACCAAACAAATTTACCGAACATAACTGCCTAATGTAATTAGAAAAAAAAAAAAAAAACAGAGAGAGAGTAAAAGGTAAAAATTCTTACTTTGGCCACAAGGTTGTCCGAATCTCTCTCCCAGCTTCACATTTTCCACCAATTTAGCGGTTCAATCTAATCCTCAAACCTCAGCCAAAAAGCTGACGAGCAAACGCGCGTGACACTCTTTTCCAGAAATGGGGAAGAGACCGCCGATTCCACCAGATATCGAAAACGGACCACCACCACCAGCGCGACCACAGTTTCGCCCGCCCATTCCCGTGCCATGGGTTGCGTGGCTCGTGCCTCTCATTTTAGCAGCCAACTTCATCACATTCGCTACCACCATGTATGTGAACGATTGCCCTGCGAGATCAGATGAGTGCATCTTGTTTGATGTCCTTGGAAGGCTTTCGTTTCAACCGATCAAAGAGAACATGCTTCTCGGTCCTTCTATTCCCACGTAAGGACATGTTGATTCAACAATGTGTTATTTTTTTTTCCCCGGGTTTGATGGATGATTCTTGTTGAATTCAGGCTGAGAAAACTCGGAGCTCTCGAAAGGAGACTTGTGGAGGAAGGTGAGAAATGGCGTCTCATCTCATGCATATGGCTTCACGGTGGTTTCCTTCACTTGCTGGCTAACATGATCAGCCTAATGTGTATCGGAATGCGCCTTGAACAAGAATTCGGATTCCGTAAGACCCTTTAAAACCCTCTATTATCCGTCATCAAGACTGCTTTGATCTGATTTAAGAGTTTGGTGAGATTACAGTGAGAATAGGAGCTCTGTATATGATCTCCGGGCTTGGAGGAAGCCTGATGTCTTGCTTAACAGATTCCCAAGGAGAACGGGTATCAGTCGGAGCATCTGGTGCGCTATTCGGATTACTCGGTGCAATGCTCTCAGAGCTGATCACAAACTGGACAATCTACGAAAACAAGGTAAAAAGATTTTCTAGTTTCGACTTCATATTTCCGAGACAATGAAATATTTCTGGTGCATTATTGAAAGCTGATCTTAATCAATTTTTTTTTGTAGTGTACTGCACTTATGACATTAATCCTGATCATTGTTCTGAATCTAAGCGTCGGATTCTTACCACGTGTGGACAATTCTGCTCATTTTGGAGGATTCCTAGCTGGTTTCTTCCTTGGGTTTGTCATTCTTCTCCGTCCGCAGTATGGTTACGTGAACCCCAAATACATTCCTTCTGGTTATGACATGAAACACAAGAAATCAAAACACAAGTGTTATCAACACATCTTGAGGTTTACATCTCTAGCCATCCTTCTTGCAGGGTAAGTTCACAAAAGATTCAATGAACCATAATAGATGAAAAAGTAGTTGAATCTTCCATCAACACTCAAACAAAATTCCCAATGTTGTGAAATATTTCATATTCTGGTCAGTAATAATTGAAACTTTCCTTGAAATTTCTGCAGATTCGGTGCGGGATATAGTAAGCTTCTCAGAGAACATACCATACAAAGCATGCCACTCAGAGAATTCAATTAGCAGCTTGTAGACCAGTGACACATTCTCTGGAAAAAAGACTATTACACACAATCCCAAGGTTTTCCGTGTTTAACACAAATATCAACATCGGAAAGATTATACATTCGACAAGTACATAATTCGAAAAGTACATAACATATGTATCTGTTGTCTAATGGCTGTTGTAAACTATATATCTGTATAAAAGCATATATTACACTGTAGGAAACATTTTTTACATATCTAGTTTAATTTTGTGGCAAAGTAGGAACACAATCAGTAATGTATTCTTAGATCTCACATGAATCAGATCGACCAAACATTGCATATCGGTTGTTTGCAACATTTTCATACAAAAAGTCCCTCACAAACCTGCAACATGTCAAAAGAACATTTGTTTATTAAGATCAATCACTCGACGCGTAGACACTACCGCTATTTTATCCTTAATGGAGAACTTACAGAGGCGCAAACTGAAAGAAGAATGCAAGCTGTGGAAATGGTAAGTCAATATAGTTCATGATCTTCAACACCGCTTCTGACTTTATGTAAGAACTGCAGAGAAGAAAAACACATACCACTCTCACTTGATGGCCTATAAAGTTTTTATTTTTCCCGGTTCATATCAAAACACAATATGTACCTATCTTTTTCGACAAGTACCACACTCGATATATCATCAGGAGCTCTTCCTGATCGCATTAACAGTTTCTTTCCCGCTTCGCTCTGTAACGCTTCAAACCTTATGCTCCTGAAAACAATTCCATAAAACAGTTCTTTAGACACCCTCCAGTGAAAAGACTGAAACTTTTAATACGAAGTTGAATAATAAAAAACAAGACTAACCTGTTTCGATCATGGTCTTTAACAAATTTCACACCTCCATTACAAAGATTGCAAACACCTATGTAATATGAATCAAAATATTAACCTTTCAGATGTGATAAAAACTTATATAGTTTATATCCGTTGAGATATGTATAAAACTTAGCATAATGCGAAATTTAATTTTAACCTAAACATTACAAATTAAACTTTTACTAAACGGAGATTACCGTCGAACAACATGATGGGCCTCTTGTCTTCTTCGAAAAAACTTGAAGTTTCCTTAACCCAATCTACTGAATCGCGACGAAAGGTGCGTTGGTTAGAAGAAGCAGAAACTCTCAGTCTAACTTGCGCACGCGACGGAACAGTGAATCGCCCGAAACTCGCCGGAACAACGATCGCCATCTCAAACGCAGAAACGGTAAACTTCTCCGGTGAGCCACTAATTTTGGAACTAGCTTTGATTTTTATTCCCACAGTAATGCCGTTTTCGTAAATAAGAGTCATCTTAGGGGTAAATATTTGCCACGTCATTGAAACGTAGCCAACCACGTCATCAGAATGTAGCCAACCAAAGATTAAAACCACGTCATTAAAGCGCAGCCACTAAAGGATTTTAAACCGGTTATAATTTTGTAAACCGGGTTTCCTAATATGGAAAACCGATCTTAAAGAAAACGCTCTTTGGAGAAATCGTGCCTTAAAGCTGATGCTGAGAGAGAGAGACCCTTCTTCTCCACTGCAACGCTTTGAGAATTAAGACAACGTTCGTCTCTTCGATCTAAATAATACTTCGGCGTGAATTGGAAAAATTCGGAGGTTTCAAGATGGGTTGGATCGGAGAGACCGTAGATTCTATCAAATCTATTCAGATCCGTCAGCTTTTCACTCAAGCGATCAGTCTAGGTCCGTTTCTTCGTTCGTCTTCTGTGTTTCGTCTCGTTGAACTCAATTTGGGTTTATGTGAAGCTAAATCGATTAATTGGTGTTTAGGGTTCGTTAATATATGAATATTTATAAATAAAGTTGAAATCTTTATAGAAAATCAGAGACCTCTTTGGTTATTAGACTTGGTGAAGTCGATGGTGTTTCATTAGATCGTTTACTTTGAAATTTGAGTCTAATTCTTAATAGATTACTAGTTTTTACATGCGAATTTGAAGTATACACTGTGTTGAGGGGAAATGTGGTAACTGTTATTGTTAAAGTTTGTGTTTTTTCGTTTTTGGTTCTGAGCTAATAAGATTAGAGGTGGTTCTGAGCTAACAAGATGGTTTACTGGTGGTTGAATTAGTTTGTTTTCAATATGAGTTGTATGAAAAAAATTGTGGCATAAGTAAATGATTCATTGTTCTGTGTTGAAATCTGGTAGGAATGATTGTTACATCTGCTTTGATCATATGGAAAGCTTTGATGTGTGTCACTGGAAGTGAATCTCCTGTGGTGGTTGTTCTTTCTGGAAGTATGGAACCTGGTTTTAAGAGGGTAATTTGACTTAGCTTTGTTCTCTCTTTGTGGATGAATAAGTCACTAATAATCTATCTTTGATGTTTGTTAACTCAAAATTATAACGAATGTGATATCTTATAGGGTGATATATTGTTCTTGCACATGAGTAAGGACCCGATTCGAGCAGGCGAAATTGTTGTTTTCAATGTTGATGTAAGTTCCCCTATTTTGGTCTCATTTGCGCTTTCATTGATGTTGTGTCTGTCTCCTTACTGTTTTTTTTTTGCTTCATGCTTCTCCTCAGGGTCGTGACATTCCCATTGTCCATCGTGTCATTAAGGTAACGTATTTCTAGACTCTCGTAGCACGTATACTGTAAATACTCTATTGAAAACCCTGCTGATTCTTGGTGTTCATCACATTATAGGTTCACGAGAGGGAAAATACCGGAGAAGTTGATGTTCTGACAAAAGGTACGGGTTTTATTGATTTGAAAATTCACCTTTTAGAATGTAAATAGTTTTTTATAGTGTTACTCATTTCGGCACACATTCACATTTCAATATATGTTTTCCAGGTGACAATAACTATGGAGATGACAGACTTCTGTATGCTGAAGGCCAGCTTTGGCTAAATCGACATCATATAATGGGTCGTGCTGTCGGGTAATTAACTTCAGCCACAAACTCTCAATGCCTGAGCAATGTTTAAATCGAAGCTCTTTTGTTACTCATAGTTTCTTTACCACTTTATTTTGTGTGATTAAGGTTCTTGCCTTATGTTGGATGGGTGACTATTATCATGACAGAAAAGCCTATCATCAAGGTACATTCTCATTCTATAATCCAATCCAAATTTCTACCTCTCTTTTTTTCGGTTTTCTCACTGTGACATTTGGATCTTCTCTATTTGCAGTATATTCTCATAGGTGCATTGGGTTTACTCGTTATAACGTCCAAGGATTGAGTCTTTTGGAAAGGAATGAACTCTACAAAACCCTTTTATTAAAGACTTGTTATTTCAATGGAAAAAGAAAGAAACAAATCTAAAGACTCGTTTTTGTGGTTTAGATAAACAGTAGAATCAGAAGCTAATTTTTACTCGTGGAGAAATGAGTTTACCCCCAAATCGAGATTCGTTATCCTATGAATGAACTGTCTTGCTTTGTAAAACTCATATCAAGATTCGAAAAATAAGTACTAAGTAGTGATCGCATACGTATGTATCGACAAGGAATCATTTACAATCAGAAAACGCATCAAATACAATAAAATATGAATCTTACAATCTTACTTAATAATCAGATAACACTTCCTCGTAGTTACTCTCTGCAAATGAAACAGATTTGGTTCAATCTCGGTTTGGTTTGTTTTCTAATTCCGGTTACCTCTCTTCTTCTTCCCCACCCCTAATGTCTCTCCTCATGAATCAAAACGCCGTTGACGACGAGTAAAACCATTTCACAGTTCTCTGTAATGTCTAAAACCCTTCTCTCTTGCATCAAACCTCTTACCAATGCTCCTCGATCCCATCTTTCGATAACTCCCCGTATCAAGAAACTTGTAAGTGACACTGTATCCATCCTCAGAACCCAACAAAACTGGACTCAAATTCTCGACGATTGCTTCGCTGAAGAAGAAGAAGTGCGCTTCGTCGATATTTCACCTTTCGTTTTCGATCGAATCCAGGATGCTGAAATCGGCGTTAAGCTTTTTGATTGGCTATCGAGTGAGAAGAAAGACGAGTTCTTTTCAAATGGGTTTGCTTGTTCTTCGTTTCTGAAGCTCTTAGCTAGGCATAGGATCTTCGATGAGATTGAAGATGTACTGGGGCATCTGAGAAAAGAAAATGTGAAGCTTACACATGAAGCATTGAGCCATGTTCTTCACGCTTATTCTGAATCGGGATGTTTAAGTAAAGCAGTGGAGATTTATAATTATGTAGTTGAGCTACATGATTCTGTGCCTGATGTTATTGCTTGCAACTCGTTGTTGAGCTTGTTAGTGAAAAGTAGGAGACTTGGAGATGCACGGAAGATGTATGATGAAATGTGTGAGAGAGGTGGTTGTGTTGATAATTACAGTACTTGTATACTGGTCAAAGGTATGTGTAGTGAAGGCAAGGTAGAAGAAGGTAGAAAGCTGATTGAAGATCGATGGGGTAAAGGTTGTGTTCCAAATATTGTATTTTACAACACAATCATTGGTGGATATTGTAAGCTGGGCGATATCGAAAATGCGAATCTTGTTTTCAAGGAGTTGAAATTGAAGGGATTTATGCCGACTTTACAAACTTTTGGAACAATGATAAATGGGTTCTGCAAGAAAGGGGATTTCGTGGCCAGTGATAGACTTTTAAAGGAAGTGAAAGAAAGGGGTTTAATGGTTAGTGTTTGGTTCCTTAATAACATCATTGATGCTAAGTATAGGCACGGTTCTATGGTTGATCCAGCTGAGTGTATACGATGGATAGTAGCTAATGATTGCAAGCCTGATATAGCAACATATAGCATTTTGATTAATTGTTTGTGTAAAAAAGGGAAAATGGAGGATGCTGTTAGGCTTTTGGATGAAGCATGGAAGAAAGGGTTGATTCCGAACAATTTAACCTATTCCCCTCTAATACAAGCCTATTGCAAAAGCAAAGAGTATGACATTGCTTCTAAGCTGCTTCTACAAATGGCTGAAAAAGGTTGCAAACCAGATATAGTTACATATGGAATCCTTATACATGGTCTTGTTCTATCAGGCCATATGGATGATGCTATTAATATGAAAGTTAAATTGATAGATAGAGGAGTTTCACCAGATGCTGCCATCTACAATATGCTGATGAGTGGATTGTGCAAGACCGGTAGATTTTTACCTGCCAAAATCCTCTTCTCAGAGATGCTAGACCGGGATATTCTACCAGATGCTTATGTGTATGCCACGTTGATAGATGTATGCATCAGAAGTGGTGATTTTGATGAGGCAAGGAAAGTTTTTACTCTCTCCATTGACAAAGGTGTGAAGGTTGATGTCGTGCACCAAAATGCTATGATAAAGGGGTTTTGCAGATCCGGAATGTTGAATGAGGCATTAATGTGTATGAATAGGATGAATGACGAACATCTTGTACCTGATCAGTTCACTTATTCCACAATCATTGACGGATATGTAAAACAACAGGATATGGCTACTGCCTTAAAGATTTTCCGAGGCATGGAGAAGAGTAAATGTAAGCCAAATGTGGTAACTTACACCTCTCTTATCAACGGTTATTGTTGCCAAGGAGATTTCAAATTGGCTGAGGAGACTTTCAAAGAGATGCAATCTTGTGGCCTGGTGCCTAATGTTGTCACCTACACAACATTTATAAGAAGTTTTGCTAAAGACAGTAGTACCCTTGGAAAAGCAGTTTATTATTGGGAGCTTATGTTGACAAACAACTGTGTACCTAATGAAGTCACCTTCAATTGTCTACTTCAGGGATTTGTGAAAAAGACATCTGAAAATGTTCTTGGTGAACCAAATGATCAGGGACAAAGTTCTCTGTTTTTTGAGTTTTTCCATAGAATGAAATTAGATGGGTGGTCAGACCACGCTGCTGCCTACAATTCTGTCCTTGTTTGTCTCTGTGTTCATGGAATGGTGAAGACTGCTTGTAGGTTTCAGGATAGAATGGTGAAGAAAGGCTTCTCTCCTGATCCTGTTTCATTTGCTGCTATTTTGCATGGTTTTTGTGTGGTTGGGAACTCAAAGCAATGGAGGAACATGGACTTTTTTCATCTGGATGAAAAAGGTCTTGAAGTAGCTGTTAGGTACTCGCATGTTTTAGAGCAACACTTACCTCAAAGAGTGACATCTGAGGCTTCAACAATTTTGCATGCAATGGTTGCAAAAAACGACACTAAAGAACCTGAGAACTGTAGAATCTCTGTAAGATAAAGACAGTTAGCTGTTGAACGATTTCAGATTATATACTACTTTCTTGTATTTGGAGACAGAAGGTCTCAGCGGCTATCAAAATGGTACATGAACAAAGTGTTGTCATTACAAATGTTGTGACAGCTCAAGAATGTGATAAGAAAAGAAACATCATTACAGCTCAAACTCACAGAAGCAGTCAGGCAAAGCAAAACCTCTGCCTATGGCAAAATCGTTTTTATGAACTTCCCAGAGAGCTTTCTTCAACGCTACGCCTTCAAGACCCTGAGAAGTGAGCTCCGCAAATGCTTTTCTACTCAGGAATAGAGTATTATGCATCCGTTTATATGTACGCATAGCTGCAACTATTTTATCCATGTTTCCAAAGTAAGTAGCCACATATGCGTCACTGTTGATGGACACATGATAATCCAATGCAGCTTTTGTGTTTCCATGCATTCTGGTGAAATCCTCTTGGTTAAGTAAAACAGATTTTGTGAACACATTTGTATAAACGGATGTGAATCCTTCCATCTCCATTAGACCGTCCCCAGCTGCTAAGTATATGTTTGTGCTTGTTGGGATGTTAAGTGACTGAAGCATCAAAACTGTTTCATTAGGAGTCAGAGGGCATTTGCCTCGCTTTCTCCATATCTGAGCTAGTTCTCCAGTCCATGGCTTCCTATCAACACGAGCAGCTTCAATGGCAGCTATAGATGAACGAGAGAGGTTTGGGTATTCACATTGGCTGTACGCCACCATGTCTGGTTCAAATCTGAGGTGAAGCGACAAGAAGGGTTTGGGAATAGCGTCTAAAAGCTCGATGGCCTTCTTCTCCAAAGAACTAGTGAGTCGAATAGCCGAATAACATGCTTGACATAGAGTGGCTCTTGCATATTCTGGATACCTGAGAACGAATTGTATCAAAGTAGAAGAATAAGATACTTCAAATATTTTAGAAATAGCAAGTACATACAAAGACAATATAGACTATAAGAAAGGTACCTGTCCCTGCGTTGGCTCATTGCCGGTGTAAAAGAAATGTAATGATGTTCCAACAGTGATGGAAGAACACTTTCAATGTAATCAAATTGACCCTTCCTTTTGCTACAGTCCACTTTGAATGGTTCTTTTGATGCAATATCTTTTGGCAATTCTTTTACAACTTCGATGTAACCACTCATCTTTTGAATAAAGTAGTCTACATCAAACACATCTGCAAATCCACTGTACCAATACATATCACTGATTAACTTGTCTTCGTTGATCAAATCAACAATGAACAATTGAAATTGCAATCAAAGATTTGATCTCAAGAAAAAACCGGGAGTACCTTGACTCGTTCCAGTATGCAGCTACCTCAAACTTTGGTAGAACAAGTGTGGCATTCAACAAACGAGCAATCCCAACTCCGTCACACAACTGCAAGCAGCATCACATCATCAGATGCTAGATATCTAAAGGCAGATATAATGCAAGCTGAAGTCTTCATGAATAACATGTGCACTGATTCATGAAATGGTGGATCTTTTGTTTAAAACTTACATCTCGTCTCATCTGATTCAGGCCACCATAGCAATCAACGCGGATATATCCATTAGTTTTAGCGGGTAGAGCTGCAGGATTTGAACAAAAAACCAAAGCAGTTGTCTGCAATGAAAAGACCGATCACAAAGTTCAGAGAAGTAAAACTCACTACAAGCAATCTACATTCCACCCAACTACAAAGTCTACTCTTTTCAGACCAAAGCCAAGATACTGTTACTGGAATTGATTAAATCAGATTCAAATTTCAAATCTCAAGAAAACCTCAAGAACTAACTACTGATTTACATCAACTTTACCTTATCCCAAGTAATAAACCTCACTTCACAGAATCTATTCGACAGAACAAAACAAAAGTGAAATCTTTAACTAATAAAACATAGGAGAAGAGTGCATACGAGTGAGGTGTCCTTGTAACCACCATTTGCATGGTCTCCATTCCATTATCCTCTTGACACTCCATATATCAGAACCCCTGAAGCAGATAACACAAATTGGTAAGCAGACTTTTCCAAATTTTGCAGCAAAAAATCATTTTTATTAACAATTGTGCTAATTGAGTTTCACGGGCATATCAACCATCTGACTACTTCCCAATACAGTAACCGTTTGAAACGATTCTTCAACATGAATCCAACAAATCGAAGTAG